GAACCGGCCGACGAGTTCGGGTCATCGAACGGAATTTCGGGGCCCACACCGATGAGATGCTGTTGAGGATAATTTCTTGGCTTTCCCGGTGTGCCCCGATAAAGCATCGGCAAATAAGTCAGGGGTGCAACTCCATGGAAATGGGTGGACATGAGAGGTATTCACATACTAATCACAAAGTAACGTAACCTACAACATAATTATCAGAAAACCAACGTGGAGTAGGCCGCGGAGATGACTTAATAATGGATTTTCGGCCATATGACAGGGCTATATTATATGCAATTACATGTGCCTCATTATTTTCGAATTAAACCCGGAACTACGATGTGAGATAATTACCAATGTATTGTGGTTTCAATCTCGGGGTCGGAAAGCTCGGGGAGAGCCTGTAGCGCAGTAAGTATCCGAGACATTGTCTGTTCGTAAGCTAATGGAGGGTTTTCTCATCTTAAAAATATTTAAAACATGCATTTTCCCCGCTGACGAGGCTACGCAGAAAAAGGAATGGGAAAATGAATGCGAAATAATTTGAAAAATAAGCATTGCTGTAAGCGCTTTGAGGATGGGTTGATATTAGACCCACGGGCCACGATATGCATGCAAGATGCTTATTTGCTAGATGTCTCGTTGGAGTCGAGTCGATTATGTATTAGTTCAAATGTTGCGATGTCATCATTACAACTGCTACGTACCGACGTGGAGAAGATGAGATGTGGTTGGTGGGATGTGATGGTGGGTCGACTCGTTTATGCACGAGGCAAGACAAGCTTTTTTAAGGCGTCCAGCGCGACAAGCTTTTGTTCTGGGCCGGTCTGTTTTGACCTCAGATCGTGAAGTCTGTCATAACACTATCGTATATATTATACGTTTCAGCTTTATTATTGACATTCTATAAAATTATATAAATGTCTGATTATGGTATGACTATAAGTATCCTATATGACAATACTTTCCTCTGACATTGTGATTTCTTTTTTCCCATCTTATTGCGTTAATAGTATAAGTCACACAAGAAACGGCTGAGATGCAGTGTGAATTGGCATCTTCTAAGAATCCTAATGATCCTAACGTAATTGAATTGCAGCTAAGGGCACTACGTAAGTCCCACAAAACGCCCAATTACCAACAGTTAATGATCCTGGCATTGAAAGCGGTGGGTTTTAAGGCATCCGGCAGCCCGAGACAATCTGACAGGGGTTTGAATCGAAGCAGCGCTGATCAGGATTCACAGTACCTGACGAGCAAAACTGCTTACGAGTATCTTGCTTACTCTCTTTCTTTTTGATTCTGAGGCTTATAAGGGCTATTCTTATATGTTGAATCCTGAATACTACGGCTAAGTCCGAACTTTGCCTGCTCGTATCTGGGATTCTTTAACAATAAGTTAGAAGGTAGGTACCTACTTTAACAACACTTATACGATACGATAACTGCATATACCGATCTTGTCTGTGCGCCAATGGGGTTAATGGGACACATTACATAGCACCCAGCTACGAGGTAGCGATCTAACTGATTTAGGTCCTAGATGTACTATTAGGTACTGTATACGGTAAGAACCAACTGGGGCTTTATCGGTCGTATCATGTAGCCACTTATAACGTCTGGTATTTAAACGTAAAGCAGCGTAAGGGGACTTATTTAGCACATCAAACCTGTCTATGTTTGCCTGACCTATCAATTTTTGGAATAGTTCCCAATGCGCACCACCTGATAATGCAACAATGGATATGATTTGTGTACCTACTTGTTACCTAATTCCCTATTAGACGTACCTGAGCTGTTGCCTGTATTGCATGAGGATTAAGAAAAAAAAAATTACCCAAAACAAAAAAAAAACCCTCGTCTCCCTCAGCTGATAATAGATGGGGTCTTTTATCCCCCCTTCCCCCATCCCTGCCAGGTATTCCTTGGGTCCCCCTATTATCTCATTTTCTTTTCCCCAATTTCCAACCCCCAAACTTGCCAAGAACATCTTTTTCATCGTCTCCCGCCTTACCGTACCTACACAATTATCTATTATCCATTATCCCTCCTTCGTCATTCGCGTTCCTATTCTTGTTCCCGTTCCTGTTCCTGAGAACTTTATCCCTTCAGTTTCGTTGTTTCGTTATCAATCGTAATGTCTCAACCATCCCTCAAAATAGTATAATGATTATAAGAGCATGTGTATGTCTTGGACCCTTTTCTTTTTATCGTCTCCAGTAGTTCTGTCAATTTCGTCATTATTGTTATTTCTGTCCCTTTTTTTTTCCCCGCTGCCCAGAGGTGTTTATTATAGTGATTGAAAATCTTCTTGGCACCAGCCGAGCCCTCCCTAGAATCCCTTGGCACACAGCGGCTGACGTCTATTTTACAGCACTCCAAACCGTCCGGAATGTCGTGTACGTCGCCAAGAGAAAGCTTCTTTTTTTATTTTCCATTCTGCTGGGCACTGCCAAGAATATAATGGACCGTCAAGAAAAGCTTAGCAATCTTGATGGTTGTTGGTTGGCCGAATGATTGATGTTAAACGCTTGTTAATTGACGGACCAGCGTCGATGAGATCAACGGTGTTGAATAGTGCGTCGCCGGTGCATTTGCGATCGCTGCATCCCTTGTGTTGTACGACGTAACATTACACCAAAATGCATTTTGTCAATTTCGCCATGTCTCATCTACTGCTGTCTCTCATCAATGCCTTGCATCACCATCACCGTCGTTGCCTTTCTAATAAACCTTGACCCAATGCACTTAATCGAGTTTATACGCTATACCGACAATGGTATCATGCTAATATTTGAGTAGACTGTTATTCAGCAATCCTAGTTGGACGGGTGGTCATTCGGTTCCCAGCACTATCCTCAGAAATATTACCGCATTATCAGTATGTGTTGAAACTTGAGGAAGAGGGAGTATACCGGAAAGAGTAAACTTTTACTTACACGTTGTGATAGAGCCATATAGCATATTCCGAGGATCTACTTCAGAATATCACCACCCTCTCCACTACTTCAGTTTCAACACCAAATGGGGTTATCCAAGGTCTTCTATACGTGCCAGACCTCGGCGACGATGATCCTTGCCAGGAAGAGGCGGCAAAATACATTCCATCAAATGTCACACGACAAGTGAATTTGCCACCTACGAACTACAACCTTATTGCTCTAGCGCCGTGGATTAATATCGACTGTACCCAGTCATTTCTTGCCTCGGCTAGGTTGGATCCTATCCGAGGAATGCTTGTTTATCGTCCAGATAATGATACCAGTCAACCACCAGATATCGACGACGTTGCTTGGGACCTAGGAGATGGAGAAATGTGGAAGACGCAGAATCGATACCCAGTCTATGCGATACCCGGTGCCTCTGGAAATGAGATGATGAGACAGCTGAGTCTTTATTCTGGTGATTTATCTCAAGTCCCATTCAGCAATCAGATTATTTCTACGTACTCTCCAAACCCGGCAGATTACGTGCGAGTATGGACGGAATTAACCGTAATTACCGTATCGACGACGCTTCCGCTATGGGCATTTATTCTAATTATTCTTGGCGTAATTATTGCCATCATAGGCAGTACATCGTTGCTTATGCATTTTGTCCAGAGTCGACGTCGTGCTGCTTTACGACGCCGCGTGATGCGGGGTGAAGTGAATCTAGAGGCTCTAGGTATCAAAAGGCTGATGGTGCCGATGCATCATATCCTAACTTTCCCTTTATTTACCTATAATTACGATCCGCCTTTGCCATCATCGCCTACGTCAGTCAAATCTCCACAGAAGACAGGGCGGAGGTCATCAGAAGGTAGTCGAATACCTGCCAGCGTAAGGGTTGAGAAGATTGATTCGGCTATCGATTATCAACCTGCATGTCTCATCTGCTTAGAAGATTTCGAGTCCAAGAAAACGATCATCCGTGAATTACCTTGTGGTCACATTTACCACCCTGAATGCATTGACGAATTTTTGGGTCAAGTTAGCTCACTATGTCCTTCCTGCAAGGCATCAATGCTACCTCGTGGTTACTGCCCAAAGATAACCAATTCGATGGTACGTAGGGAGTTTGGTACCCGGAAGCTAAGGTCCAGTGGTGCGGTAATCACGGTAGACGTCGAAAGGGGTCGTCAGAGGCTATCTTCGTGGAGTAGCTCTATGAAGAAGCATATATGCAAGATCTCATCTCCACAACCGGAAGAAGCTATCGACTTACAAGAGCAACCAAGAGATGATAGACCAAGCACAGTCGGAACGACACGAGATCGCATGCAGGACCTTGTAGTACCCGTCGACGAAACGAACAGCGACGACGGGCGACCTCAATGCAAGTCGCATCGCCATACTAGTGGGTCTAGAAGCTAATAATATCAATAGGGAAACGTACAGCTCTCAAAGTCTTTCCGGGATTTAGGTGACAGTTCAGGTATAGGTCAGATTTTACACAATAAAGGATATCGGCATCATTTAGCATAGTTTGGCGTTATGTTGAAAGGAAATGCATTATATGGGCTATTATAAAGCCTACTAGGGGCGTTTATGGGGAATACTGGCTATAATTGCCTCTTGGGCGTATGCGGACATTAGGATCTTTGGCTGTATGGTATGGGAATTGCATATGAAGACTGCTTGGATATACCCCAAGGTTTCGGGCGCGATTCTAAAATCCGAGGAATAAAAAGAAATTACTATTGGCTATACTATTGGCTACATAATATTTGTGGTTGTACAACGCCTGTGTAATACCACAGTGCGGCTCGTCGCCTTTGAGATCCATCTGTCTGTTAGAACATGTGTCCATGGTCCGTGCACGTAATCTCTCCAGCCGTACCTACATAAGGATTCGTCATTCTCACAACTTGCAGCTCCAACAAACGCCGCACACCCTAGAAGTGCCAATTCGAGTTCCTGGAGTAGAAGATCGTCTTGCTTGCGAAGAATTACGCCTCCTTGGCCTTCTACCTCGAAATGAAAGTGCCAGTCATCTCGCCCAAACTTCTGTGCAGATGACCTACCCGCGCGATGAGTGCGAATCTCGGTAGTGACGAGATGCCTTCGGCCACGGAAACCCCAGGCGAAATCTCGTCGTCCGAAGCAGAGCCTAAGCTCTTAGAACCTGATCCGGAACCAGGCACAACTGATGATGGTGACGCGGCGGAAACTCGACCTCTCATCATCTGTTTCCACGGTTCAGGCGAGTCGTGCTCGCCGTCGTGGGACGCACTGGCGCACACGCTAACTGCTGTACCTCACCGCCTACGCGTCCTGTTGTACGACCGCGGCATCCTGAACCCTCGGCCCCCACAAGCTACCGCAGAGCTGAGGGAGTATCTAAAAAGCGAGGGGTTGAAGGGGCCTTGCGTGCTTGTTGCACATTCGTACGGCGGCGCGTTTGCGCGGACGTTCTTGGAGCTGGAGGCAGAGAAAGACAATGGGGGTGATGGCAATGTGGAAATCGTGGGCATGGTGCTCGTGGAAACAGGCCAAGAAGGCGGTCTCGATCCCGAGGTAGAAGAAAGCCAATACGCACTCCGGGTCTTGGGCACGAGGCCCCTGAGTGTAGTGCGCGGGAACTCGCTGCTGAGACAGTGGGCGGATCTGGAGGCTGCAGAGGCGAGTGTGTCCGCGAAAGACGGGATGAAGAAGGAGGATCTGAGACAGAGGCGGGAGATGCTGAAGATGTATGATGCGGTGGACGAGCAGATGAAGAAGAAGCAGTTAGACCTTGCTGCGGTGAACGCGAGGAAGCGGTACGTGCATGTACCGGATTGTGGACACCATGTTGTGAGAGATCGCCCAGACGTGGTGGCTGGCGAGATCGCGTGGGTGTTAGACAATGTAGGCAAAGTGGATAAGGCCGATGGAGCGGAAGGAAAGGATAAACGGGAGGATGGGAATAAGGGTAAAAAGGGACGGAGAACCTGGGAGACGAAAATTAAGAGGATATGGAAGTTCTGTAGAGATGTTACGGGAAAGATATTTAATAAGTTGGGAAAATGAGTTGTTGTTGTTTGAAGGATACCACTGCGTTTTTAGAGCTATAAGTAATATAATATGTAGTTCATAGACGATAGTTATACTTTTCATATATTAACTTTTTTTCTGTTTTGGAAGATGCTTGGTGTAGGGATCTAGATATGTTTAAGTTGTGGATATGTTCACATTTTAAACATAGCACTAATAGAGTATATAAAGTAGCATTGGTTTGTTTGGAGACTCGATGAGTATCTACCGTTGGTTCATTTAGAAGAGGTAACTACCTATGCTACATGGTGATTTAGTTTATAAGTTTTTACACCACACTCCAATTCCATAATCTCAAATAGAGATATAGGTAGAATACATAATATAGAATACATTACTTTATAGCTGTTAATTAAGTTATCAATTTGGCTTCTAATACTATTGCTATTTGGGATAGTGTAAGTACTTACCTCTTAGTAAGAACTCGTATCGACATGAGATTCTGTCCTGGTGCCTGCAGGAGATCTACAGTCATAGATAAGAGGTACGAAGTATCCACTACTTCGTAATTGTACCCGCTAGTTCCCCAATTTTAACGGCTCGGCAGCCTGCAGGTGTGTTAGATAAAACTCAATAACCAGCGGCTTACAGCGGCTAGCAGGCCTCCGATGTAGCGTGCCGGGTAGCCGGGAATTTTAATTTCTAGCGGGCAGTTTTCTTTAGCACTCAAATCTCAAATACCTAAATACCCGTACTTTCCCCCAGTTACCCAATTTACAACTCACAATTTCCTCATCCTTGGTTTGTCGCCAAGGAGCCTCAATTCCTGACACATATTTGTATTAGTATTTGTTTCACCAATGCAGTTCGTACAGCGCGCGCTGTCAGATTCAGCTTGTTTCAGTCCATCGTATTTCTTGGCCGCCCACATATCTTAATAATAATAATATCGGTAATGATTCAATAAGTATTCTTATTGGTTGTGGGTTGATAGGGTCAGAGAAGTCGAAGGAAGGCATTCATAACATTCACCAACTCCCTCCATGTTGGTTGAAAATGTTCAATGGCAGGTCCTTCACCAACCTCACGACGCCATAATGGCCCTCTTTCGACGGAAGACGCGCGTCTTCGCTTCATTGTTTCTAGTACTCGTATTATATCTTTTAGTCGGACTTATTCCTGAGCACCGCGATACCCTCTTCGGCTTTACCTTTGTTAGGACGAGTTACAACTGGTCCCAGCAACCATTGAAGTATCCCATATCAGAATATGTGCCTCTACCCACCGGTAGACCTCTTGCGCTTCCCAAAGTCCAACATGCGTTCACTACCGATACGAGCCCCGAAGGTGTTGCGAGGGAGGAGGTCTTAGCGAGCCGGCGTGCTGAAGTTAAAGCCGCGTTTGTAAAGAGTTGGACTGGCTACAAGAACGCAGGTTTTGGTTACGATGAACTTATGCCGGTATCTGGGAAAGGAAGGGATGCGCCTGGATTTGGAGGTTGGGGAGCTACGCTTGTCGATTCTCTTTCAACACTCTGGATTATGGGCCTTAAAGACGAATTCTACGAAGCGGCCGCCGCAGCTGTAACCATCAACTGGTCCAATACGAGAGACACTTCTTGCAATTTCTTCGAGACTACTATTCGGCACCTTGGAGGGCTCCTGGGCGCGTATGACTTGAGCTTGGAGACGGCATTACTCGAGAAAGCCATCGAGCTCGGCGACATGCTTTATATGGCATATGACACACCTAACCACATGCCACCATTCTGGTTTGACTTCGATGATGCGAAAGATGGTAAACAAGAGGCTGGATATCATGACCCGTCTGCCTCCGTCACATCGTCGTCGCTCGAATTTACTAGACTAGCACAGCTTACGGGAAACAACAAATATTATGACGCTATAAATAGAGTGACGATGGTCCTGGACGAATGGCAGAACAAAACAGTCCTACCCGGCATGTGGCCAACATTCTTTGACTTTAAACAGTTACAGCTAGACAATGACAATAGCTTTACGCTCGGTGCGCTAGCAGATAGCCTTTACGAATACTTACCGAAAACATTTGCCATACTTGGCGGTCTTGAGCCAGTGTACGAAAAGCTCTACCGCGGAGCGATGGATACGGTTATAAAGAATTTACTATTTCGACCGAAGACACCGGATCAGGACGATATACTTTTTACTGGAAATGTGTTCGTGTCTGATGATACGGGGCCTCATCTAACCGCCGAGGGACAGCACCTCGCGTGCTTCGTGGGCGGAATGTTTGGACTCGGGGGCAAACTTTTCAACATCCCGGAACATCTCGAAATCGGCGAGAAGATCACTCGAGGCTGCGTGTGGGCATACGATGCAATGCCCACTGGTATTATGCCCGAAATCTTCAACTTACTCAAATGTGAGACTCTGGATCCGTGCGAATGGGACGAGTCTGAATGGGAAGATCAATCGAATACGCAGTTAAAGAAGGGGTTCACAAGTGCACGTGACCCGCGGTATCTTCTACGGCCAGAAGCAATCGAGAGCGTATTTCTAATGTATCGCATGACCGGCAATCCCGAGTACCAGGAGATGGCGTGGAGGATGTTCCAAGCGATTCGGAAAGCAACCGAGACTGATCTGGCATTTTCGGCGATTCAATCCGTTAGAGATGTCGTTACAGTCAAGACAGACTCTATGGAGGTATGTTATTGTAACGAATATCACGGAATTTTACATTTTGACTAACATTACCATAGAGTTTCTGGATGGCCGAAACACTCAGGTACTTTTACTTAATATTCTCCTCGCCAGATCTTATTAGTTTAGACGAATTCGTCTTAAACACGGAAGCACATCCCCTTAGACGGCCCAGATGAGACGTGCAAGGCTCGTTTTATTCTTAAGTCTGCAGCCGCTATTACGCATAGGTAGCCGATATTCAGCTTACCCCGGATACCTTATCTCCGCAACCCGATTTAAAGTGCGGTCCGTACCCCTTGCTATTTACGTGAATGTGGTTGGTGGAATAACTTGCCGTTATGAGGTGTTGTGAAACTGTCTCGGAGAGAGACACATTTTCGAAGGTTACGTTCATATATGTCAAGGTGGCATATGATTGATGATCGAAGGCCATGTATATCGGGCGATGGGGCGTACGTATGGTATGGATAGACATAATGTTACGATAGACTTAATGATAATAATACCCAACGAATGCCTTCGGAAATAGTAGATCGTGCTTTGGGTAGCAAGAAGGGTTTTTGTCTAGTTGATTTTTTCTCTTGGTGTCACGACGTAGACAACCATCTTCCTCTTTTTGACTACGATCTGTAAGGACATATGCATACAGACGAGGCGCAACTTGATGCGCTGGAAGATTGGTGAGTCACCTCTTGCTTGATTTGGAGACGGTGAGTGATGAAGCGAGGGAAAAAATCGATATTGATGGTGTATAATAGCGGCGGAAAGCTTTTTTTTTTTTTTTTTTTCTTCGCTGTCCTTCGGCTCTTGCGGTTTGATCGACTACATGGTGCTCTTTTGTTATTTGGAGATATATCGCCACAAGTAAGCATGCATGTAATCATGCCCCTTGATTCAATGTCTCACCCTCGCAGCGAAATACGTCTTCCACTATACCCAGTAGGTACCTAGGTATATATCATGGTATCATTGAAAGTACGGGCGCGGGCCGGCGCTGGCATGATGATTCCCGTCTCAACGGGTAGGATCATGACAGGGATTATATGCCCTTATAAAAATCGGTTTACATATATCACAGATGCATACAGAGAGATAAGCTAGTAATAAATATTGTAATAACTACCTTGCTATATAACGTATTACGTAGTATATACTATTCATGTTCGGAGATAGGGGTATGCGGAGATGATAAGATGAGATGTGATAGAATTCTAAGCTGAAGCCGAGAGGCTACTAGGGCTGATAAGAACCTTAGGTATATTACTTATTAGGCAGGGTATAGTAATAGAACTGTCTTCAAGTCGGGCACTTAATTGCTACCCGGTCTTGACCCCGGCCTTGAACTCGCCACCCGGCAGCTCGGCAGGTAGAAACCGGCGGGGCGGTTTAAGACAACGTTATGAAACTTTTCATAGAAAATTTTGTCTATACCTTAGGTATGTATACAGGTCACCAGGATGTTAATCACTATTTAGTGGAGATGTTACTTGAAGCAGTTAATAAGTATCGTATTGCTTTATTTATATAGCAGTATATAAACCCGTTCGAATATTCTAGTATAATTTTTACTTAAATAGGTAATTGTGGATAATTAAAGTCTCCCCAAAAACATGAGATGTGTATTTTTCCATAATATTTTGAATGTTCTGATACTTCGCTTTTTCAAGTAACATCTCCACTAAATAGTGATTAACATCCTGGTGACCTATATACGTGACCCCTGTCAGTGTCGACAAGCATTGGCCAACGCTTGGTGACAGCTACCTAACCTAGAGTTTTCCTATTGCAACCCATGAACTTGAAGCACAGCCACCGCCGTTGTCTCGGACGCTGATGAATTTTTTTCTTCTTTTTGTTTGCAAACCAGGACACGTTATTTAGACATTTGAGGCTCTTTTTACTACGAGTTTTGCTCGGCATCCAGCATACTATTGATGATGATGATGATGATGATGATGCGAAGGACATCCTTGCACAGCCACATCGTCCTGTCAGGGGCGGGCAGATGCATTAGGTACCTATCTATAATCCTCCTTGTCTGACGCCATCGCTTTTACATTTCTATTACTTTTATGTTTTTTATGTTTGCCATGGTGTTTTGACCAGATTATGTGCGTCCCCTGCGTTACAGGGGCATCCTAAGACTTGTGTATAGAGAATGAATAACTGGTGATAGGTATCTACATGATTCTTTTACACCCACCCTACATAGGTAGTATCAATGTTATCAGAGTAGAAACACGTTATACGAATCGCTTCCATAGTAGGTCGGCAGTTGCGATCCTATTTACTACTTAGTTGGAATCTATACTTCGATGTCTACATAGGCATATATCGCTAGTCGAGAAGCTGTCCTGATTTATTACATGGCTATTGTGTATCGTAACCGACCGTCCTGGTCGGATTTTTCTATCCTAACGTAGGTACTTGAGCCGCAGATAGTATTCAGAACCAGGTCCGAATTCCGCGTGGTTCGCTGTCCATGGGTCTGGTTCTTCAAAGTCCCCACCCATGCATGGCTTCCATGTCCAAGCGATACTTCACATTACGATACGTATTACATTCCCAATTATTGTGTGAGCTCATAGTCTTGCCCTATGTGATTGAGTGGATAGGAAAGCTCACCTTCTTCCCCCTTTTGGTCACTCTTGTTATTATAGTCGGGCGTTACTTGGGGTTTCTTCGAATGTTTGTTAGTGCATAGCTCTCTTAGTCGGGGTTATGGCCAGCAGCCAGCCTACCTACCTACCTACCTAGGTAATCATTCAATTGCGGTTCATGGCTGAAAATCAGCCACCCCCCAAAGCACTGGTGCCCAATACTCATTGACCGGTAACACTTAGCTTTTAGACTATCACCTTTTACTCTATGTCCGCGACCTAAGACTCGTTGCCTCGTTGCCATGTTGCCCTGTGCCCTAGGTGTAAGCAGTTCCTCCAAATTTTCGGACGAACTGGCTGTTCCGGTAAGAATCGTCACTAATTGGAGATAGATTGGGATTATAGGTCGAAGTTGTGATGTATGATATCTAACCACGGGCGAACCGGGAGCCAAATAGATTCCCAATGGCCTAAGGATTACATACCTACGTGTAGGTGCTTACTTACATCCTATATGACTTGCACACATAATACTCCGAAAGGCTGGCGCTCTCATGGCTATTGTACCCTTGTACAAGTGGCCGAGCCAATGTTCTGAGCTACCCCGCTTCTATGTGATATTGTTCTGATCCTCGGCGGGCTTTACTGAATTATACCAGTCTACGGCCAGCTTACACCGTGGATCGAGACTAAAAGTAGCAGCTCTCTGTACTTAGATTCTAGGAGATATCCGCTAGTTGGCATCATTACTGCGTAGTTACATCCTTGTTTATTTGATTAGGTTTTTTGTCTAGCTCTGGAGTGGTGTGGCTAAGTCTCTCATTAGCTGTCAGGACAATGCCAATGCCAATGCTGCAGGACAGCCCGATTTCATTCAACACCTTTTAACAGCCAACTTGCAAAACTCCCACCTCAGGGTAACTTTTCCCTTTAAGTACTCAAGCAGCTCGTCTGTGCGATCCCCTTCCTATAAGACAATGGAACTGTTCTCGTCAAAGCACTACCGTGTGAGCTTGATTATTCGGAGACGTCAGAGGCTGAATACCGTACCCCCCACTTAAACAAACTCATTCAGCTCTTTTATCGTAGCTTGCCAACCGAAGCTGTTGGGACGCGACTCTTCTGGCAGACTTCATCATGGCAGACTATCCGATATCACCGCTGCTGATGGCGCCCTACAAAAACGACGTTGACGCTATCAGTTTGGGTAAAATTAATTCATTTGCTATCACCTGCGAGTTTCTCGATTCTCTACGCATGTCGGCGAACGTGTCAGGCGGTACGTATAGACTTCGTATACTGTTAGCAAGTAAGTAAATATGGTTAACAATTTAGCTAGGGGCCTTTGATACTACCCCCAACTTACAACATCTTCATAACTTCTCTATTCCTGCATTACGATTCGACCGTCCGATGAACAATACCTTACAAGCCTCCCCACTTATGAATCCTAGTCCAATGGACAACTCATCCAATAGTTGGGATAAGGAACAATGGCGCTTCCTTTGGTGGTTCGTCTGGAAAATTGATGGTTACTGCAAAAAGCTTCAAGAGTGCTTTGAGCAAAGCATACCACCCGATTTAAAAGACTGGTTGACAAGACACAATAACTCGACAGAAATACGGAACGTCGGTCTACGAGGTCTTGGCGACATATTACAAGATATCATTCCTTCCGAATTTCACGAGATACTCCCTATTATGATTGTTCAACATGCGATTTTCCATTATACCTGCGAGACCAATTCTTTCGAGAGTGTCGAATCTGCTTTCACCGGTTGGAGAAATAGGATCCCTATAATACAGACTCATCAATCGAGCCTTGATCTGGTATTCGAGCGGTTAAAGTCAGCAGATAGATCTTCTGGGAACACTCAGCTCGCTCGACCCCACATTCAAACACCCCTTTTCGAGACAGGCAGTAAATTTACCAATCTTGATATTACCTATTATCCACAGTCTATTACCGACAGCTCTTTATATCCACCTAGACACCTAGTCTCCAGCCCCGACACAAATTCATGGACCCTATCTGGGGATCAAAGTTTTGCTTCCGGTGCTGGCGATAGATACATCACGGGCTACTCCTTGGATCATGTGTCGAAGTTCAACTATTATGAACCATCAAGGACCGAAAATATCATGCCTTATACAGCAGCAACGAATTTAAACGGCCCCTTTTCTTCAAACGAGATCAATCATTCTGCATTCCAAAATCAGACCTCTCGACGCGTCGGACAAGTATATGGGTTGTCCTCATCGCCTAGCTATCCACCATATGAAACTGGGATGAACTCAATGTCCCTCAGCCATTCTACGCCATTCACTGTTTTTATGAAGTTTATAGATGGTAGGAATACTAGCCCCGTCTGTTATATATTGCGTCTTACATGATACTAGACTTTACCAACCAGGGTGGCTTACCTCACCTTTTCTCTCAGGGGTCGATCCGCTGGAACAAACGACCATTAACTTCGAACGCTCTGGTTTCCGAGAAACAATTCTTTAGGAATGCTGATAGTTTATTCTTTGATCCACTGAGAACTCTGGTATCGCATTCATTACAGGACCCTATAATCCAAGCAATAATTTCGACCACGTCGTCACTGATATTACTTGGCGGGTTGCATTCAGTCCCAGATGTTGCTGATTATATGATCAGCCTGGGAATAGTAAGTGTATATAAACTACACCTGATAATAATAACTAATCATCATTAGCATCTATTACCTAGCCCTGATCTGTGCCGTAAATTTGCTCGGATAGTTTTGCAAACCTGTCCCGAGGCTGGTGCGACAAGTTCTCCTAATAGGTCCACTCGAGGTCAAGGCCAGAGCCGGAGTCGGGATCTCGAGAAGCGTATCGATGAGATAGTGAAGAACTACAGCGGAGCGTATCACCCAGCGCATTTACTTCAGCCTCATAGCACTCAGAGAAGTCATCGAATATTACAACCTCGACAACCTATCGCTACCTCACAAGCTGGCAGCAGTCAACCCACGCCATCTATCATTGATTCTTCAGGAAGTAATATTCATAGCTTCGTTGATAACAGCATCGAAATATCCAACGTGTAGGAAGCCTATCTCTCCCTAATTTACGTATGCACACATCTAACTGGCTGTAGGACTAGTAATACCACACCGTCTATAACTAGCAACGCACAATGTGATGAGTGCGGCAAGACCTTCACCGGTAAGCACGTTAGCTCACACTTGTCCCGTCATAAGCGACAGCACCGAACCAGCAATGTAGCTATAGAGTGCCCTTATTGTAGCAAAGTCTTTAATCATGTACGCACCGACAATATACGGACGCACTGCCGAAATGTCCACGGGCTCGAGCTCCCTGAAAATGGGAAAGAATATTGGTCGCGGTTCACGGGTACACAGCTCGGAGGTTAGAGTAACTGACTTGTGGTTATCCCGAGGCCCATGTCTAAGTACTAACCCTTGCCACCCCCCTCCATCGATCATCTTGTTCTACTCTCTTATCGAATGCATATTTGCACATACAACGACTATCCATCACTTGCGTTATGCGTAAAAACATCTGGTTTCGGCTGTCATCTTTAGCGTACCTCTATGCTAGACGACTATATATCTCACGGTCTCACGGATTTCACTATAAATACCCTCTTATACGATTTATGTCTATTTTCTATACTTGTCTGAGTTTATGGGGCTGGATCCGCCCCCCCTCCCCCTTTTTTTCTTCTTGTTCTTCTTCTGTTAGGCGTCTAAATAGCATTTCTTGGTTGAGACACGGATTAAACTACAACATCGGACAGGACAGGACACACAGTACTGGGTTTTAACTAAGAGTCAGAAGGTATCGGTAAATAAGTTCTCGGAGTTGATCACTGGATAGGAAAATTAATGGGATATTTATAGTTTTTATTTCATCTTAGTATTGTTATCGTTAGGAGGTTGTAGTTGGGCTCTGTATTTGAATTCGTATACCATATCTTTGATGTCAAATTTTTATTGTATATATCTCTATACTGGATGATCGAATTGGTCAGAATAGACTGTAAATAAGGGTAAAACGAATTATTATGCACTTATCTATTGCCACTACGTCTTTCTATATTAAATGCCCAAGATTATTTTACCGGCTTCTAAACTACGACATGGTAGCGCTACTATACGACTTAGTTTACCTTTAATATTCGACATTTATGCTCTAACCCCCTCTTCGTAAATGCGAGGTACGTACGTCTTCTATATCCATATACCCATATACACATATACTAACTGTCCTGTTCCCACTACTGTCTCACTTACTCCTCTTCTTCCTCTCCTTCCTCGTCACTCTCCTCATTCTGCCGAAAAACCACCTTCTCGCAAAGCTGCAGCGTCTTCCGCACGGGTAGCCCGATCACATTATCAACAGAACCATCTACCTTCTCAATTAACAACGCTCCTGCTAAGCCCTGCACCGCATAACCCCCGGCCTTATCAGCACCCTCCCGCGTCCGCACATAGGCCTCGATAACATCGTCTGGCAGCCCATCGTGCTCGCGACCAAAGAACACCTTCGTCTCCTCAACATGCGACGCTACCGCATACCCCGGGAACTGCGCATCTGAACGCGGCGCTACGCAACATACCGCCGTTAGGACCCGATGAGTCCTAGTATCCCGCAGATGACGCAGCATGCGGATATGAGCAGCTTCAGAACTGGGCTTTTCAAGGATATTCCCGTCCCTCGTCACGATAACCGTGTCGGCCGCAATCACCAGGTCAGGATCCTTCCTGGCACGCTGGGCGTCCAAGTCGACATCTGCTTGTGGATCGGAGGAAGTAGATTTGGGCGCGGGGGGCAGGGGGGAGGCTTGCTTCTCGGCGGCCTCGTCGATGAGCGCAGCATACACGTCTAAGGCCTTCTGCTGCGCGGTCGCGGAAACGTAGCCGAAGGCGCCGAGTTCGGATTTAGATAAGTCCTCGGGCTTGGTGGAGGCGCGGATCTCGAGATTCGGGAGGCCGAGCTGCGAGAGGAGGGTGCGGCGTCGGGGAGAGGCGGAGGCGAGGATTACGCGGTGCGTGCGCATATACTTCAAAATAGGCAGGTCGAGCAGTGAGCCGGGAGGGGGCCGCCGGGGTTGTTGTTGTTGCCGGATCGGTAGGCCTTGGCCTTGTCCGTGTTCGAGAGCTGATGTTGCGTAATCTGGCGGTGGGTCGGAGGGTGTAGATTCAGGGGGAGGTTGCTTCTTTTCGTCCATTGCGGTAGAAAGAAGTGAGGGGATTTGAGATGGGGAAGTAAGTGTTTTTAAAGAAGATGGTGAAAATGAAGTAAAATAGTTTAAACCGACACTACCTTAACTTATGACGATCTTTGTAAAGGAAAGTCAAAAGTCCATAGGAAGTTACAGCAGTCGTGGTGGGGTCCACAATGCAGGTCCGGGGAAGCTTGCGTCACAAGCTTATCTAGAGCGGCTAGGGGGATGGTACGTACTAGGTATAGTATAATTAAAGCTCCTCGTGGCTAAGCTGAGGCTGGAATTGGGGTTTAAGCTTCATTTACGGAAGTCGCCTTCAAAAGTTTTGTCCATAGGTCAGCCCTTGTCAGCTTGGCAAATCTTGGCAACAACTGTTAGCCGCCATAACGGATGTACTCCTCCATATATACCAATTTAATATATTTATTTCACTTTAAATATATAAGATATAATATTGAAATTTATACTATAATAAATCTAAGGCTTTATATTTATAACCAATTTATTTGCTATATTTTAAAAATATATTTAGTTGTATAATAATCTATATAATAAAGGGTAGATTTCAATGTACATTATAATTTTTGAGTGCCAAGTGGGTCAGGCCACTCACAGCTGCTCAACAGCTGTGGCCAAGCCTGACAGGTGCCTGGTATGGACAAAACTTTTGAAGGCGACTTCCGTACATAGGTACGAAATAGGTACCTTGAGATTGACAGGGGTTCCGTCATTATGTGGTGGGGCCAGTGTCACATGCACTTTCTTGAGATGAGATGCCCTTTCTAGGAACTCAAAAAGTTTAGAATCTTATTAACTTAGATTCATCATAAATCGCGACTTGTTTTACATCGCGACTATCCTAAACCTTCTCCCACCCCGAAAAGCGCTTTCCCGCTCCGATTCCCTGGAAGATGTGCGCACCGGGGTTACCTACACTTAATAACCATAGGCTGTCACCTCATTCCTTCCAGCACCTGTCTCATGTCTTCCGATATTTGGTTTAGACATACGCGTGTAGAGTTTGTCGGGACCGTTACCAGTTGAGACTACAATCATACCAAAAGGGAACCCGAAATTTATATATACCTACCTACATTATATGCTGAACCTTGTTTCGAACATGTCGGAGCCTCGTTCGAAATCTCCACAGGATGGCGAGCACGGCGGGTCTTCAACAGTGCATGACGATAAGCCACGCCTGACAGAAGAGGAGAAAAAACAGAACCACATCGCATCCGGTACTTGATTAATCCTACTCACCCGAAGTACCCTGGACAATCACTGACAAGGACGATAGAACAGAAGCGTAGAGAAGCTATTCGAGCCGGCTTTGACCGGCTATGCGAGCTCGTACCTGGCTTGCAAGGCCATGGACGCTCCGAGGGATACGTCTTGAAAGAAACAGTCAAGTATATGAGAGAGCAGCTAGTCAAGCGTCGTGAGCTAGTAGAGTTAGCAGAGGCACAAGGGGTTGCCGTCCCGGAACGTCTAAAAGAGTAGGTCGCTATTTTCTTATGTTCACTTATACGGTATTGACCTGGGCACATTATGCTGACCAGTCTGGTTCTTACCCCAGACCGGTCAAGATTCTTGAGAAGTTGGAAACCCGGCAGAAAGAACAACAGGAAAAAGCGCGGCGCGAGGGACTTGAAAAAGCCCCTGATCCAGATAACTACGAAAGTTAAGGAGCTGACGTCGGTATTTTTTTCAGGCCGTAGCTTACGTACGAAGCACGGAATCCATTCAGCACGGAGCAGCTAATTCGTAATTCTTATGGAGATTATGGTCTTCATTATTGATAGCAGTCGGCTTTATTTTTGAGAATCGCAAATAACTCTTTCGGCAGCATGTCCTGCTTCTGGGACGTTTTTTGGCTGTCGCTACTCTCCAATCCTGACATGTCAACCGTGACAGTGCCATCTGGCACTTGCTTTGAGCCGATGGTGACGATGACACTATAACCCTTAGACTTGGCCTCTCGCACTTTGAGTGGGAGGCTTCGCCGGCTATCATCAATATCTACTGCAAGTTGAGAAGGATTTATAACAGGACCGTCAGCTGGCCCATGTCTTCCCATAAGGACATCTTGAGCCATCTTGGCTAATCCTATCACCGGTTCAGTGTCATTGACAGTGACTATCATTACCTGCCTCGGGTTTAACCAAAATGGCCACTTGCCATCGTAGTGTTCGATAAGCAGAGCCAGCAGTCTCTCTACCGAGCCTAGCACAGCTCTATGAATAAGAACAGGGGTTACAAGACCAGACTCAGCCAGTTTATCGGGGTCTGTTGTCACCTCTCCCCTTCGCTCAAAGTCGGGCGCTGGCGCCGAATAACCTAAATCAAACCGTTTTGGTAGCTGAAAGTCTAGCTGTATCGTAGCGGTTTGGTGTTCCTTGCCATCCGAGTCTCTCAACACGATATCGATCTTGGGCCCGTAGAATGCACCATCACCTTCATTCACAGTCCATTCCTGGCCGGACGCGTCCAGTGCTCTCTTAAGAGCATTCTCTGCACTTTCCCATTCTTCGGCGGTTCCTATGTAATGATCCGCTGGGCGTGTTGAAAGGGCTAATCGATATGGACCTAGTTTAAATGTTGAGTAGACAATGCGTACGAAGTCTAGTGTCTTCTTGATTTCTTCTTCAATTTGTATCGGCCGACAAAAGATGTGCCCATCATCTTGGTGAAAACGTCGCACTCGGGTAAGGCCACTCAGGGCCCCAGATACCTCGTTTCTGTGTAGTGGAGAGAAGTCTGCATATCTAATAGGCAACTGTCGATAGCTCCGTTTCTGGGATGCAAAGATCAGGCAGTGGCCTGGACAATTCATGGGTTTAAGACCATACTCGTCCTCCTCGTCGCCAGGTTTAGAACTATCGCTTCGTAGAGGCGATGTACTCGTTACAGTATACATATCGTCGCTATAATTCTCCAAATGACCTGATTTCCTCCACAAGGCTTTTTTGTAAATGGTCGGCGTAATAACCTCGTCGAATCCATATCGAACATACTGCTTCCGCAAAAAATCCACTAAACGATTGAAGAGCCGTGCACCATTAGGCAGCAGTATGGGAGAGCCGGGACTATATATCGAGGTGGTGAAAAGTTCTTGTTGGATACCAAGTTGCCGATGATCGGCGGGGGGTTTCGGTGGGAGACCCGAGGTCGCATTCGCATGGGATGAACAATATCGGTACCAGGGATACCTTAGAGAGGTTTTGCCATTACGTATTTGGACCGTACATGTTGGTATATGAGGGTATATCCTCACTATTCTTCTCGCGAACATGCCGCCGATTGATGGTCACTCTAAAACCATGACAACCATTTGAAGCTCTAAATCAACTGTAAGAAAAATAGTCCATGTAAAAGAATTGATTGGCTCATGCATGCTGATTGGAGAAGCAACAGGGATCTCAAGCTTTTTTAGCTTGGCGCGCTAGTATAATTTAGTGATTCACTGACAGGCGAACATCAGTTGTATGAGGTACTGATATCATGCGGCATATCGTCAGCCTAATGAGTGTACTCCATACAAAATCATGATTAACGTAATGTTTATTACTGGATATGGTACAAGATCCAATCAGATTTCGAGGCGCTAACCTCGTGACATCAAGTCATTCGCGAGTAAATGGTAAACTCACGAATTTTATCTGGTGCACGGAAGCCTCGATTAAACACGGAAACCCGCATCTTCAAACCAAAAAATAAACAAAAATTTTCTTCTGCCTTAGGGATTTCCACTCTTATCTCCAAATTTCAAATTACTCCAATGTCCATTATTTTATGAGTCACTGTAAATCCGCGAACCCTTGACTAGCAAACTTAACACTACCGTCTCTTACCCTCTTCATATTATCCTGGCGCTGATATATATAAATATATGATAGTCGCGTCTGCCTTGTCTTAAACTTAGATAATATTTTGATATCGTACTTAGTACGAACTTTATTCAAAGATTTAATACCTTCGTTTTGCCAAAGAAGTTAAGCTGGGCCTTGTTTAGCTTTCCAAAGAAGCAAGTTCACGGATACTATGACAACCTGAGCTGACTTTGACCGAAAGCAGTCTTTATACAGTATGGCGCGAACACGCAGAAGTAACCTCTCTGTGGAGGATTCCTGGCGCATGGTAGATGGAGGTGAAAATGATAGTTTTGATACGACTATTATTCAAGATCCTTTCGAGGGCGACCCTATCATATTCAGCAGCCAGTCACAACCATCTCAACAGTCTCAGATGACCTCGTCATCCCAAGCCCAAAGTGTGGCATCCCAAGACAGTATTCGTGACTTTGCCAATAATGCGGATGAAGACCGGGTTATATTACGAGCTCCCTTTCAGCCTTCACTTGCTCCCACTAGACATACCTCTATGGATAAGGATCGAACGCCTGTTCCGGAATTCTTTATGCCTACCGTTGAAATTAACAGTGAACAAGGTAGTCGCCGTTCATCAAGATCTACCAATCCTATCATGCACGAGTCGCGCTTTACCAAAAGAAGAGGCAACCGTCGAGACAGTGATACAACTGCACGACAATCTCAATACCAGCAAGATGAATTGCTCCCAAGACCTTCACTTGCAGAGAGATTTACAAGCTCTGTTCCCGGCTTTCTATTCGAGCTTGCTTCCTGGATCATAGGTGTCCTTCGCATGACTCTCCGATACGCACAGTGGCCACTGGCTATTCTCCTCGCCATTTATCTGATCATCGGCGCAACTATAACGGCTAAAGACATAATTATCAGCTCCGTTTCAGCGCCTCTTGCACCTATATGTTGGATACCAGGCGTATCTCTGGTTAACCTTCCGTTCTGCCCAAAGGATTCACGCTCGGGAGTACGCGACGGCTCATCGGTGGTTGAATTCGATGAGCTCATGAACGTGCAAGCTCAATTTGAGAAGGTGCTAGAAGAATCGGCACAGGGTGTCTCATTGCCGATGGATATGAAGCGATCAGAAGCCTCCGTCCGAGACCTACGTACAATGGTCAAATATAGCGAGTTACCAACTCGCGCCGAGCTAGTCCACGAATTTGATACTTACATTGATATCGTCCGGACTAGCGCCAACGACTTGCAAATGTTCAACACCCATGTCGGTGGTGCAGTCGATAGCATTATTAGCATCAACCGATGGACAACGCGGTATATCGACTCGATCGCCATGAACCGCGAAGCCCATAACAATATGCTATCGCGCTTTAGTGACTGGATTTTCTCCCCCTTCCAGGTGTCAGTATTTGACGAGCGTGCTCTCTTAGACAAATACATCGAACACACAGCTTTAGTATCGGACAAGATTGCGAGCCTCATTGTGGAGGCACAGGGAATACTACGCCTACTTGGCGAAGCAGAGAATTCACTACAGCTTATAAATGAGCATGTCGTGCGCACAAGTAACGTGATGAAGGAGAAGCAGAATGAAGTATTTTGGAACATATGGACGCTGGTGGGGGCTAACACCCGTCGCCTCCACAACATAAGAGTACAGCTTGGCCTGCTGCAACAAGTCAACACGCAACGAAACTCAGCAGTCCAGCGGCTAGATAGCTTAGTCCATGACTTGTACGATATCCAAACGAAGCTAGGCGACCTGAGAGATAGAGTCGCTGCCCCAGAACTGCTGGCAGACTCGACAACCATACCTCTGGCGGTACACATCGAGACTATCAACGCTGGAGTCGAAAGGTTGGAGACCGCGCGTGGTCGTATCCGAGCCGAGGAGAATGAACGACTTCGACAAGCGCTACAGAGATCAAGGGAGGATGACCACTTAATCGATGGTTAAAATAATTGATGAACACATTCATTGTTAGGATGTATGGATTATGGGTATCATGAACTTGGGACTTAAAGCGATGGGAGTTTAGGCATAGGTATATATTAGGTTGGCATGACGGGATACGGATGCTGGCTTAGTGTATAGCGGTACATTCTCGGAATGCGAGGTGTGTTAGGTCTCAGGTATAGGCTGTAGAAGACTGTGAATACTAAAATACATATATTTCTTTTTTAAACTAAGGCCTATGGGATTCTTTGAGCGCGTGACTTATTATATTGCTTTGATAGCATGGCCGTGGCAGTAGTATATAGCGAAATTTAAAGTGAGACCTAATGGGATCGATCCAAAGAGACAGGGGTCGGTAAAAAGGGGTAAAAGAGTGAATAAGTGTACGAGCACTTTAACACATACTATAAGCTAAGGGAGACCTATAATTGGTATGTCGATAATCTGTACATGTATTCTAGTTCAAGTTAGCAAACAGCATAACTAATAAGTATTCTCAGTAACCTTGAATGTCGATGGTGTTGCTCTTGTACGAGCCTTGCTAGATACTAAATACACGTCTTAGCGGGGCCCAAATCTGGCGCGCACGAATCTTTTGGCGTGTCTTGCATAGGTACCATCCACACAATGACTTATTATGTTCAGACGTACAACAATCATGTCTTTGTATTCAATTAGCCTAGACTGCCTATTTAAACCCGTTCTCTAGGAGGGGCTTATACTGATTTCCATCAATTTATTCTCGCCAAAACCCATCATGCCAGAACAACGACCAATTAGATTCCTAGACCCTCAACCCACCAACGCGTCGGCACAGGAAGATCAAAGTCGCACGACAAATTCATCGACAGTATCTTCAAGCAACAAGGCCGGAAACAGTGGATATGGCTACTATAGCTACTGGTACCTTTCGGATAGCGCCACTAAAAAAGATAAAGGGATGGACTTGAATGTTTCGGGCAACCGCGGTGGCAGTGGGTAGTAGAGTAATACCACTATTATAATTTTGAAGGCGAAAAATAGTGATACCTTAGGTGCTTCCAAAGTAGCGAAAAACTTGGGAGTAATATCTGCACTATTCCAATAGTCTTTAGTATTCAGTAGTTCGCTTTGGGGTGAATATTTCTAGAAGATGTCGTTAGTACCGGAATTATTGGAAAAGGGGGTGACTGGGGAGCAGATTTTAACGAGATTCTATCCCGCAAAATAGCTCGTAGCTACTGGGAATCATCACAGAGTTAATTTAATACCCTTGAATATTTATCTAAACTCTGCGTAATCGGGATGTTTGATTGTTGGAATTCTATATGAGACATCTAGGTAGAACAAGCGACACTTTTAGTATGAGTAGGTAGTCATAGACTATCATAGTTAACTTAAAGTTACTCACGGAGTATCCAAGTTGTTTTCATACTTCTTGTTCTATCTCGTGATAAATGACATGATATTGTGTGTCTTTAATAATGCTTACTCGGTACTTTTCTATAATGGGTACCTAGGCTATCTGACGATGTAAGAAATGAGAAAATCGCTATAATAGAATTACGAGAATCTATATTCCTAGCTACTAACGGGCTACTAATAGGACCAGTAGTGAGCATAAAAGCTAAGTAGTCGTGATGTAAGTGCAAATTAGCCAATAACACACGTAATGCCTAGGTCCGCTCTAAACTATTCTGAGTAACTTGCAGGCTTTATATCAAGGTAGTTATGTCATACTTGGATTAAGATTCTGACTATTGTTAGAACTCTGTAGAGCGAAAGTGTTCATTTGATACTTTCCTCAGTTTGCTGGACTGCAGACTCGTCGACTTAGACTATTTCTAGATGGGCATGTTATCATACGTCAAGTATAAGTGATGCAACATTATCGAATAAACTATGGAGATATGATTTAGGTTGTTAAGTACTACGGTCTAGTTAGGAGGTAAACAAAATGTAAAGAAATAAATATAAAAAGAGCTTCTACCTGAAGATAGCTCTTGCGTTCTTCTTCATCCACAACACCTTCTACTTCTCCACCATTTGCAGTCGGGATTATACATTTTCTCTAACCCCAACCATTCTGCACCCAAAAATAATAACGGAAACGATGTCTGATAAAGATCCAGGCCGGATCTCCCGCACCCTTGGACGCTTATTTGGAACTACCGAGAAACCATCATCTTCAAAGCCTTCCTCGCATAGCAAGCCAGATGCCGCTGGGGGACTACCGGAACGGAATATGTATGGTCCCCCGGCTACGGGACCATACCACTGCGACTTCTGGGCTGAAGATAAAGGACAAAAGCATATAAAGCTGAACGAGCCGTTCTCTCTGACTATCAAGCGGTCAATATATCGCCAACGCCACAAAAGCAAGCCGGTCACAATCAAGGTGACCAAAATAGAGCAGCATGGTCGGAATCCCGTTGAACGTCATCATATCAATGACCCGGGACATTTTCTACAGGGGGAAAAAAGACGGTACTGGGACCGAGAGCAGCTTAGCCTAACATTTGATAATCTTCAGATATCGGTGAAAGGCGAGTATCTCATCAGCGCGACCATCTGGGAGACGCAAAAATGGGTTACTGGCCTTCACACTATCTATTTTGGATGTATCTACGTGTCGTGAGATTAGGGCTTCAGAGGATAGATTGAGATAGCGAGGCATTACCATAATTAATATGTATTGATCTTGGATCTTACTTATTATTTATAATTTTATTGGTATTGAGCGATGTCCAACCTAATTATGTACCTAGGGTAAAGAGAGTAAAGCTAGCTAAAGATCGGAGTTAACCAAGTCTCCTACCTAGGTCATATAGTTTTAACTTGAATTTCTATAACAACTGAATCTAGGGGGTAGATAAACGCTCAGGTGTCTATCCTGATTTCTCCAATATCCGACTTACCCGTCTACCTTCTTTCTGGCTCGTATTACGACATAGCCGGAGAATACCTCGCAATCTAAAATGAGGTCGTAAGCGTGATTAGGTACGTTGGTTTTAATTCGATAACTTATCCCTTTCGGCACTTCGGGTTTGAAATTGGAACTAAGAGTCGGATATTTACGGAAGACTTACGTGTCATGCAGCAGCAGGTGATTATGTCTCAAGTTCTCAAAATAGCATCGAGTTAAGCGTTGAGAATATAGAATATACTACTTATTTCTAGCGTACCTATATTTCCTATTTTTATTATCCCCCCTATTGTCTTTTATACTTGTATAAAGTCACGCAAGATAGGGATCCGTGATAATGGCTGCTATTACCGATGCATCGGCTTTCGAGAGAAATAGGGGATGGTACCAGACCGACTTGATCGAAGTCAATGAACCTTTTCACCAACTTCTCGAGCAATACTCCAAGATACCTGGTTCTGACATCGTCGATCACGTAAAAAGAATAGTAAGTATCAAGTATCAAATCTTTCTGTAGCGAACTAATCAAGGCTTAGCGTGATAGAGCTTTTGAATCCAGTCCCTATCCATGCATTGGCCTCTTCCGGTTTACCAACCTCACTTTAATCACTCACCCTCTCTATGAAAAGATCGTTGGTCTTCTAAAATCGGAATCGACGGAAACCGCCTACTTGGATATAGGCTGCTGTTTCGGGCAGGATTTACGCCGGTTGGTTTTCGACGGAGTTCCTTCTAAACGTCTTGTGGGCCTCGACATCGAAAGGTCTCTGCTAGAACTTGGATATGATCTTTTTCTCGACCGGGAGACACTTAAATCACAATTTGTGATTGCGAATATCTTAGAAGCGCAAGGCAAAACATGGGAAAGTCTTGAGGAGCGTGGATTTGATGTGATACACTGCAGTGCCGTCTTCCACCTCTTCACCCTAGACAAGCAGATAATAGCAGCAAAGCACATTGCAAGATTAGTCAAAAAGGGAGGGATAATCATAGGCAGGCAGATGGGAAGTGTTAAACCTGGTGATTTCCCTGCGCTTACAAAAGGGACCTTCTGTTATAGGCATGACGTAAGTACGTTTGATGCGATGTGGAAAAAGGTAGGCGAAGCCACGCAAACGCGATGGAATGTCGAGGGGATTGTGGATATGGTTAATATCAGTCCTAACAATTACCTCGAAGGGGAGGATAGTCGCCGTCTACTCTTTACTGTTACTAGAATAGAGTAGCATGGAGTACTGTTTTCCTTATCGCCTAACTGGCATCGGATCTCGATGGACTCGGATAAGGCTGTTCTCAAGGTGGAATATGGAATATCTTCCGAAGATATGAACGACGAATAAAATAAATAGCACTGCCGGACTTCGAAGTGGCGGATTGCAGTGGCTAACGACCAATGTTACCCACCATGTCAAGTACCTAACCGGTTAGGTACATGTTTGTCTGCAGGCTGTAATAGAATGAATGCCTAAGGCTTAGAGTCCAGGTACACTGCCGTGGTACGCACTGCCCTATTCTTTTACACTATATGTATAAGTCAAGCAACAGGAAGAGTAATCAATTTGAACAAGTCACCTTTCTTTAACCATTTACTTTTATAGATACCTCTTAAGCTATGGGATCTTTCGAATTAAAACCTACAGTGTCAGAGAAGTGCACGTGCCACTCTATCGTGCCTATTACTACGTGGGGGGAAGGCAAACGGTCTGAGAACGGCATTAAGATCATAGATTTAATTACTCTTGAACCTGAAACGACGAAGTGGCCATTCGACCCTGAAGATGATATTGTTTTCATGTATGGCAGAACTGAATTTAATAATATAGTTCTAATTTAATTCATTATTTTAGGGTTGTCAAGGCCAATGAAGTCCGCCACTGCGTGGTTTGCCGCGAAATATTTATCCAAAAGTTCCACATGCCACAATTCTGGTGGACTGACACATATAAAAGAATGAATGGATATTTCGGATCAGAGTTTGAGGAAAATGCGGATGGGGTCATTGAAACCTACTGTAAGTACCTCCTAATCTAGCAAATATTTCAACTACAACGAACTGATTGATAAAGCAACATGGTCTCGCGCTCTTATAAAACACTCCGAAGCATTGCGTAAATCGGAAACTCACCGTGAGCTTAAATATAGATGGCTCAAATTCAACATATTCACAAGATGGTTTATGAAGGGAAAGATGATAATTATTGCCTTTGACCCAGTCGAAATGATGCAAGAAAAACTGCGTGGGCTGTTTCTGAGCCGTGTAGGTAAAGAAGACTTACAGGACCCTTACTGGCCTTATGAACATATCCTGGGAGAGCTTGTGTCTTTACAGGGATCAGCTATTTGGAGCCTTCGGGATCTCATAAGAACTATAGAACTCTCGCCAACAAGAGACCCCAGAACTCTTCAAGAAAAGCCGAAGTATAATTATTCAAAGATGCACGACATAGCTCGTCATGCTATTCATGTATCAGAAACATTGGATCTAGCTGTCAAGCTCTCCGAGGATCTCATTCAGGAGCACCAAAAGTTGTTTACATCATCTTCAGATGCGAAGCCTAGACTTGAAACCGACAGAGCAAATTCTCTCAAGCAGGTATATTCCAACACACATTCACGTCTTGTGTTTTTCAGCCATGCACTTTTCAGCCTTCGCTGTCGCTCCTCTTCGAATCACCAACGACTCAGTAATGAAATCCAGCTGAGGTTTCATACCGATTCTCAATATGACTCGCAAGTATCTGTGGAAATTAGCCATTCCGCCAAATCAGACGGTGCCTCTATGAGATGGATTGCCATTGTCAGCCTCATATTCCTCCCAGCGAACCTCGTATCTTCAGTCTTCAGTACGACATTCTTCGAAACAACGAATGGAATGATCTCGGTTACAAATGACTTTTGGATATACTGGGTTGCCTTAGTTGCCGTTACCGTAATGACCTTGGCGCTCTGGTTTTGTTTGTCGCAGTTTAATGTCCAAGTAGGGGGTATACCATTAAGAGGGTTTACTGTGCGGCAGAAAACGGAGAGATCGCTGGAAGATTCTACCCAATGCGTTGTATAGAAGGCATGTCTATATTGAGCGGCCAAGAAGTGAATCGCGGATATGCCCCATTATAGCAAGTATGACAGCCTAAAGAATATATTTCGAGAAAACGTCTTGTACGGTACTTGATAAGGACGGCGCGTAATTGAAACTTCAGTATCTAGTTCGGAATAGTTTCATAAATTCTACATTATACCTCATGTTCAATTTGACTTTAATTATGATAATTACACATTGGGAGCGGTTGTTGCTTGCCGTCTTTTCTTGTAAGCTTGGTACGTTTATCATGTTCGAAAATTTACATTTTCTCTACCGAATTCTAACATTAAAGATCTTTATAGATACAATTGAATCATGAGTTAACATATCATTTTAATCAAGAAACTTGTATCTTTATTTTGAGCAAATAAATAAAAGAGCTGTCACAGCTCTTGAAAGTTTATGGGTCAAGTAATAAGGACAAAGGATATGTAGCATGATTAGTATCTAAGCTATATCGTTCGGATGGAAATCATAAGGTTATTTAGAGCATATATTGTTCCAAAGTCTTTCATTCTGTTTCTTGATTAAGAAAATAGGGTTTCAACGCAGTTAACAACTAAACAATAGTTTCAAAACAAATTATTAAAAAGAATATGTTGCAGCACTGACAAAACATAAATACTACTATCAACGAACTCACCAGTTATACCTAATATGCACAACAGTTGCATTCATTTAAGATTCTGACTCTTTATTGAAGCAAATAGTAATAATTCAAATTTCTCAAATAAATAGCTTTATTACTACGAACAACATCCTCCAACCTACAGACCTTAAGATTCCCAAAACAGGAATTTCAGATAAAATGCCTTTCGTACCTACTAGCTCTCATAGAGCACCCACTTGGGTGGAAAATCCCTGGATTTCGAAGCAACCCGAGCCCAAAGATATTATAGAGATAATGCCATTTGTAGGCCAAACTGAAACTAAGCTATGGATCGAAGATGACAAAGTTATATCTGTTCAGCCAAGGGAATTATTCTCCCTGAAAATCAAACGAAATACTCCACCACCGTCAATACGTGATCATATTATAATTGCCGCGTATAAAGTGGTCCCGGGTGAGTCAAATGTTCGAGGTTACTTTTCATCAGGAAGAACAGGTCTCCCTTGGAAGGGAAAGTGCATTTTAACATGCGATGACCTTTCTATAAAAGAACCTGGAGATTTTCGCATCAGAATAACTGCTTGGGATACGAAGGATGGACACTGCGATATAATTGCTGACTTTTATAGCGAAATCATCCATGTACTATGAGATTAATGAGGTTTCTCAAACAGAGAATTACGAAACATTAGAAGTAAGCTGCTTTAGATTGCTTTATTGTTAAAGGGGCGTAGTCATCATTATTCTAGATAATAATAATTCTAAATAAAATTCAATATTTATAATTTTGTTAAATACCTTCTTCGTAATTACTAGTGATGAAAGGGGGGGGTTGAAAAAGATAAAGTTGGTAAGGAGGAAAGTAATGCAGCGCAATTATCTTCTCGCATATCATTTATTAATGAAAGTACAGTGTTACTGGTCATGGAAAAGGATATGTATTATAGCAATTGACTGGTCATAGACGGTACATTTCCTCATCCGACCAAGAGCATAGGAATAATAATTCGGATTGTTTTTCTATAGGTTGATACTATTAAGAGACTCGCCATTAGTAATGTTGCGGGAAATCATTGCCTTGCACCTATCAAAGCTTATTACGGAGATATATAGGATACATTTATAGGAGTCTACGGTAAGAAGCATGATTTATCCATTATTATGTCTCAGTGTATTAGCAGTAACCCCTAATACGACGTCCCAACTTGGCAAGTAGTAACGAATTTGAGAAGCCCTATTCGTCGGTCGATGGGTAATCAAGAATATCTTATTACCTTTTAACATATCGTCTTAACTTTACCATTTCATCGGATTTAATTAAGTTATTAACCCTTACAATTCAGCTATGCTAGCTGATTTAAGGGGTAACATTAGGTTAGGTACCTAAGATTAACAATTTTCTGATTTGTCTCTAGACCTATATGAGCTTATTTAAAAGCACTATGCAATTGCACTTGCTCGAAGTCTATTATCATTGTTTTTTCTTTTTGGAATAGTTACTTCATTTAAACGATTTAAATAGTTCCGGCCAAACTGCGCATCCAGGTTATCCCCTGAATGATTGCTTCATCTGCTGCTTAATGATGATTAATCGCCTATATTAGAAATCATGTCTCTTGCGATATGGATTTTGGTATTGGGGGAAATCCTTAAAATCGAGAATAGTATCATGCAAGAAAGCCTTCAATGTGTTGATAATATAACCTCAGTCAAACCTACCGCCATAGAATCAGCCTTAGTAACTTAACCCATCTATGATCTCTAGAACCTTTTGAGTCATAAGATTCAGCCAATGAAATATAGCTATTTCGAAAGGCTAGTTCCGATACCCATAATTCTACACTTTAACGAAGATAATGTTACTAAAAGTTGAGTAAACACAATCCTTTATTTCATTTTCCAAGAGATAAATAAAGCAAACTCTCTCCATCTTTTTAGTAATCATCTTTATTGGCTGTCTAGCCTTAGATAATGCCATATTTAACCTCATTAGAGCGCATCAGCGAGCGAGGCTTAGTAGTCTAAAGGTGAAATATTGGATTTTAATGGAAAACTAATGTAGTGCTTATAAAGATATTAATACTAGAAAAATTGATTTAAAAGGATGAAATAAGAATATTAACAACTTCTGAGCTTTTCAGCCAATCCTTACAATTCTCCTTTCCATACAAAGTTACACACAAAATACACCTCTCAGTTAGGGGGTGCCATGATGACATATATCCCACGTAGCGAGTTAAACCTAGAGATATCAAAATGGTATCATTTCGCTTTCGAAACTTCTAGATGGAAGTCATCTATACGAGGGACATATGCTATATATATGCAACACACCACCCATCGCATATTATAAAAGAACACTCGAGTCTACATATCATTCAAATTTATTCGACCGTGCTTACAGTAGCCATTGCGACGCGTGGGTACGATTTGTCGTGGCACGAATCGCAATCTCTGCCAACGGAAACCAAGAAAAAACCCAACGTGGCTATCCAGACGCACAACTTATGTTTTTTTATGCTTATTCTGTGACAGAAAAATTTTTGTGTTGTCCAAGTTTGAGCATGGGAATCAAGAAAATGTATTCTACGTTGGCGATTGCTGGCCCATCAAAGGAATAACATGTAACTGTCTCCTGAGTATTCGTACGTTGAAGGGATCTCAGGCTGTTCCTCGAAAAGGGATAAATATGTAGTTCGCTGTCCCCTATGTTGACCTCTTCCCCAGCAGCATCGAAGTTTTCAAACTAGCAACAACAGCCCTCAACAGCCCTCAACTATCATATCATTACTTCTCGACTTCACCAGCAATATAGCACCAAAAGCCAAACCGCCGGCTGCACATGCATACAAATTCTCACAGAGGAGCGAGGAAGAGAAATTCCACAATGCCTTCTCTGGGAAAAGCTTCAGGGGTTGCTTTCAGCCTTTCACCGCCTGCGCGGGTTCGAGTGGGCGCAGGGTTCCGGATAAGGATTCGGGCGCCCTCCAATGACGACAATGGTTCGATGGCAATTGTGAGGCTCGTGCGCGTGTCTTCCTGCCGAGACAATTCGTCAACGGGCTTACTCGCCTCCTCGGACTTGTTCCAAGGAAACGTGGTCGGAAACTGGCAAGCTGAAACAAACCAGCCCGCAAGCAATGGCCAACAGTACGATATTATGGAGTTCAAGTCTCTCACAATAAACCAACCCGGATCCTACTATCTTAGGATCCAACTCTACGGCGCACCAGCCGCCGGTGGGGAAAGATCTGGCTTCCATGTGGAGCACATCAGAAATCTGGATAGTGAGAGGTTCTATGTGGGGACGTGATGAGCATGGTCAGACTGTCTTGGATGCTTCCAACCATGCAAGAATTTTGTGTTAATACAATATGAACATAGTCTAAAAAGTAGGTTTTTTCTATAATTTGGAACGAATATTCCTTTTACGGCCGGAAAGACTATTGTTTTGAAATTCTGACTAACACTATTGTATAGATATCGGGATTGGCCTAATATAGAGGCTGTATGGATCAGTTCAGAAGGTCGATGTGGAACGCTTTGTAATATGCTCGGGTCTTCTTTGGTGGCTCTTTTCTTAAATATTCTGGTTCCTGCATTAGAAGGTGGTATAATCTTGCATCTTATCCTCATGGGACGTTCTACTTAATACGCCAAATATTGTTCTTTTTACTTGGGAGGGGAAAGGTAGCATACGCATCGGTCATCACGATCCAAAAGACTTATGAGATATGAATAAATATAGATTCTTTATTATATCTTATAGAAATAAGAAATTGTTGCACAAGCAACTAACTAATTGTTCCAGATGTTTGCGATTGCCTCTTCCGCCCCACCTCCCCTCCCCCTATTCCCAAACGATATCATATCAGAAAGTTGCTTATATATAGCTTGTCTATAGGGTAAGTAAAATAGTAGGTGACTATTGGGGGGGAAGTGTCTATTGGATCCTTGGGTGTTCCATGGGACGAGGTTTAATGCGGTTTGGGATTGTCCATTGGTGGCCTTATGGGATACGCCTCATCGAAGCAACGTAGCATCCGATTCCAGCGAGCAAACACAGCGTCATAGACACCTTTAATGTACACTGGATCATTGATCACTTCAGAGCACTGAGCCGAAGTGCTCAATGTGCCGTGAGACATTCTTGATCTATTATCAACTGGTTTCATCAAGCTTCGGATGTGGCAGACGAAACGCAGGACGTCCTGAATCAAGGAACCTACTGCCTTATTGCTTTCATTCCTCGATGTCCTCGGTTTTAACTTCTGTAGGTCGAGCTGTTTGGGTTCAAGTTTGGTAATGAGGTGTCCTAATGTTTTTTTTTTGAGTAGGACTTAGCGTATTTATCCGCAAATCCTGCCATGATTTACATAGTTTTACTATCACATCTTCGGGTTCTTCAAGTGCATCAGTAAGTCTACTAGCTGCGTCCTGAGATTGCTGAATTCCAGGCATTTCACCGGTGTCCGATCTAAAGGACGTTGAAACCGAATCAATGGTGAAAATAAATTGTGACAACTTAATATAGTATATGATAAGAGAGCATCATTATGGACCTCTTGATGTCTTTTAGACAAATGGATCCTGCTTTAAACCGAGGTGAATAATCCAAGTTCTGCATGTCCGGATATATGAAGGCCACCGCATATGTTTATCTTGTGTACCGCTTAGACCATCATTAAACTAATGTGTTGAGCGTCGCCATATTAAACTCATACTTCTGAAACCGCGGTTTCATTGAGGAACCATAGAAATTGCATCGTTAAATACTGGTGATTATGCCTGGTGTATTTCCAAACTTTCTCGTAGTTGAACGATACATGTAATATCAAACGAAGACGAAAACAACCCGCCTATCTTGTATTTTCTGTTTAAAATGAATGAGTTGGATGACTGAAGGAAACAAACTATCTTGTCAATATCAATATGTCATAAATGATGATCTATAGTATCTAAGTTTACAATGCCGAAACTAGTAACGAGCATGGCCGTAATCTTGTTATGTCAATATTTCAAGTATGAAATAAGGCTGAGAAGAGTTTGCTACGGATCTGCCGTTAGTTGTAAGAGCTCTCACGAATAATCTACTTTCCCAATAGGAGGCGGGCAGCCACGTCAAACATTGTGTCCTGAAATAGAAGCGTCGGAGCCGAGAAAGAACAAAGGGTCTAATCACCCATACATAATTACTAAGCCGTTATTAGTCGTGCAGACATTGTTGAGATATGTTCGTAAACGTATGGTTATAATAATTATGGTACCATAGAACTGTTTGATGAATGGTTACCCAAGATTAGCCATACGTGTGTATACACTTGTCGGATTGGGCGTCAAGACTTTGATCTTTACATCTAGGCCTTCGTATTCAAATATCACAAGGTAACGGGCGTCCCATTCCTAAATTAAACGTAGGTTAGACTAATACTAAATAGTTCCTCAAGTCTGACTTGTAGTTCGAAAAATGTTCGTTGGCGCGTGATGTTGTGTGCAGTGTAACACCGGTTAGTTCCAGACCATGGTTGAGGCTACAAATTGGAGCCTCCTTTATAGCAGCCTTATTAATCAGTAACTTCACTGTAAGGCAGAGTTTTGGGGAGAGGTGTGAGTCTATCGGCCTTGATTTAACTAGGATTAGCCAACAGTATTCATGCAATAAACCTTTACTATGGTGTGGAGATATTTCCAGCTGGAAATAGCTGTGCTGTATTACTTTAGGTACTCTATCTGCAAATAGAGGGGAGTGCTCTAAAGAATCTATCAATATTAAAATTAGACAGAGATACCTCCCTAAATGTTGTATCTATTTTATTGTAGAGGTCAGTCCGCCCTTCATACTTTAGCTTGTACATAGGGAGGTATGGTTTCAACAACTACTGGTTCGCTTAGGATCCCAACAATGCTATGATTCGTTATGATGATCTGTGAGAATTTGCTTATATATGATAGTTAGGTATCTACCTAATATTAGGTACTTATATGCCCAACTTAGGATTGTATCAAGTGTATAGCAAGTACCTCATATCAGGATAGAGAGGTACTAATCAAAAGAAACAGAGTACTTTCTATAGTTATGTAGTATAGATAGTTACAGAAGAATTGTAACTAGATACCTTATAACATACCTAGATACCGAGATATTTAAAATATAGAGATATGTTCAAGGATGACATGCCATGCATCACCTTTGACATCCAAGTATTTTACCTTAGTTCAGGATATCAAAGCTATGCAAAGTATAGTGATAGGGTTTATAAGGATATCAACTTGCCACAGGATTTTCGTTGGGAAATTTTCTTCGGCTTAGGCCATGGACCAAACACGAACCAATCACTACTATTTCGAACTCTACACTAACGTTAATATCAATAGTGAAAGCTTCACTGAGTCGAATTGGCTACTGAATAGGGGGGTGGATTTGGCGCCACATTTTCTTTATCTTATCTTTTTGTGGCTTAATCAAGGTATCCACTAAAACTTTTATCAATTGCAAGAATCGCAAGAAACGTCAATTCATCACGGGAATCTCTACACCCCGCCATTACTATTACTATTACCCTCGGTGGTAAAGGATAGAATACTTTTACTTCCTACTCATTTCATCCTTATACGTCAGAATGTCTTCTATAAGAAATGCCGTACAACGGCGCGTTCACCGAGAACGTGCGCAACCAAAAGAGCGCCAACGCCTCGGTCTACTCGAGAAGCACAAGGTACGGCATCTACTCATTTCTTTCTTATGCTATTCTGATTCACATTGCCATTCCAATACTACCTTTATTTCTTGAAGCTAATACCATTACCCCGAACTTTAGGATTACTCCCTACGTGCCAAGGATTTCAACAAGAAGAAAGCCCAATTACGCGCGCTGCGGCAGAAGGCCGCTGATCGCAACGAAGATGAATTCTATTTCGGGATGATGTCGCGAAAGGGTCCTGGTGATGCATTGTCATTAGGGAAGCGGTGGACTGGAACCGTCAATGGCGACCGTGGCAATAAGGTCATGGATATAGACACCGTGCGCCTGCTTAAGACCCAGGATATTGGGTATGTGCGCACCGTGCGTAATGCTGCGCTCAAAGAGACCAAAGCGCTTGAGGAGAGGGTTGTGGGATTAGGCGGTAGCTTAGATGCTCAAGTTGAGGAGGACTCGGACGATGAAGATGAGTTTGGAGCACCGAAGCAGACGAAACCGAAAAAGATTGTATTCACAGAGGGCGTGGAAGAGCGTGATGAGAAATTACGACGGGAAATAGAGAAAGATGCAGACGATGAAGATGATCTGGATATAGAAGACGATGCCGAGAAGGACAAACCGGAAGCATTACGTGCGGAACAGCGGCAAAAACTTCTCGAGAAACTACAACGAAGACTACAAAACGCACGAAAGAAGCTACGAATTCTCGCGCGAACAGAGCATGAGCTCGAGCTCCAAAGGTCCAAGATGGCCAAGACGGCTACATCTGGAAATATTGTCACGAAGTCCGGCAAAAAGATCAAGATTCGGGAGCGTAAGAGGTAGAGTGTTTGAATATCACGGATAAGAGACGGAAAACGAAATTAGGAATTCGGGCAGGCAGCCGAAATCTTTGACTTTTGATCATATTATTACAGGCGGCGTTCAGGCACCGGGCTTCAGATCGTCTAGAGCTATGCGATACCCAGGAAGAAATAAACCCAACCCATCCCATATTTACATTTCCCGAGCACCCTCTTGCCTCGCTCGTAACTCTACTCTGTACCTGTAATCCGCCAGCTCTCATTATATCCTCCAGCCCACCCGTAGAAGAGGAAATGACCGGCCTGCTTCATTAATATGTACTATCCGTACGGGGCTATGTGGTAATGGTATCGTATCCGCCTGTAGGTATCCTTGTAGGTATCCCGCTTCACAGTCCCTTCCTGTAGTTTCTTCTTGTCTCTATTGGCACCCTTGATCCTAAGTCCTCGTTCCGTATTCGTCATGACACACTCAAAGCTTTTCGCTTGTTAGACATTTACTCAGGCCTACTATGAGAGCCATGAGTGCCTTGAACGCCAGCGTAAGGGCCCAGATAACGCATTTGAACCCAAAACTAAGTAACTTAACAATAGTTCGCGCAGTCCCTGGGAGTTGCTCCTTATCCTTGTCTTTTATATTCAGCTTGCCGCCTAGACTACTAGCCTGGCTTTCAAGATCTAACTCTAGCTCTTCAAGACGCCCGCGCTTCTTGCTCCCTTTCTTTCCGAGTATCTTGGCGCTAAGCCGACTGGTGCTCCTGCGGAAGTCAGGATTAGAGCTCGAGCTCCGCAGGTGTGCTGGTGGGGGTGGTTCAAAGTGCTCGACAAGGACGTTCCTTTCGTCGATATTGGCGACGAGAAGTAGCGCGCATACAGCTACGTCTAGGATGTAAAAGCTATCGATACGTCCTGCTATAAGCGTATCCAGTTCCATCCAGCCCTCGCCTGTTCCGTCCCGCGTAAGCTTTGCGATATGATGCGGCGACTCGATATGTTCAACTGTGTACTCGGTTCGGCTCCATGCCGGGTTCCTGTCTATAGTAATACAGAAAGGTGTCGCCAAGGCCGGATGCACCAAGAAATAGTTTTGGCTATCTTCGTCCCAGACCAGCCTTGCACACTCTCGTTCTGCAGCCATCACAGCCTGCATATCGTCCGGTCTCTCAAGTGCTACTTTTGCTGCCCCGCTAGGGTATAACAAGGAGACTAGACCGTCGTTAGGTGGTAAACGGCGTGACGGTTCTTCTAGTGTGGTTGTTAGAGCCTCTTGCCATGCTTTCGATTCGGGTTCCCGAAGCGCTCCTAAGATACCACCGGATGACCTCGGACTTGCGTTCGGTTCCTTCCCCTTATAAGGCTTACTCGGATCATGCCGACTTAACGTTACATATGCGCTTGCCGATGTTGGGTCTATTCGCATATGGTAGAGTGGCTGCGTGGAAGATGAAGTGAGGTTATAAACCGGGGTATCTTTTTCGGGTATCAACTTCAAGCAAAACATTCGCCCTTCCGCTGCAGAGGCCTTCCATCCATTCGCTACTTTCCAGAAGTCGCGGAGCTCGTCAGTCGTGTTGACGGGGGGTATAATAGGTGGTTCCTGTGGCCGTCTAGGCCATCTTTGCGTAGAACCGGCGCTAAGAGGACTTCTTACAGGACTCCGGACTGGTGGACTCTGAGCATTAGGCACATGAGATTGTCTGCTGATGACGGTCCTCGGTATGTGAGTTGGGCTTGTCTGAGTAGGATAATACTCCTGACGGTCCAGAGGTAGAGTATGATCATACTGTGGAAATATTGAACGGATAGCCGGTTCTGGTACGTATGGTACGGATTGATCTTCGAGGGGAAGGGGACGTTTGGCAATTGAACTTCGTGATCGTCCACTATCGCTTCTCACCAGCGTGCTTGTCACAGAGAACGCGGTGCCGGCCCGAGGCGGCACTTCTGACACGGGTACTGGTCGCGATACTGACGGACCCGCCTCATTCTGATAATATGGATTATTAGAAGACATTTGTAGACTATTAGCTACCGCCGGTGTTCCGTCGATTACGAACTCCGAGAGGTCCTCCGGTGTACGTCGACCATTTCTCGGTGGAGTCATTTCAAAAGAGGAGCCCTGCTCTCGAGACGACGATTGAGGAGTGGCAGCGCGCGCTCGAGGCGTTGGTTTCCGGGACGGCGACCTTGTTGTATTGGGGAAGAGAGAAAGCCCTCCGGAGGGCCCATTCGACGCCATTTTGTTAAACAATATTTCTTCTTTTCCCGCCCCAATGAATTAGTTGTCGTTGGTCGTCAGTAACGCCGAGTACTGAATGTTGGACAAGCACAGAAGCCAAGTTGACCAAGGTAAGTCTAGAAAGATAATTCGCCTGTTACCGGGACATGGTCTCTCGATCCATATCAAGACGATGTTATCACTCGACAAGGCAGGTCACACAACCTTACATACACGTTCGCATACTAGGGATCCGGGTACAGAGATTCGGAACCCAATTACAAACAGATGGTATAAAGATTCGAGATAACAAAACAGTAAAATCTTCAACTATTTTTTTTTCTATGAAGCAAGGGAGATACCAAAAGGATGTATATACTACCTAAACATGCAGCAAGCGCTCTGGACCATGCTTGCCGGCGGTCACGATGTGCAGACCACGGAGCTACCAGGTAGCAGATCATCAAGGCTATTTTGCTAAGCGCCTGTGCGCGCCTTTGAAGGTGGGGTGAAGTATCTCAACCAGCCACTGGGGAAGGGTGGTTGTAGATTTATGCAGACCGACGAGGACCCGTCCCCTGTCATAACTGGTACCCTCTCTAACCTAGACGAGTGTGTCTATGGAGAAAAATTGGAAGTGAAGAAGTCGGCACTCCGACCTGATTTGCGCATCCAGAAATAGAATAATTGCTTGCAGGTTCAAGTAGACAGACGAACCAATCAGAAGGAGAATCACACTACATCTTAGCCGCCCAACTTCACTAGCTGACTGGCGAAAATGGTAAATTGAAAAATGCCAAGAGATGTGAAGCGCGCGCGGGGTTGGGTCAAAGAGCTTCATCGATATTAGAGATTGGGACATGATAATTTCACAAATGTTACTCTCCAAAGAGATCCCATAAATGGGTATTTGGTAAGATTGGTACAAGGCAGATCGCAGATAGCCTGCCTTGCTGCTATAGATCTCTATATACTTAATCTAGTAACACTTGAATTCAACCAAATATCAACCAATCCTTCGTAAATTTTATTTGGATCTAGAATAGAAAAGTCCTAAGGATGTTTTTCTAAAGACAATCAATTTTCATGCTTGATTTGGTTTTGTCAGATTTGCAGCGTAGCTATTACCACTACTTTTCTATCATCTCAGGATTAGATTATTATTGCGTCTTATGAAATATATCGTAAGCTATTTGGCTTTGCGCGTTTATAGCCTCGATGTCATCTCAGATTGTGTTTGTCCCATGACCTTATATCTTCTCTCACAATTAACCCGCCTAATGAATGCGCCACAAAAATGACACCTCTGTTAACGGGGCCGTTTCGTTCGTACGCATATAGAAAGTCTTATGATACGCGCATGCGGGCATTCAACAGGGAGAAAATCAACCGGCCAGTAAGTTAAATTTTCAAAATTAAAATCGATTCAACTCGTGTCTTCCTTAATTCTCTTCAAAGATGTTTCGGTTGCATTCCTTGAGTCTTGCCTTTTATGACGAGATACCTTTGTAGAAAGTTTCTGTAAAAATGAAGGTCGTTTAATTTTGTTGGTAGGGGCGCTTCTATCATTCGCATTCTCTTCGGTCCAAAGTCACGTATTCTTAAGCTAGACTTTAAAGGCCATGAATAAATATAATACTGGGAAGAAACAAGTTAGAAAAGCTTTCACGCCGAGGCGATGAGGTAATTGACATAGTATCATACTCCGCTTCTAGGCCCTCGCCTTCGGGCTCATACAAAACTGTTAGCCCCACTTCAGCGATGCCTTCATGATATAGTTACAACTAGACTAGGATGTATCGCGAAGTAATTATTATGAGAGTCTTGGGAATTGCATCTCTGGGTATTTCTAAATTTGGGAAAATGAGAAGCCTGAAGGGTTTAGAAGAATATCAGGTTCGGAGGCGCTTCCGCCAAATTCGAACCAGGGCATGTGAATGGTCAAAAGCCTTCCAATAAAAAAACGATATTTGTATAAGGTAAACACTACATAGGTACCGAAGTGCCAGCAATTTCAAAAATCCGCAGCCGTGAAGGAAAATAGCAAACATATCATACTGAAAGTAAGGCAAAGACCTTTGAAGTCAGGAGTAAGAAACCCCAAGTCTAAGTGAAAGAGCTTCCAGGAGCATCTGAGAGATTCGTCGAATTTGAGTATCATTCCAGTTAGCTTACCTCGATGTATTTCAAACCACCGAGATAACATCCTTAATATACATGTCCACCCGTTGCCTAACCGAAGTATATAGGATCAAACGCCGTCCCATCCTCTTAGTATCCCACCCTGACCAGCACAATTAGGCTGCAGGAGCTGGAGAAGCAGTCGCCGCTGGTACGGTAATAGTGGTCGTTGTTGTTCCAGGGACAGAAGTAGCAGCAGAGGATTCCGCAGGTGCAGGAACTGCGGGAGCAGCAGCAGCAGGAGGCGCGTCAGCAGGAGGCGCGCCAGCTGGAGGTGCTTCCTGCGCAGGGGCGGGAACGAAAGCAGCGGCATCGAGGGGGATGGAAGCAACCGTCCCACCTATTACCGTGGCCCCGTCGACACTAGCTGTCGTCGATTGCGACCCCTTAGCATAGTCGACGATCTGTTGGTCATCCGCACTACAGATGGTTAGTCTAGTAATAGTTAAAAAGGGGGATAGTCACTTACGGATTAACAACCATGACCTGTCCTTCTTGACAATGAGGCCCTGTGGCACAGTATAGAAATAAAGCGTCGGCGTTTGTTACAGGCATATTGAACGTGCCAACAGTAGTTTGCCCATCTTGAAACGGAATATGTCCGCTGTGGATGCCACCCTCAAGAGGTGTACACGGAGCATTCTGAGCACTCTGAGTTACGGTATGATTGCCATTGCTGAACTGGAACTGTATGATATCGCCAACGGATGCCTTCACGGTGTTGGGCACGAAGGTATCCTGTGGTCCACCAACAACAACAGGAATTATCCTATTAGCTGCTGAAACTGTTTATCATTAGTCATTTATATACGACGATACTGTTGTAAGGTAACTTGTCACCTACTCTTGAACCCCCCAACTTCGACTGGCGCGTCTCTATATAACATCCGAGATGGTAGCGCACTGGCAACTGCGGCAAGGAGGATGGAACTAGCGAAGAACAACATATTTGCTACTGAAGAACCGGTGAGGACGCTGTAAGGTAATGACCGACAAGAAAACGAAACTGGGTAATATGATGTCGTGTAGTTATTAGATTAAAACGTATGATAATGAACCGTTCAACGGCTGTCTGCTCACTGGGAGGTTCGAAAGAGAGTGGAAGGGAAATAAAAACTCGACTAGAAAGCAAAGAGATGGGACTCGTCCCGAGCCAGTGGGCTTACCGTGAGGATATATAACGAGCTACCCATAAAATCATATCATGCAACGATACTGGCTAGGACTATGTCGACAACTGCAACGCAATCTCAGCGTAGCAGAATCTTCAAAGCGTATTAGGGGTGGAGTAGTGATGCCCCTTTCACCCTGTTCCCAAAAGGTGCTTCGAACCGTCCCTAAACCCAAGCAGGAACAGGTTCGGCAGTTGAGAGTCAATACTCCCAATCTAGTCAAAGACATTCTTATGCAGAATGCACATTTTGTTCAAGAGCTAAAGTCATTGGCCAAAACGAGCGAAGGTATGGTTCGATAAATCCCACCCTTTTCTATTATGAGGCTCCTTGGTAACTTGGCTACGGTCTGATAATATTCGATTTCTATGCAGATATGTATAGCCAGGATTACCAAGGTCCACTTCATAATGGAGATCCTATGTATGGGAGATCAACCTTTCCCTAGGCGCACATCATAGAAACTCCACATCGTAGAGATTTTCGATCACGGTAAACGGGATCCACATGCTGTCGTAATCTTCAAGCATTCCACGGTTTCTGAAGTTTTGTCGGTGCGTCTTGGCAAGCTTTAGCGGCCTTGGCTGAAGATGGGTGATGTTTCAAATTGACTTCAGATGCTCCCATCTGAAGCATCTAACCTTACAAATCTACTAACTTAGACGATGTTCATGTATTTCGGTGTATTTAATCGGGTATACTTGCTTTAAGTCGGCGCTTAGAAGATTATCTTCACGAGGTATCGGTGCCGATAAATATCTCCGAAATTTACTCGGCCGTATCTCCCGTGATATGTCCCTTCCATTCCTGTCGCTTTCGGGTCTTAAAGAGGATGCTCGGTATAAATAACCGGCCCCATTCGGCCCCGCTCTTACCTCCGATGTTCGGCTGTAGTCGTAGCTGAAGCTGGTAATTTCAGCTGTTACTTGGTATTAGTCCATTTCTCTTAACTGAAGCTTTTCATAAATATAGGTAATCGAAATCTTTATCAAGTATTGCGCTATCATACCCCCTATAATACATATGTAAACCTACTGCTCGTATTCTCTTTCAATATCGGCTTAGTTTCATTAAGCCAAGTAATAAGGAAACAGCCTTATTATTACGCTCGGACTGTTCCATAGAAAGAACACACTTACCTCCATTAGGCTGCCAAGACGCATCTCTTACGATGCCGCATATAGTCGTACTGGGGTATATTCTCCTATATTAGTAACCCCTTATTACGGCACAGACATCTGGCTAACACCCTCGGTCCATAGCGCCGGTGTCATCGGATTAAGCTCCGCTCTACGAATCCAGGCCGAAGGGCATGCCGTGTCCATCGTGGCGCGGGACTTCCCCTCCGGATCCGAGACTATTGACGCACAAAGCCAGATTAACTATACTTCGCCATGGGGAGGGGCGCACAATAGACTTGTACCCCCCACCAACCCCGCCGAGGAGCTGGAGCATGCCATGAGCCTCCGGACTTTCGACCACATGCGTGCCGTACAAGCACGCCACCCGGAGGCCGGCATCACTTTCATGAAAGGGATTGAGTATCTTGAAGCACCTAATGAGGCATACCGTGCGCTTACTGAAGAGAGAGCACACACGCAGCTAGGTATGAAAGGATTTAGGTTGCTAGAGAAAGGGGAGCTTCCGGAAGGTGTTGAATGGGGATGCGAGTACGACACGTGGTGTGTTAATCCTATGGTCTATTGTAGCTTCCTACTGCGTAGGTTCGCGATTCTTGGAGGTAAGGTCCTACGTAGAGAAGTAAGAGACCCGAGGGAGATATTCTCCTGGAATCTTGAGGCGGGACCGATTGATGTGCTGGTAAACGGTTCTGGGATCGGGTTTGGTGATAAGAACGTGTTTATCACGAGAGGTGAGCTGTTCCTATTTCTTCCTCTTAATATCATAAGAGGACGCTCTATGTATCTCAATACTAAATCTCTGCGCAGGCCAGACATGTCTCGTCGCTAACCCGTGCCCCGCGACCGTCACGCGGCAGAATGCAGACGGCTCGTGGACATTCTGTGTTCCGCGTAACTTTGATGGCGGCACCATCATCGGCGGTACGAAAGAGCCTAATAATTGGGATCCCAATCCGTCACTGGAGGTCCGTGATGTTCTGTTGCAGAACTTTGCCGCTACTTACCCGCAGATCCTGGACGGTGAAGGCAAGTTTACGGTTATCAAGGATATTGTGGGTCGACGGCCGACTCGCAAAGGCGGTATACGACTAGAGAAGGAGGAGGTAGGTGAAGCACAGACTATCATTCATGCATATGGTTTGGGCGGGCGAGGCTATGAGCTAAGCTGGGGTGTTGCTGATGGAGTAGCCCGACTGCTAGCAGAACACTTGAGCTCTAGCACGCCAAACAAAGGGGAAGCTAAACTTTGATATATTCATGGGTTAGTACAAATGTTATCAAACGAAGAAATTATGAGAAGAAGACCGTGATAGAATCCATCGGAAACATATCACGTAGTAAATATAGTATCAGGAGTTTGTGTGGCGGTGGGAAAGCGCATATTTAATAAATAGTAAATTTGGCGGTCAAGCTGCGAATAAGGGTGCTTGCAGCTTCTTCCTGTAATATAAGAGCAATCTTTGAAATCTATCGGTGCAAACGGTATTAATAGATGACTCACGATTGATTTATTACTTAAACTTAGGAGATAATAAATAGAAGCCATTTACAAGTACACTGTTCTTACTATTTTATTCCTCACCAACAACACTTTCCCGTAAAGTTTCTCACCCAAGAAACGAAACGAAACTCACCCAACTTGTCCCCAAATACACCTTCAGCATAAACAAGCACTCATATATCCAACATTTCCACATTTCCTAATCCACACCAACTAAACCCCAAAATCCAATATCCGCCAACATGATTCCAACATACTATCATCCACCACCCGATCCCACCGACCCCTCATTCGACCGAGAAGCATGGATGGTCGCAACCATCGACGGCGTTAACTATTCCAACCAAGCCTGCGCCGCCATGAAGGAAGGCCGATTCGAAGAGTCCATCGAGCTGCACAAGAAAGCTCTCGCATGCAAGCTGCGCTTCCACCCCCCAGATTCCATCCAGGCCGCCATCAGCTACAACGGCATGGGTGAAGCCATGCTGCGAACGGGAAAGCTGCAAGAAGCAGATGAAGCCTTTCACAAGGCGCTACCGATTCGAGAAGCAGGAGGTCCGGTCCTAGATGCGGCAGTCACCCGTGACAATATCGGCCAGCTGCGAGAGATGCAGGGAAGATTCGCCGAGGCTAGGGAGATACGGATTAGAGGCTCGGGAGAGCATATGGTGTGCGGATACTACTACGTAAGTTTATATTATATATATATATATATATATTCGTATCACCCTATTTCCAATAAGCATTTAACTAATGGTACCCCTAAAGTGCCCCCATAGTGAAACGGTCCCTCAGAAGAATCTGAAAGCCTGTGCTTCATGCCAGTCGGTTTTCTACTGCACCAGGGAGTGCCAGAAGCAGGACTGGAATAAGCGACATAAGCCGCTATGCCAAGGACGCCAGGCCGAGGGAGAGCCTAGCAACCAGGAAGCTGGACAGTGAGTACCTTAGGTATTTGAAACAAGGAATTTCGGGGAAGAGAAATATACTCAAAGTACGATAGATATGGTTCAGATAGTACCATTCTAGTAGGTAGTGTAGATGAGCTAGCTTCTCCATCTACCAATATGAGTCTCGTTGCCTTTTATTTACGCCTTTACCAGCACATGTATGTTGAATTGTACAATTCGCCAGTCCACCTCGGTGTCATCTGTTCAAAATAATCCATGAATACTCTCTTCAGTCATAGAGAAGAGAGTCTTAAATCCACATTAGTTGATGTTTCTAGACCAAAAATGTCCAGAAACTAGGGTACACGAACTCTTCCTCGAATATCCGCCTGACCTGTTCAAGGACAAATTTCTCAACCTTACCGACGTTTTTCAAGCTCTGCTTCGTCCCTTCTCTTTGACCAATTTCACTCTCAACCCTAACCTCCTGTAGCAAACTTCCAAGCCTACCTTTCCGCGCGCCACTAGTAGTACCTGTGCCTTGCTCATCTCCATCACCACCATTATCGTCATCCTGCCCCACGGCAGCAAGGGCGTCCTCAGGGCTTAAGAAACAGAAGTGCACGCGTTTCCTAATATATGCAACGACGCCGACCCCGTCAAACGTAAGCCCCGTGATATTCAACTTCACCGGAATTCCCACGAAGCTCGGCATCGGGTAGTCGAGCAGGATCTCGGCCGTCAACATCAACTTCACATCGCCCGCATATTTAATGCGGAATACAGCTTGTAAATCGTCTATCCTCGGCTCCCGGAACTTCTTTGGCGCCTCTTCTTCCTCTTCCGAGGGTCCTTCACGCGCCCCTTTGCCGTCGGGACTGCGATTAGACCGAGGCAAGCCTGTCATATGAGTCGCGCTCGTCATCCTATCCCTGGTAGGCGGTCGTGATGGGCCAGCTGATGTTGGTGCGAGAGTTGACACACTATGTTTCTCCCGGAGCGGATGTGGCATCGGCGAAAGTGAGGCTGGGGGCAGGGTAGGGGATGGGACTGGAGGATGATCTGGTATAGAAGCAGAGCCCTGTGAAGGTTGTCTGCTGTGATCGCGGCTTCGCGTGTATCTCTCTGATGGAGGTGTATGTAGACCACCCATCTCCAACCAACCGTTCAAATGTTGCGCTCCGGCGACAGCTGCTAACGGCGTCTGCGTGCCGGACCAAGTGGTCGCGAGCTTTGACTGGAAGTAGTGCATATTTGCTGTACCACCAGGCACGCCGGGTGTCGGAACGCCGAGTCCTAAGAAGGGGTTGCCTATATCGGGAGTGCCGGGGGCGCTCCGTAAACCAGCAACGTGGGTATGAGGAGGGTATAGACCTTCTGGATGAAAAGCGGTCGTTCCACTTTCACCCTCACCACCCCTGCGCCCGCTCCCACCCCTTCCCTTTAATCTCCGAATCTGATCCGCTCTCCTCTTACGCTCGGCAGCTCTAATCGCTTCGGATATATCCTCCGAATGCCCATGCCTTCCTCTCTCATCCTGGACAAGTCTCTCTTCCTCTTCCTCATCTTCCTCCTCATCTTCGTCTGACACATCTGAATTTTCCTCATAGAAATCTGGTAGCGGATCGCATATGTCCTTCAGCACAACATTTGGTGGTATGGTACCAAAAGCAAAGTCGTGGACTTTGACGGATTTGATGAAGCGAGGTAAGGGAACGGCCTGAAATTTGGTATGAATAAAATCACGGATATGTTCCGCGAGTGCGGCACCGTCCGGCCCGCCTGTCAGCGTCTCCCAATTCAGGTCTATCGACATAATGGCGGTGGCGTGTGATAGTCTATTGTCGTTAAATTTCCCATTATCTCGTTTTATTCTTGGTGAAAAGTTTTAGTAGGTTTATTTCCTATCATATTTGTAGTATGAAAAGCGAAAAGCAAAAATTGAAGACTGTATACCTAGGTAGGTAGGTAAGGTAGTCGTGTTGAGTACAGTTCGTGTCAATTAAAATGTTGGTTTTTGGGTTGAGATAGCTAAAGGTAAAACAGTAGGTACCTGATGGCGAACCGCCACCAAATAAAGTAAGCAGATTATGTACCTAAAGTATTAGCGTCTGTGGGGCTCTGCCGCCTTAGGTACCCAGCTACCTCTCAGCGATAATTCTTAAAAGGAGATACTATTATTGCAAGTTTATATTAAATTCTATATAAAAGTCATGGCCTTATAGATAATTACTAATTCATTAATATCTAGATAGACTACTAAATTCACTTAGACTTCGATAATTGTATTTAAAAGCTTTAAAATACGACATGGACTTTCATGTCTATTATTAAAATGGGTATTCGCTATCAAAAGATAAAAGAGCGACCTTTCACGCTCTCGTCTCGAATTACTTTCGCTTATCCACGTCTCGCTATACCCGTACTGAGGAGGTCAGGTTGCCCTATGCTCATCCGTATATCATACCTTTTGCAAAACGCCTCATAAACTCGTTTCATGGTTAACGTCATATATACCATTCATACAAGATACCACTGATCATCCTATAGTAAACCTACGAAGGCGCGATACCTATGTTGCGCCTACATCCGTTGCTACTTCGTCCCTTCTTGCAGCATTCACTTCCGCTCGTGGGGGCCTCGACACCGGGAGCGGCACACTGGGCTGATGCCAGCAGTTTGGTGCTTCGAGGATATATCTACGCCGCTCTAAGTCAGCACAGTCCATTTTCTTTAACGCATTGGAGTAGTAGCGTACCTAGCCATAGCCTCTCTAAATCTCGACTTATATTCTTTCGGGCTGGTTACGGTTGGTTTATTACGACCGCCGCCCGCGAAGCCGCGGTCCTTGATCCAACTTTCAAGTTTCTTGTCCCATGTGTACGTTCGGATACAGTCAATGATACCTACCACCAACTCTTTCTTTATCTCGTCCACGGCGATCATCAGGGAGTAATCCATGACGTTCTGACGGGCTAAGAATAGTGTATCGTTCCAGACCGAGTCACGCAAGGTTTTCTTCGAGTGTTCCCTCGCGAAAAGCGGCGATTCGTAAATATATTCCACCATATTCTCGTCCAGAAGAACTTCATTACGCTCTCCAGTTGACTGAATCTTTCGGTTTCTCATCGAACCCTTTAAGTCGAAGATCCTCGTAGGAGCTCGATCATAGAATAAGTTTTCCATAAGAAGCAAGTCTAGCTTAATCTCCGTGTTCGTTACCGGGTTTTTGATAATGACTTGAAAGAACCCTAGCATCTTAGCAATTACTGACGGGAGATCATGGAAAAGCGCTTCCGCCATTAAACCGAAATATGCCGGTGCAAACTTCAAAAAAGCAGCCGTCTCCACTGGCGACAAAGACTAGTAATATAATCAGCACATGCGCCCTAAGCAAGGATGGAGCTTACGCTCTTACTTACCTTCATTACCAATCGGTCGTCCTGAGTCTTCAAGAAGACTGACTTAGTCTTGCCACCTTTGGAATCCCATTTTAAACACCGAGACAGAGACTCAATGATGCGGTCGGCGACGCCGCATTTCCGTCGTAGAGCGTCGAATTGTTCGGCATAGAAGATTTTAACCAGCATTTTTGCCGTTCCTTCGGTAAATTGATACTTATAATGGGAACTCGTAGTGTGGACGAGTTTGGTTTCTAGTTGAGTTTCGGTGATGTTTTCCCCAATGTCCGAGTACACCTCAGAATGGGCGTCGTCCTCTGTATCTGTCCCTGCTGAAACTACCACTCTCTCACTATCCTTCTTGCGATAAAATGTGCGAAGCTTCTCCTTATAATCCTCGGAGCTCAAAGCGAACGCAATGAGCGAACTTGGCTCATCTTCCCGGACAATAATGTCGGAATCAATGAAAATATGATCAGCTGCATTCAAGGGGTAATCTAGCGGAGGCCATTGGCTAGCTGAGCGTTCATTCCAAAACGTAGTGAGTACCTTCATGAAGTTGTTCTTGTCCTGCTTGGGAAGCTCTATCGGAATCTCCGCGCTAGAGTCAAACGACTCAGCAATTTCTTCAAGCGTCGTACCATCGATCAACGAATGCTCTGTGTCGCTTTCTCCTTGCTCATCATCTGTGGGTCCTAGACTATTGTTGTGCGCCTGGTCGTCAGTTTCACCTTCAGTCGCCATTTCATCTTGACGTCGATGACCATCTTTTGGAAATTGTGTGTCTTCTGTTGGTGCTTCGGCCGCCTCGTTTCCTGGCGGGGGACCTTCTAGTCCTACTTTATTCTTTGATTTGAGACTAACTAGTCCCGGTGCGGCTGCATGCTCATCCTCGGCAGGGCCTGGTTCCTGTACGGCCTCATCCACGTCTTCGTAAACCTCAACTATAGCTTTAGTCGTGGAATGCTGGAGGAAAGGCCTCGAATGAGACATTCTTAGTTTTCGCTTTTCACGATCTTTTTCACGTTCCTTCTCGAATTCACGACTGAGCTGTTCAAAATGTTTACGAATAGTAGACACCCTGGAGTCTTTCTTTCCAACAAAACGGGGAATGGATGACTGGTTACCCTTGCGGTGTGGCCGGAGACTACTAAAAAGCTTCTTCTCACTTTTAGTAGATTCGCTAGTTGAAGCCTTCCGGAGTTCGCTTCCGGTCATCACCTCTGTAAAAGATTCCTTGTTTTTATCCTTGTCCTTATTAGTACTGAACATCTTTTTACCTACTGTAGAATGTAGGCGGGGCAAGGTCGGAACACTATTCACAGGGTGTGATATAGCGCGCACCATAGGTGGCGAAACGTTTGATCCTATCCTACGGGAAGAGCTGCGCTCTGGCGTTTTTTGAGACTCTCCAGCGACCCCAACCCGCTCGTTTCCTACATACCCTACCATGTTCGTGCTTTCAGGGACTAACGAATGCTGTCGTCGGCGAAGTTGTTCAACTTGCTCAGTTAGTGACATAGGCGGAACCGCACTTGTTGCTACCCGTGGCACAAGCTCGGGGGATAATGCTGAGACTACATCTGTGACATTTGGTACTGACACTTCCGAGATACCGACGTTATTATCCGGTTGGCCCGGGGCAGAACTGCTGGGCACAGGTGATTTCGGTGTCGCAAGATCTAGTGGCTCAATTCTCTCTAGAGTTTCTTCCTGAGGTGGTACATCTAGTGGGTTTTTGTCTTGGGTTATATCAAGAGAAGCATCGGTAGTAGCTTCTGATTGTTGAGTATCCTGTTTGGGGTCGCTTTCCGACACACTCGTCTGAGTAGTTTCTTCTGTGATATCGGTGACTTCATTTTGGACTTCGTTGCTAGTAAGAGATTCCTTTGATTCGTCCGTGAACATTTTACGAAGGTGAATCATAGTCAGCTTTCGAATATCCTTGTCGGAAGGAAGAAAATCGGCTTCAAACTTGGCAAAAGCAGCATCCCATTCGGCCACTTTGACGAGCATCTCTCGTAAAACTATGTTAAATGGGATTACCTCGTAATATTTAGATTCCATGTATTTGTCCTGAAGCTTCCGAACAAGCGAGGTGTGATCATCATGTATTCTTTTCGACAACCGTTCCATTTCCGCCTTACACGGTTCAGCCTTTTCCGGGATGATATTGTCTGTATTAATAGCCTTCAGTCGTGATTTGACAGACGTCGTGAACCGCGTCCAACGCTCTTGAGCATTTGTAAATATTTCGTTTTTCATGTTGAGATCATGCCCAACATTCCAAGTAATCCTGGCCCGGGGTACAATGATTTCTAAGAGGTCGATGGGGTCGTAATGGACGCGTACAACTTTGCCGTTCAATCCGAAGTATCGTATATGATCGCGATGGTGATCGTGAGGACAGTTCCAACCCCCCAAATTCTCGTCTCTGACTAGAGTAGTACCCCTACTCCAAAATGATAGTTCTAGGTATTTTCCAAATGAATATTTCCAGGTCCCTCTGGACATCTCCATTTCGCTGGTTTCTCGCTTGCAATGCTTACAGTAGCTCCACATCATGATACTGTCTTCGGGGAGTCGGCCTCTAGTATCTTGCTCAATGAATATGGTAATTCGTGCTTCGCCATGAACGTATGTTCGGTGATGCTCATACAGTTTGCGATCACATCCATTCGCTTCGCAGGTGGAGTCGGCGCCATAGCAGATATCTTCAATGTATTGGCCCAAAGTGCAATCAGGATCCATACCACTGCTTCTATCGACATGCTCGTCGTAAAAGCCAAGTGCGATCAGATTCGGCTCTGAACACGGGATCTTGGTTTCAGTACAGATGACAGAGTGTAGGACAACAATATTTTGGTGGGCGTAGGGCTCGAAGAACCCAATATTGCCCTTGATGTAGTTTTCCCATTGTCTTGTTTGCGTCTGATAGTTGTAGAGCGCCCTATCGTATTCAGCGTCGTGGACAGCATGAAGAATTTCCATAATCTGTCTAGGGGCGTTATGGCCTGTTTCGAGAACCATTTGTGGTTTAATAAGCTGGAACTTTGGGGGATTGGACCTTTCGTTGTCCGCACGCTCCTCAATTACATCTTGATCCCGCAACCGTTTTAAGTGAGCCAACTTTCTTTCCTGCTCTCGAGCTTTCATAAGTAGATATGGTTGTGCAAATTTAACGAAGGGCGAGACGGAGAGGATTCTTGTTTGATACTTAGCCACCATATCACTATAAAAAGTTGGCATTGGAACATCCTCCGGAACAGAACTGTCATGGACTGCCCGAGAATGTGTTTCATGGAGCGAAATTAACTGGCTGGATGGCTGGGTTGATGGAAGTTGATCTTGTGGCATATTGCTGTCCGGTGATACTTCAATTGCCTTCCCGGAAGAATGATCTTCTTGGCTCGATGGCATCTCGTCTTGAGTTATGCTGAGCAAACCTTTTTGTGCATCATCATCTACTACGGCCTTGGTAGTCAGTGATGGTTGACTGGTATCAGTGGTTTGAGTGGAATATTTCGACATATCTTCGTCGGTAGGAATCTGGATAAATGAATCCCGCATCAGACATGACTCGAGTTTGAGGTTATATACTACATATACCATGAACTCGGTTATGTGTTTGAGCTTCGCAAGGATAGGCGTAGAAGCACCTCTGAGGGCAATGGTACATCCGAGATCTTCTAGGTAGCTGGACAAGAAGATGTACGTCTTCTTTCGACCTGGAATATCCTCATTGACGAACGTTTTCACCTCATAACCTGTACTCTTTCCTGTCTGGAACTGATGCGGAGGAAGCGCCAACATGTCTACAGAAGAGATAATCTCTGTCTCTAGACATCTTGAAACAGCTGAGAGCACGGAAGGCTTCACGTTGTAGGCAACGGAGATCTTCGCGTCCGAAAGGAATTGTAGCGCAAGACCTGAGACACTCTTCTCGGCTAACAACAACTGAGGGCGGAGGGCTATAATCCTATTCACTAACTGTTTTAGAAACTCTCTCTCCTGTTCGATAACAGGTTGGAGGCTCATGAATTGTTGTTGATGTCGTTGGTATTCGATCGGAAAAGACACAATAACAACACGAGGTGTAGACATGCGGCGTGGCATGCTCTTTAAGGCCAGTTTTTTGGTAAATATCACGCCTGAGACATAGCAAGTATCACTTGGCCTACCTCCTGGAATCTTTTTGAGCTTGACGTAGTGCCGAATATCGATATCGTCTCCTCTATCGATATCGGGGTCAACGGATGAAGTACATTTTAAAAGGATTGGCATTAATGCCTTTTCCCAGGCGCTTACGTTTGGCACATTGGAATCTTCAAGCAATTGTCGCAGGAGCTTCCGGACGTGTAACAAGCTCGCCGGGTTGAGCTCTAACCGAGGTTCTTTATCTCCTTTCATAGAAGAACTCCGAGTGAGGCGTGGCAGTTGGGATCCTCCTGGAGTGTCAAATATTGGAAGTGTCTCATTTGATCCAGTCGGACCCCTTATCACGGCCGATTTAGGTCGAGGAGAGCGAACGTGGTGTCCACTGGCAATACTCATGTTTCGTCGTCTGGTAGATCTTGGATGATAATCATCCAGACCACGGCTAGTAAAACTTACGCCACTAATGCTTTTGTCCGTTTGCGCTCGGTTTCTAAGTTTCCTCCCGGCATTAAGGTATGCCAAACTCGACCTCTCAGGATCCGTAGTAGGTGACGCGTGGAATTCGGATCCAGTCATAGCCCCCGCAATACTCATCTGTTCATCGCCACTGGATTCGTCCGACATGAATGGCGCTAAATCTGGATCGATGACATTGTCGTCATGGAAAGCATGCAGTCCAGTTTTTCTAGTTGCTTCTTCCGTTGCAGATTTTCGGAACGGTGCTCTTTGCTCTGGAGATGGTTTCAGGCGATTCCATAGATTATGTTTCGAATGGTGGCGTCTATGGCTAGAAGACTGTGGTCTGCCTGAGGTGTTAGACTTCAAAGACCTAGACGAACTTGGTCTACTAAGCTGTGGAGTGCCAATTTCTAGCACAGCCGAATTGCGGTTTGAGGATTCGCCAATGCGTCTCGCAACCGGAATAGCCATCATAGGTGCAGTTAATGATCTCTTGTCATCTTCAAGGTCGTCAGTTCTCTCAGAGATACTAGCATCATCTCGATCGACTTTTGAGAACGGCGAATATCCTCGTTTAGATTGACCACTACGGAATATTGCTGGGAGAAATGAATCATCGGCCGAATCGTCAGACGCAGCGCCGTCTTGTCTTTGGAGGATGATACCCAGACAAGGCTTACATACACGGAGTGTCCCCTGCACCCCAAACCGCTGACCAGATATTATAGACGTACACCCGCTATCAAAAATGCAGCCGCACGTTCGACAATGATGTTTGCGGCGGAAAGCAGTAAATGGAGCACCGCATAGGAAGCATTCCTTGCAAGTCTCATCGGCCATCCAGAAGTCTTTACTTAAGACTTGTTTTCGCATAGAAGCTAATTTTGCGTTGACCATTTCTGGAGCGCCCTCATCAGTAGTCGTGCCTGGAATTCTGTACTCGCCGGACCGTATCCGCTGGGTTGAGGGAATTTGTGCGAATGACTCGTGATGAACACTGTTATGAGCAGATGTGTTGATGGGGCTATGTTCCGTAGTACCTCTAGATAAGGAAGAGGACCTAGAAAGATCGCCAGAAGTTCTAGAATAGCTAATCCGGTCAATCAGAGCGGGTCTTCTGATGGCATCTTTAGCGGAAAGCAAAGTAGACTGAGGCTGTATATAAGAGTCCGGCGAAGTCGAATTGGAAGCTGTAGAGATAGGTGGCACAACATTAGATCTCTTTATAGGACTAGTAGGAGAATCAGTATGTCCATCTATAATTAATCCATCTTCTCGCCTCGAATGACTTGGGATTGCAATCTTGTCAAGATTAGAGGTACGCTTATTTCCGGGTGCATCATAGATCGACGATAACTCCGGGGTCGGAATATGTTGCCCGTCGTTTGACCTGCTAATACTCCTTCGTCCGCCTCCTTTACTTGCACCATCTTCAGTCTTAGCCGATGTACCCCGAGATCCGTCTTTGAAAGCGCTGACATGTACGGGCGCCACGGCAGCTGTCGCTTTTGTCATATTCGGTATACTTTGACGGCTTGATGAGGCAGATTTCGAAGTCGTAACCCCAGTGAGATTAGTAACGGATGAAGCTATCGTTGACTGGGGTTGCTGGGATTGGCTTTCGCTAGTGGGAGCTGCACTTGAAGAAGCAATAGTAGAAGTCATCGGCTCAGACTGGGATGAATTGAAAGTTAAACTTGTAGCGCCCGTATCAGCTCTCAGTAAAGAGGTTGAAGGCTTGGGGCCTGTGGTGGTAGTACTCGAGCTCTTCTTCGATGCAGTATCCCCATCGATCGACTCGGAATTCTCTTTGGTACCTATATTTACCACTAATTTGTCCTTCCCACTGACCCCAACAGCCTCTTTAAATCGAGAATAGAGTCCACTCAACCCATTTTGCACAAGGTCGCTCCCGATTCCCTTGCTTTCTGTAGTCGCTATAGATTCTGGCGGTGGCGCAAAGTCGTTAAAGGTAGTCAGGACATCTTTTTCCTTAGCGGAGATATGTATTTTATCAAGGGCCTGTGCAAGTTGATCTTTGTCGATTTGAGGAGAGGTAAGAGACGCCGAGGCGATCGATTCCTCGCGAGATTTAGGAGTAGAAGAGGGTATTGTCGAGGGAGAGAGTGGAGTTTGTGGTGGTTTTTTATCAGACATGGTGGCAATCGATTTGAGACATGAGCGGATGTAGTCAAGCTGGTCAAGGTGCTAAAGCCAACACTGATCAGTACCGAGACCGAGGAAGATATATTAATACACTCTTGATTTACCTTGACAGCTTCGAGGGTTCCTGTCAATATGCGCTTCTATTCTACAACTTTCATAGGTATAGAAGAAGAAAGGTTCCCTCGCAAGTTGGTTCAGGGTATCTCGATAGCCCATGCATTTAGATATCTGAGAAGCATAAGCAACACGCACAAAAGAGGCCTAAGTGAAGGTTACCTAACCATAGGCAGGTAGGTATACAAATTAATATTAATAAGCGATCTACTAACAATGCATGGCGACGGCTGCCATAAAAAGAAAAACCAAAGCTACTTCTTACAACGAAGTAAAGGATCTTGGTAACTGCAAAGGACCGAGACTGGTGGATAAGAAAGAGTGATGCAAGAGGCGGGCATGGGAAGCTTTATCCAGCTGCGGTCCCACTCTTTAGCATTTAATGCAGCGGCAAGCTGCCTGACGTATCCCCATAGTGTGTTTTATATATAAGGTACCTCATATAGTTGACTACATCCGAGGTACTTCATGCATGGTGACACATTTATTGGGAAAGTTTGTACAACCCGAGCTCGAAAGACTTAAAGACCCCGCAACGCCAACTGACTCGTTGGCACGTGAGTTCGCATCTAGTTTTTGTAGATTATTCTCCACCATATAATTCTTTAACGCGTCAAACGCGTTAATCGATTCATCTTCCAACTCATTACCGTTGATTTAGCCATAAAAACGGGTACTAAACCAACATAGGAGATACAATAATACCTTGTCAAATATATTGCTGTCTTACTTTATTAGTATTATGAGTACTAGTGAAGCCATCAGTTCAATATGGCAAAGCAGTCTAACCTAGTTTCCGGGCTTAGACCTCCACCAGATCTCCTTGGGGAAACGAAGATTCATCGGTGTCTTGTCAAAATTGGGAGCGACCAACAGAAACTTTTGGCGCTCCCTAATTCTTGGGCACAATTCCTAAGCAGAAGCTCTAAGCCTTTTCTAAATGTACCTCCTGAGGTACTAGAGGACTTAAAGGAGTGTTACTCTCGGCAATTACAGCCAACGCGGTCAGACGAAGCTATTTCATCAGCTGATGCACAGGCCGATATAATTGGCCAGGATGAAGAGCATTCTCAAGTTGCTCAGTCTGAACCCGACGTCGAGAGCGATGATGAGGGGTGTCAACTTACATCATCATGGTCATCAAGCCCTGACCATCACAGATTTGTACCCGAAAGAACAAGTGATGAAAACCCTCAACAGCCGTTTATTACACAAGTACCATCTATCTCTCCCCCTCAGCCTACGAAACCTACTTTGTCTGAAAAACAAGCCCTTCCCCCCTTCCCACGAAGTAGCCAAGAGCAAGAAGAACCTCTTGAGGTTGAGGTGCCGACTGGCATTAACGATAACGTTCTTTCTCTTGGAAAACTAGATGCACATATGGGCACAACGCCCCCTTCCGCTCAAGTCGTACCCTGTACCTATGAGCAGTCGGAGCAATCGGTTATGCTATCAAAATCAAAGCCGAAGCAACGGATATATAAAGAAGCCCCAGAATTCTATCGCCCGCAAAAGATTAGACCAGTATCAGCTCATCCCAGCCTAGGCGTGGCAAGATCAGAGCATACTGTTGCACCATTTCCTAGTACAAAGAGTTCCGAATTAGGGGGCAATCCACCATCTTCGGTTATACCATCTACTGTCCCGGATGTGGTTCCACAGAGGAGTCCTCCTACTTGGCAAGTTAACCGACCTAATTCTCCATCCGGGGATGCTCATGTTAGCCACGATAGTATCGAAGCCCCGGATTCTCCACAAACTCAACCGCCTTCACCTGAATACAACCCTCCAACGCCACAGCTCAGATCTTCGCCACCTGTTCTACCTATTCCTCGAATTGCATCACCAGTCATTAGTCAAACACATTTAGTATCGCAAACGCCATTTATCCGTTACACTATAACGTACCCAAACTACAATGGAAGCGTCAATGACTTTGTGACTGCTTGCATGTACATCCAACTCCAACAGCGAAGGATACGAACGTCATTGTATGATGACTTTGTTCGAGCGTGGCATGAAGGTTATCTGCCATATGTTAAGGAATGCGACGATGCAGAGCCACCCGTGAAGGCGTTGAATGCCATTGATTGGTATAATCAGATTGACGATGATCCAGTATTTACATCGCGAATTATCACAAAACAAAATCTCGATTCAACTCTTAATTCTTATCCAGATGAGCTCAGCTCAGCTCGGGGACTCCTGGGCCTATCATCAGGACAGTCTCAAGGTCTGAGAAGCACTCCAGATGCTACTCTTCTAGCGAAAAGTCACATCTCCTCTCCAAAATTTACCGTCACGGTAGACGCCATGCTGAGCGGAGAAGGTCAAGATATTCCAGCAGTAGAGACGGCTAAAATTGCATCTAATGATGTCCCCTCAACGACTATACACACATCACCGAAGCCAAACCACAAAAAGATTATCCCAGTCAACCAATCGATGGGAGAGATTAGGCCAAGGCCAACTAAACCTAAGGTTCTTGCGCGATCTTTCTCCGAAACATCTCGTTACAAGAGAAAATCAAGCGAAGAGCTCAATCCTTCCCCGCCTAAGAGGGTATCAGTCAACTCCCTAGCTAGACTCGACTCTGGGAGTAATACAGCCGCTGCGAAGCCCGAAGTCCCTGAAAATCTAGCTCGAGGTTCTCCCACGCCTAGTTCTACAGCGGAGAGAAAGAGGAAATACGCCAACGACCCAAAGAAGAGAAGCGAGTCGTTCAAAAAGTTCTTGAAAAGGCGGCATAAGTGGGAAAAGGACAGTATTGCGAGCTCGGCACCTGTGAGGAATACTCCGACGTCTGCCCAGAAAGAATAGAAACCGGCGTACAAAAGTTGTACAATATTTTTAAACCGTGTAAACCGGGAAAAGCTGACATGTTTTACGGTTTGTTAACCCACGGAGTTTCAGGGGTGCTTGTGCGTATATCGCGAGCTTGAGATACCCTGATTTACGATTATTTACGTGTCTAGGAGACATGTATTACATATCCTTTAGAGAATTTTACGTGAGACACTCAGTGTGTAGGTACTACCTTGCCATAATATTACTATTACCAACTATATATTAGACGATAGTCGACTCCAATTCCTGACTATGAAATATAGTAAGGTATATTCGTCACCAGGTAAACTGGAACGTCAGGTACCCTGAGATAGGTCTTAATAGTAAATATATGTCTACCCAACCTAGACCAAGTACTCACATGTGATTTTTAGCACTGCGACTTCATGAAAAATGAGAGAATCGGACGTGAAGCATATGTGAATTATGAAACTGTAGAGCTCATCAGCCAGGTTAATCATGTCTTGTATTTATTACTTCGGTTATAAAAAAACATTTTCGTGAAATCATTGATCGTCATATATTGAGCAGCTGTACATACTGTGATGAGGTAGTGAGTCAAGCTGGGGAAACCCTCTCGTATGTACACTAGTATCGTACATATCAATCATCCCCACGCCTTAAATTCTAGCCTCAGCTAGACTCAGTAATACTAGTAGCGCCCTACTGCTGCTGTTTCTCCTGCCACTTCTGCTCCTCCTCAGGGGTCATAGTGCGCAGCTGTAGCGCGTGAATGCCGCCTTCCCGAGCCATCTCGTCGTCTAGAAGCTGGTATATAATGCGATGACGGGCCGGTTGCATCTTAGACTTAAAGGCATCGGAGGTGATAACTAGTCTGAAATGTGTCTCCTTGGAAGTGCTACCCACCATAGCCTTGTGGTGAGAATGGTTGGCAGAGTCATTAAAGATCTCCAGTCTAGAAGGTTTGAGGGCTTCGGTGATCTAAGGGCGAGGGGGGCCAGCGCAAGTTTAGATTAGTACGACAGCTTACTATATTATACTCATTCGGGGCCTCGAAGCTGAGTGTGCATTTACCTTTGCCCGAATGGTGTCCTCCACCGGCGTATTCGACGCCCCGGATGATGCCATAGTGGAAAGCTGTTTTGTTACCCTGCCGGTCCAGGCTCGCACGTGTCGATGCAACATGTATGTATGTAAGATGTAGGGTTGATATGTAAGGTTACCCCTTCTTATCCTCTGGCCTGGTTTTCTCCCTTCGAAGTCCAAGGATCGAACCTTTTAAATTCCCGATCAGATATGGCGTTGACTAAAATGGATAGGTAGGGTATTAGTGAGGGTTGTAGACTGACGAATGATAAAAGATGGAAGATATCTGCATTAAGTAGGTACCTAGGTACGTACCTTAGGTAGATAGTTTAGTTTAAACTCATCGAGGTTCATGCATATGACATTATGTACCTGAGTACCTGAACTTAAACGGTGGGGTGAGACTAGGATATTTTCAGCCGGCCGATGCGGACCGGCAAGAGCTAAGAGTCGCTGGAATTAATTGGCCAATAAGAAATATTTACGGCAAAAAAAGCGACCCCGAGATTCTCAACAAACAATTTCAATGTTCCACTTTCTGTAAGCTTTTGTTCTTGGTCTACTATTATTCCAGGCTTGCTTGGTTTTATCACTGGGGATCTCGGGCATATTCGAATCTATCATGCCCGAAGGGTCTAGAAGGGTTATTATGGAAAGTATCGCTGGACCGGTACAATACGAATATACCAAAATTCCATGCCACCATCTGATGACTTCAAGTACCTATCACGGATTTGACTGAGCCGACTTACAGGATCTATCCTATCTATCCCATCTATCTACCCCTGCTTACAAGTTCTTGGTATTTCAAATACCCATACACACTGCCGTATTCCCCCAATTCATCCTCCGGCTCATCCTCCTGCCTTTTCAGAGGGGTTTGCATGGGGGTGGTATTATGTCCGAGAGGATCGAGAGGATAGAGAGGCGGTTGTGAAAGTACTTATTCCTTAGAACCCCCCTCCTTATATCCCCGTGATGAGATTGAGATGTACTGGGCATCGTTTGGTTGTTAATGCTGCATCGTCATCTCAGTTGTTTAAGTCTATTTCAGCCACGCATTCTTTGAACCCTTGTTTTATTGCATCTGGTACTACGTCTATATATACCCCTACTTTCGTCTCACGTCCCTCGTGTCCCTTGTCAAATCACTCATCCCCCCTCTTCGGCAAATACACCACGCATATCAGGATGGCTTCCACTCTAACTCTCCCTAAGCTACCTATCTTCGAAGCCATCGCTAGTCACAATCCGCAGTCTACCGCCGTAGTCCACTGCCTGTCTCGTCGGACGTTCAAGTATGGCGAATTACTCCCGGATGTGAGTCGCGTGCGCGACCGAATACTCGATGCCGCCGGCAAATCGGACATCCGGGGCGAGCGGGTTGCCTTTCTTATAGAGAATAGCTACGACTACGTTGGTATGAGCTATTCAACCGTCATAATTGCCGGAACTTCATATTGGACTGGTTACTGACCCATATTATTTAGTCACATACCTCGCTATTCTTGCGGCGCATGCTATTGCTCTGCCACTATCCCCACCATTCCCGGCACCCGAACTGCAATATATCCTGTCCCAGTCGCAGGCTATCCTTTTGCTACACTCGCCGAAGTACGCTGCGAAGGTCGATGAAGTCCTCACCACGCCAAGTAAGGAACTCGATGTCGCACCATCACCAACTCCCGTCGAGTTGCCGAAGCACCTTGGCGCAATCTCGGAAACGTTCGAGTCGGTTACGTTCACGGAAGATGACGATGTGGAGGGCGCTGGAATGATGCTATACACATCCGGCACAACTAACCGACCAAAAGGAGTACTACTGCCAGGGAGTGCGCTTACGGCTCAGGCCTGCGCCCTGATTGAGGCGTGGAAATATACACCGTCGGACCGACTGCTACATGTGCTCCCTCTCCACCACATCCACGGTACCGTCAACGCATTGCTCACGCCACTTTTCGCCGGAAGCAGCATCGAATTCCTCTTTCCTTTCAACGCCGACACGGTTTGGCGACGTTTCGCAACACCGTTTGTGAATTCGCCGCAGGTCGCTGCTGCTATTGCCAAGCCGAATGGTGTGGCTCATGCGGTTAAGGAAGCTGTGAAAGAAGTCGCGAAGGAAAATGGTATTACGAATAGCGTCCCCCAGTTCGTCAAGGCAAACGGCTTTGTCAAACCCAGTAGCCTACCTAATGGCATCCCCCAACCGGTGAAGACAAATGGATTTCACCCAGCAGTTGGCGAGGTGAACGGCAATATCACCCCCATTACGGAAACAAATGGCACTACCACTCCAGCCCTAGAACTGAACGGATTTGGCAATCCCGTTTCTTCAGAAATCAGCCGTCTAGCAGCGGTCATTAACCATTTAGCAGCTGAGGTTAGCAACCTTGCCGCGAAGATCAGTCAGCCTAGCCAACCAGCTGCATTGACAAACGGCCTTAATCATGTCATATCGCAGCAGACCAATGTTGTCGCTCCCTCACCGGCTCTATCCGCCAACGGTTTCGATACTCCCATCACGTCGACAAGCGGCCGTAATACTCCGGTTGTAGAAACGACTACCTTTGTCAAGCAAACCGAGCCGCAGAAGCCCACTGTCCCCGCCGCTATCACTGAGCCAGCCAACGAAGAGAAGTATAAGAACTTGTCTCGGGTCAAGATTACGTTCTTCACCGTCGTGCCTACCGTATATACGCGTCTTCTCTCAACTCACAAGACACTACCTCCGGCCATTGCCGAAGCCGGCCGTATCGCTATCAGCCCAGAACACATGCGTGTATCGATCTCCGGATCGGCAGCCCTTCCGACACCTGTCAAGCGTGCCTGGAAAGATCTCAGTCGCGGCAACGTGCTGCTCGAACGGTACGGTATGACAGAGGTGGGTATGGCGCTATCCTGCGGTCTCGACTATGGCGACCGTGTCGATGGCAGCGTCGGGTGGCCTCTCCCCGGGGTAGAAGCTCGACTCGTGGACAATGAAACAGGCGTTATCATCGAGGACCTCGACCCTTCTGAGCCCGTCCCTGAAAAGGAGCGATCGGGCGAAATCCAGCTCCGCGGCGCCAACGTGTTCCAAGAATACTGGGCCAACCCCGCTGCCACATCCAAAGAATTCATCCCCTCGGATGATGGCAAGGGCCCATGGTTCAAGACCGGAGATGTGGCGGTTCGGCGCCCCGTGCCCGAGGCCGGTCACGGCACAAGCGGTGAATGGGCCCGCGGGCCTATGTACTTCATTCTTGGCCGGCAAAGCGCCGATATCATCAAGTCCGGCGGCGAGAAAGTATCCGCGCTCGAAGTCGAGCGTGAGTTGCTCTCCCTACCCGAAATTGCCGAGGCAGCAGTAGTTGCAGTGCCTTCAGGAAAGTGGGGACAGAAAGTCGGCGCCGTCATCATTCACTCTCCTGAACACCTGCGCGAACGACCCGCCTGGCGACCTCTTGACATGAGGCGCGCGCTAAAGGGACGATTGGCGAATTACAAGATCCCGCAAGTACTTAGGGTGGTCGAGCATATCCCGCGAAACGCTATGGGCAAGATTAACAAGAAGAATTTGCTACGGGAAGTATTCTTAGATGACTTTAGTGGGGATGAGTTGTAAGGACGTGGGGATGCATCGGGATAAGATGGGCGAGAGAGGGGAATAAGATTCACCTAAGATTTTAGATCTAATATCATGATGCACATTGTGTGCATGTTCTACTTTGGGGTCTGGGTAGTGTCAATATCCCAGGAAGATCAAAAGGAAAGAAAGCAAGAGGGTGGGCCCATGCGATCCCAAATATCAACAGGACGATATGCAGCCTGATTCAACATGCAAAGGGAGATAAATCAACCAACGAAGCAGCTGAATAAGAAACTGGAATGGACGAAGCGAAGAACGAAATGAAACGCAACTGCGTGCTGCTGCACATGTGATTGGACGGGTATTGGGTTTTTCGATTCATGCGGGAATTTCATGTCTATATGTTGTGTCCTCTCCGACGACCTATTTGTATATAGGGAATTCTTTCCTTTTCCCCTTAGTCGTTTTCGAGACGGCCGGTCTCTCTATTAGTAGAGTTAGAATCAAAGCGGCTCGATCGCCACCCTAGGACAGAAACCTACCAATATTGACTATTCCTTGGTTACTATTCAACGATATATGTTGTTAGATTAGTTGTGAATATCAGTCAGTCATCTAAGCAGATTAACGTGAAAATTACGTTTCACTATTACAACAGTCGCCGTCTTTAATTCATTCGTGATATTGCATTCTATTTGCGGGAAGGAGAATGCTAATAGTGCTACATGGATGGAAAAACATGACGGGTCATGAGCAACCCCTACTCGATTCCTCCATCGCTTACCACACAATAGCTGAAAATCATACTACATGGTATCAATGAACGGTACACTGCCGCTGTCGGTAGTCTGGACCTCCTTTAATTCACTAATCATAGCCCACCCCGTACTAGTAGTCAGTTACAGACGACCGGCGAACATACTCGATCCCTCCCTCTAGTATCACTTCTGTCGAGACGTTATCGACTCCTGATATCAAAATTGCAGACCATTTCAACAGCATCCAGTATTAGAATATCTGTCGAGATGGCATATAACAGTTTAGACAGTGAATTTTGCCTTAGCTCGAGTACTACCGCTATGAGCTGAATCGGTGTGACCGGAAAACTCGACAACCTCGTTAGGTGGTAGTTTTAGGATCTCCTTAAACTGCTTGCCAATGGCCTGCAGGATCTTCTGACCCTTTTCGACAGATCGACCCTTACCACCAGATACATCACCGTCGCCACGGCCCGGAATGCTCTTGCCGATAGTTCGAGTCCAAACACCAATACGGTAGAAAGCCTTACGGACATTGACGACAACACCCATGACCTCACCATCATCCTCTTCCTCAAGGGTCTCTCCGATTGCGGCCAGCATCGTATGCAGCCATAGGTCATTAATATCGACGTTGCGCTTATCCTTAAATTGATACGACCATTTGCCGCCGTGCTTGTTCTGGGGGTCTTCCCACTCCGGTCGCACGCCCTCTTTGAATAAGTGGTAGTCGGATTTCAAGGCCAATTCGGAAACCGGCGCGATGTTGTTCTATAACACAGTCAGGCATGAATTATATTAGGCCACTACAAGGACAACTTACGTAAATACCCCAGAACTCTTCGACCGAATTGAATGTGATAACCTCTTTGAGCAGGTCATTCCAGTTATCTCCCTATTTGAAATTAATACTTAGTTTAGGATGCGTATGGAATAAAGCGGACTGACCTTGCCGCTCGAGGGCTTAGTAAACCACAATGTCCATTTGTTCTGAAGAGGGTGCTTGACGTTGAAGTTGTCCTTATCATGGAAGACAGTGACCAACTTGCCGCTATCAGACTCTTCTGCCTTTGGGCTCTCGCCTTCAGGGGAGATAGGGATGGTGGTGAGATCGACCTGTTCCGACATCTTGAATAGCGAATAAATTTGGCGTAGAGAGAGGGTCAAGTTTCGGATTTGGGATGTTGTATGGTTGACCGATTTACGATTTAGAATTTATGATTTAATATTCTAGGTAGGAGAGTAGAAGCTCGGTATCCGAGGAAGGAATAACAGCGAACCTTAAGTCAGGCGACCTTCGGTATTGCGCAATTTCCCTTTTCGTGGGATAGCAGTTAGGAAGGTGAGCGTGAGTGCTGAGTGGTGAGGATATTACGGAATAGGCGAACGGATAGTGGAGGGGCAGTCGCAGCCGATCGCTAGTCGCAGAAAGAATGATTGACGACGATAGAATGACAAAGGGGGGTTGTAGATAATCAGAATAGACTAACTATCACAAGCATTCGTCTTCGGTAAGGAATTTAATTATGACTTTGCGCCAGGCAAAAGTCGGAATTTTTTGGGGGTCGGCGTTTGGTCTCAAAGGAAAGCCTTTTTTTTTGCACAAGCGTTTGTGATGAAGCAGAAGTTATTGGCATCGCAGTGGTGGGGCTTTTGGAACTTTCTCTTAAAATTCACTACTCCGGTTTCAGCATAATATGCATATTTTAAACAATTCAATTGTGGTAGGTTACATAAGGTACCTAGGTACTTAATTATGAAAACAGGAGTGTGTTTATAAACAAGCACCGCCACAATATGACATAATTACCTTAGGTACATATGTACAGTGAATAGAGGTACATACTAAGACAGATTGCTCTTCGTATACAACCACTAATAGCAATTAAATGGTTCATGCATCCAGGCATCAACTTTACCTCAACTTACGATTAGTATTATCGTGACTCATTGTTCTCATCCCATATCCATGTCTATATACCTGTACTAACTTCCATTGTATATAAATCATTCGCACCTACTCGAGTGACCTAACATAATATTGCCAACTCAAACTCTCAACGTCTTGTAACCATGCTTAACTAAGTACCTTGTTATCATTGTTAATCATCATCATGAACTCTCCATCATATCAAACAATCATGAAGACATATTTACATCATTCACTATGGCGTCTCAGGCATCCCAAGGCGGGGAGTCTCTCCTTAAGCTTCGAAGACCCGATGGTCTTCCAGTAACGACAACACGCATTGACTTCTCTAAATCCCCCCTTGCCGATCACTACAGTCCTTACTTTGCCATGGTCATAGACAATCTTCTCACGCCAGATGAATGTGCTGCACTTCTCACATCAGCAGGTTCCGGCTGGAAGACCTTAAACAAGGGCGAGTCGTGGCGTGAGTGCGAACAGATTCTATCTATCTCTCCCGAGTGGGCCAATGCTCTGTCCCAGAGGCTCGCGCAGCACCTACCTGAGGAAGCTAAGTCCTTAAGGAAGGGCAATATGCTATCTGGGCACATTGCTGGTTTACAAAACCTAAAGGCGAGCCAAGGAGCTAGTAAGACAGTCTGGAAATTGAGAGGAGCCGACGAGAGACTCAGTTTCCTGCGGTACCGGCCTGGTAACCACTTCAAGCCGCACTGCGATGCCTTATATTCACCTAGGGGTGGGGAAAAGAGCTTCTTGACATGTCAGATATACTTGAGCGATATGCCTGAGGATAAAGATGGGGATGGCTCGGGAGGAGAAACAAGATTTTGGCCGAGTCATGTAGGCATGGGGAGGAAGAAGAAATCTGAAGATCGGGAGGATGAAACTGGACAACAGGCAAAAGAAGAGTCATTTCTCGATGTCAAGCCTAAGATGGGCAGGGCATTAGTCTTCCAACAGCGGATGCTATGGCATTCTGGACAAGAGGTCAAACACGGGGAAAAGTTCACCGTTCGGCTGGACTTGATGTACGAACATTACTTTGAGAAGCCGTCGAGGTAGATTTGAATCATGTTTCTACAGTTACTCCGCAAATACAATTTAACTACTCTTTTACCTCGTAACTTTCGCTAGTTACAATGAACAATATATTTCAGTTTTTTTTTATCCGTAGCTCTTCGTTCCAGTGATGCAGAAAAAGTAAAGTGAATTGTCTAGGTAATTAGGTAATTGAGACTATCATATGGCTTGTTCAGACCCATAATAGTATGATCCTTATGTATGAGAGGTCTCTCTGACTACAGGATAATAAAGAATACTTTTAGGGTTAGAGTTCCTTGGAGAACGACGCAGTTATTTCTATCCCTTCTGGTTTAACATCAGGATATATAATAGATTTTGTATATTCCTTAAAGTCCAGCACACCATTGACTTCTTTTATTGTGAGATACACTGTCAATATAAGCTACATATTTCTCACAATTCTTCCATAACTATAATGTTGGTCCCTATCTTTTAATCGAACTCACTCATGCCGGCAATGATACGTCTACCAAAAGAATAATCATATCGCCTATCAGATATGCTTAATTGCCCGTCATACTGAGATATCAACATCAAAATGTACATTACAAAGCGTGCCCTAAGATTATGTTGTACCTAAAGTTCGAGATATTGTATGTACCTAGGTACCTACCCTCCTTACGTAGCACCCACGATATCCTAATAGATAGCTTATATGGGCGTTCAGCCGGTTAACCACTATAGTTAGCCTCTCTAGTAATGCTGAATACATGCCAAATATTCGTTGAGACCATAGGTAGGTACCTAGGTATCTAGTTAAGAACATTCATTTGCCGAAATCCTGCCGACTTTGTTTGTGAATTCAATATCTGATGAAGACTTTAAAATATTCGTCAAGATAAAGAAAATTTCGTAACTCAGTATCAACAACAATTATTTCCCATGACAAAAAAAGGTTGGAAATACATTAGACGCACCTTCCGCATCTAAGGTAAAGTAAGTGAGTGACTAACGGCGACTACCTTACCTTTGGAGACAGCTGTTTGACAGTCGATACGTTAAGTTAAAGTCGGGCTGTCAACGGAGTGGCAGATCATGCGTATTTTGATAGGAAGGTACGAAGAACTCAATGATTTACGGGGTAAATTTTAATACATAAATAAAGCTATTGCCGGTCTTCAGCATCCTCTTTATCTTGTCATTTTCAACCCGACAACCCGACAACCCGACAACACGAATACATCGGATTTTTATCACGATGGAGTTGGAAGAGGAACCCCCTGCCTTAGACAGGCTACCTACCAAGTTGATCATCCTAATATTCTCTTCTCTACCCAATGTAGACTCAATTCAAAGCCTTGCTCTAGCCTCCAAGAAATTCCAGAAGGTTTTTCTAGAGCACGAGAGCGTGATCACTCATAGTTTTCTGGCTAGGCATACCAACGATGACGACCCTGGCGTTATGAAACTAGCTTTTCTAGCATGCAAAGCCCGCGACTTGGTTTTAGATTATGGCAGTTCAGAAGGTCTTATCGATGGCGGGATCGAATTCCTCAAAGATTACGTCGAACGGGGGGACTGGCCGATTCAATCTTACGAGTTACCTGCCCTCATCTGGTTACCTAAATTAAGCAAGGGCATCGAGTCAGTCTTGGACTGGATTGTCACGGAAATTGCGCCTTTGCCGCTCGTGTTGGAGGGCGAAGGTTTCACCTCTACCGAGATGTCACGCCAGCGGCGACTGTTATACATGCTTGATTTTATTTCCACGCTCCTCGAGAAAACCCAGGTATCAGAAGGGGGAGGCCCAAGATACAAGGCGCTATTCACGGCGCTTTGGGACTCATTTTCGCCTGCTGAGATCTTTTTGGTGGACCAGCTATTGAAGAGGTTATACCACTTCAACGCAGTTAGTACGTTTCTCTCGATCCTATCTTATTATTTCGTTATCACTAACTAGCCTAAAGCAAGTGACTTGCATGTAGTGTCGCCTGAAGCCGGACTTATCATGAAGTCCGTCCAAGATCTGTGGTCTTATAAAAGAGAATTTAATGCCGCCTTGACCGTTTCACGATTTGAACTTTGGACTGGCGCAGATCCTCCTCTTTGGGAACCATTCGTCGACGACCCAAGCGCCTTCATCAGGGAGGTACCATCGGAAAATGAAGCAGAGAACTTAAAGGAGTACTTCTACTACAGCCCTCTGGATTACGAATGGCTCACGGTAAAGCGCTTACTTGGGTCACGCCACTGGTTCTTTCTCATAGGAGATAAGGATCGATGTGAATCGGTCATAAATCATGGGCGTATTTGGTCTTGGGACAAAGACACTAACCCACGGAATCCATTCTCGAATGACTCCATGATACAATGGCATCAAGATCCAGCCCCCTTCGGGTTTCCAGGTACTGTGTACACGATGCAGCCGCTCCACGAGTTCTTCGGCCCTGGTCAAAAGCGTAAGAGATGGTATTTAGAAGGAGGGACACGACTAGCTCATTACTCTCCGGATTCATATTAGAGACTCAATTATTCTATGATGAATACCCTTTTGGGGAGAGAGGACTAATAAGTAGTTCTATAAAACTACCTAGGCTTTAGATAAAATTGAATCCTGAATCTACCTCACCGCCCGTAATATCCCAATTTAAGCATTTAAGGCATGAGAAGTTTATAGGAACCAGGTAAATATTTTGTACTCTTCGTTGGTGTCACATGTGATAAATAAACCCAAGTGACCATCATGACCTGCGAACCCCCCAAAACCCTCAAATAGGGGTCGTACATTACTGTATTTCACCGTCATTGACTAGTCGACGTATAGTATCAATAGTACCATGGACAGCCATTTTCGCCGTCTATATGTCGGAAATATGTTAGAAATATTAGGTACTATAACATAGGTAGTTATATAAGGGAAGCTCACCTTCCAGCTTCTCTCCTCTAACTTCTTTGCCTCGTCGCTCCCCTGTTTGGCACCTGGGTATCTCCACTCAAACGCGTACGTCATAAGCAACTCTCCATCGGGGCCTTCGCTAACAATATTCGAGATGCTGCTTCCGTCTGGCTGCCCGAAGTCGACACGGCATGGAGGGTAATGTGTGCATACCTCCTTGACTAGTCTGCCTCCGCTACCGCTATCTGGCTCCTGGCCTGCCGTGAACCGGACCTCACGTATAACTGTCAGGTTTCCTGTCTCCTCCTCGGATAGAACATTGCACTCCTCAATAATGGGCACGAAGTCCTGTGCGCGCCGGACTTTGCGCTCTAGACCCGCCCAGATCTGGGGAATCGTAAGGGTAGGCGAGGTGCCGGAAGGGTTGATAGGGGCCGTATAGGCGAGGTTAAAGGTAACCATTTTTTTTTCTTTAGAGATTCGATATCGGAAGTATTCTAAATTGAAGAAATGAGAAAGAATTGAATTGAATGAAGGAGAGTGATGTCGTTGACGTCAGATATTTATATCCGTACCTACTTCCCGGGTTCTTGGCAATAACACTACTTGTTCGGACTCGTTGGGGAAGTTTTCTTCGGGACACGGATATTATGGAAATTAGCTAAAAAAAATATCAGCTTTGTATTACATTGCAAATTAGCTTAGCAAATCATTTGTTTTACTCAATCTTCAGTGTCTTCGGTCCCGGGCGTAGTCCCGAGACCCATAATAAATTTCCCGTGGCGTCGGCATCAATCCACAACCCGTCTTCGGGCCGGAGACCTATATCGTACGTACCTCTCACCTTGCCTCCGTTTGGTTATAATATCAAATATAACTGACCTAATACGACAACTATCGTATTGCATCATGTGGTGCTGAATGCACGGCTATCCCTAATTAAACTTCGATTTCACCACTCTCTAAATCGACGAGAACTTAAGATTTCACACTGAATACGAGATGCAAAGAGTTGGATCTCATCATGGCATATGGTTACGTTTAAAGCCCTTATACAAGATTCTTCCAACTTTCTCGTTGTTTAGTTGCTTAAAAGGGTTCATATAAGTACCCCCTAGCCATAGTCAAGTAGATTACATGCTGTTCTCTCCATTGCCGAATAACTGAGCTTCCCAAAGCCGAAAATCGCATATAGAGCCCCTGCAATTTAGCTACGTACCATGAACTAGAAGTTCACCGTTCAGCGACTTACGCTATATACCTTAAAAATCAGTCCTTACAATTGCGTGTGGGAGTGACTTTCTTTGTACAATCAATGTCGTCCCATTGACCTCTAAACCGAATAGCGTGGTTCTTAAGGAAATGGGAAATATATTCCAAATTGACGATTGCATACAGGGTTATAATATTAATGCAAGAGCGTAGTTTTTCGGGGAGGCGCTATACATCAGTTAGTGTATAAACGACAATGGCTAATTAGAAAAAGAGGACGTAGGGATATAATACACTTACTACGTGATACGTATATAAACTAAAGTAAAATAGAGTAAATCCTACGAACATATGTTGATATGTTTTTGCATTTGTAATGTCGGAGAGTTAATGATCTAAAAGTGTCCGCTCCGGACGCCGTCCCCGGATTTGTAATACAGCTCATTGGCGAATATAAAAGAAACTGTCGACAGCATCACTTAGATAGTTTTTAAGCTTTCTCATCTCACTATTGCGACAAAATGGGACGTCTAGCTCCCTACCTCGAACAACATAAGGCTTACCAGGGTCCGGGAGATACTCGCCCGACAGCGATTCAGATTGTAGAAGATCAGGGTCTTGTCTCGAGCCCCTCATGGATTGGTAGAGTTGTTCTTGTCACAGGCTGCTCGCCTGGCGGACTTGGGCCCGAGACGGCAAAGGCCATTCACCTAACGGGAGCTGACGTTTATATAACTGTTCGAGATGTGACCAAGGGCAAGCAGATTGCTAAGGAGATTTTGGCCGATGGAAAGCCTGGAAAGGTTGACGTCATCGAAATGGACTTGGCTTCGTTGAAAAGTGTTCGAGCCGGAGCAGAAGAATTTCTTCGTAAGAGCAACAATAAACTCAATATTCTGATTAACAATGCTGGTAAGTACTCCCGGATCGGGGGATGATTATCGTAATTATTGAATTCAGCTAATTCTCCTTAGGAATTATGGCATGTCCTCAGGGCAAGACTGAAGATGGATTTGACTTGCAGTTTGGTACAAACCATATAGGTAAGTACTGCGTATACCATTACGTACATTTCAAGTAACTGACCTTGATTTAGGTCATTTCTATCTCTTCCAACTAGTTAAGGACGCTCTTCTGGCCTCCGCAAGCCCTTCGTTCAACTCCCGCGTCATATCGGTATCCTCCGCCGCTCATCGCTACGGCGATATCCAGTTTGACGACCTGAACTTCGAAAAGACTGAGTATACTCCGCTTAATTCTTACGCCCAATCTAAGCTTGCCAATGTCTATTTCGCGAATGAATTAGACCGGAGATACAAGTCCAAAAACCTGCGGGCTTTGAGTCTGCATCCGGGAGGTATTCTTACGCCTCTGGCGAGATATCTGCCCACCACCGACGACATTCTCAATGATCCAGGCCTTGCAAAGATGCTCAAGAATCCTGCTCAGGGAGCGGCTACTACTGTCTGGGCTGCTGTAGCGAAGGAATTGGAGGGCAAAGGGGGTATTTACCTCGATGAAGTTGCTGAAGCAGTGGAGACTCCGCCAGAAGCGGCTTACTACGAAGGTGGCTACAATGCGAAGGCTTTCAACCCCGCTGCCGAGGAGAAACTTTGGGCTGTCAGCTTGAAGCTAACAGGGTTAAGCGAGTGATAACATGCTCAGCGTTGTGGTGGCGCACCTCAGTATGGACCAATGATTGAATACTACGTATGGGGCTTGCAAATCAATAATACTATGCGGTGTTACCACTCGGCAGTTCACGAGCCATGGTTACCTATATCTACCTATACAACCGCGTTCTAATTATTGTAGTAGTCGGAAGATCGGTCTGCAGGTACATGTGCATCATCTAAAAGTAGTCAGCAAGTCACCATTACAACTTACAAGAGCACGAATTCATCAAGACAAAACGAAGTGACCAGACGACTTAGATACCATCCCATACTAAAATATCTCGGGGTATTCTTGAAAATTATAGCTTTTTTATATTTTAGCTACCCATTAAGTGGTTTACGCCTGAGTCTGAAAAGGTATGTTTCTATCGATCGTCGTGTCTCAGTGTTACACGGACGTAGTTTTGCCTCGCCACCCTGTCAACCTTGCCAGTCAGTGGATGCGTCAGAGATGAACTTGCTTTTGCGATATCTGTACGACAAGGTAAAACAGCGGAGGCGTTGGAAAGAAATCGCATTTGCGAATTTGCAAAAGCTGTCTATATATATGTAGGTATTTACAAGTGCCACCGGCATGTTCCGGCATCATGGAAGAATTCCCATCTTTCACACACAGCGTGAGGGAAAAAGGAAGCTTATCTGCACCCATTCTTCCGCGTTTGTTCTACATACTAGGTTAGTCTCGCTCAATATCGGCTTCTGTCAATGGAACGATACGAATATCAGCATCTTCCAGATCGCCGTAGTTTTAGACTCTTGAGTCTATTGCCTGGCAACGATCCGGCGGATCTTATTCGATGTCAACTCCAGGTTCATTCTCTGACGGAAGATGGCCAGATCCCGCAATATACTGCGCTTTCCTACGTCTGGGGCGATCCAAGTTTTAATATCTGTATCGAATGTGAGGGCGGCATGTTGCCTGTCAATAAGGGCTGTTTCTACGCTTTGCGTGCCCTTCGAGACTCGCTACGTGACCCCGATCAAGATTTGGATTTCACACCATATTTCTGGGTTGATGCAGTATGCATCAATCAACTGAACGACAACGAGAAAAGTGCCCAGGTTCGGTTGATGGGTGATATCTTCCGTTTGGCCGGGACAGTTCTGTGCTTCATTGGAGACACGTACACACAAGATAACATGTACGCGCCTAATCTCCTAGGAGCAAGAGCAGGAGTAAGGAAACAGCTTTTCCTCCAGAGTCCTCGAGATGAGAGTAGCTGGAACGTCAACGGGGACATCATAGGAATCGATAACCTACGAGAGTCTGCAATACGCAAATTGGTTGAGTCACAATACTGGACTAGGTTGTGGACATTCCAAGAAGCATTGCTCTCTCATCGCAAGATTGTATTCTCGGGCAAGAATATGATAGAATGGGAGTATGTTGGGACCTTGTTACAGCAAGCCGCCGCGAAGCGTGAAGGTCTTAACCAATCACTTCCTAAAGCAATTCACTTCCACACTCTGACAACGGGTAGCCCCATACTTCGTCATCTTCTAGATCGAGGTGATACAATGACCACCAAACCCTTCAGTAAATCCCTCACACGAAGCCTATCGCTAGAGATTTCGCGATTACTATCTTTCTCTTCTGAGCTCAGAACTTCCGATCCCCGGGACAGGCTCTTCGCCCTGGCGGGACTTATGACGGTGTTGGAAGTGAGCCTGGAGTTCATCGATTATTCTACGTCGATGGAATTGGTACTTGCCAACAGCATCGAAGCCTTTTCCATGCATGCATTGCTCAAAAAATGGGTAGTCAGGCACGAAGATGTTTCGTTCACATACTTGGACATGGGATCTCAGGCTTTGGATAGGTCAATATCACTACCTATCAGAGTCAAGGGAACCTCAGGAATGAACCAGTTATATGAGGAAAACATTGTGAATCACATGCGGTGTTCACTTCTGGGAAACGATTTACTCCAAGGCAAGGGTACTGTAGAAGTGCCCATTAGCAAAGAGCTACCGAATGTGGTTCAAAGTAAGGAGGCCCCCTCGAGTGAGCAAGAGGAAACGGAATTCCCTCAGGACGAGGACGAGTCTGATGACGATGGAACCGAGTCAGTAATGTCGTCTACATCTTATGAGACGACTGAATTGACTTATACCTCGCTTGCTCATCTACTTGCCTGTTCATTTTCAATCCGCAAGAATCAATGGCTTGCTTCAGAAATTTCCACACAGTTAGGCCACGTATTCAATCAGTGTGCTGAATCTGCGCGAAGTAGTGGAAAAAAACAGGCTCCATCCAATTCAAATAAAAGTAGTGGCAGCCAGGATGTTCCTATTACAAATACTCGTAAGGGTCGAAGGAGACGATGCGATCGGGACGAGAGTAGCGACGGTGAAGGCAACCAAGAACACCCCAAGAAAAAGAATAAAGGAGCCGATGTAGGTGATATTAAGAAGCTCCTAGCATGTCCGTTTTACCAAAGAGAGCCACGTGGGCTTTCAATCAATCGCTCATGCAATGGTCCGGGCTGGGCTTCAATCGCTAGACTAAAGTAAGTTTTTTGACTCTGGTTCCCTTAGGAATTCTAACCTCAATAGGGAGCATTTAAACCGAGTTCATTTGACACATCGTTGCCGAAGATGTAAGTTAAATTTTGATACGGCCTCTGAGTTAGATGTACACAGCGAAAGTGAAATGGGATGTAAGCCATCAACAATCATTCCTAACCCAATGGCGGGATTCGGCGAGCAGCAACACATGATCATCAGAGATAAAGGCTTGCAGGACTGGAAGAAGATTTATCAAATCCTATTTCCAAACGACGACGAAGAGTCTATTCCATCACAGTGTAAGTAATTTATTCTACTACCTCCACAGTGGTATAGTAATTGAACTATTATAGACTACGCAAATATCGTCACTATCGTTGAGATGCTTGAACAATTTGATCGCGCTTACCAGCAAGAAGTCGAGCAACGGCTCCCGGGATTATTAGGAACCGCTATAGAACGTCTACGCCTCAGACCTTTCCCCGCTATTGAGGACGCTATCGTATCTGTAGTCCACGAGATAAACAGTGCAATGGTAAACTCAACCAGGCAGCGAATGGCCCACGGGCTGCTAACTGGCTCGAATTTAACTCCCCCGGAGGTCTCGAGGATAGCAACTCCAAGAGTTGGGACCAATTTGAACGACCCAACAAGTTTTCTCCATGAGTACGTCAACAATATCAACACCGGGACAGACCTTCCCCTATATCGGCCTCTGAATGAGCCCCAGGCCGGGTCCATTAGCAATATCGACACCGAGGCAAATATTTCCTCACATCCGTCACCGGCCGAGCCCCTTGGTGATGCGCCGAATGAAAATGAATACTCTAGAGAGCTTTCTGGTGAGTATTTAGGTGAACCCTCTGGCGCACCCTCAGGTGAGCTCTTAAGTTCGTTCTTGGATGCCTCGTGGTATGGTGTCGCCGATCCTCTAAATACTACTACTCATGGGCATCTCGATAACTACGATAACGGTGTTGATTTATTACATCCTAGAAGCCACCATGGAACTTACGACGAAACACCCGATGTTCCGATGGTGATGCGGAACGGGAGTATGAATGATCATAGCAGAGCGGGCCACGCGCCAAATGAAGTCAACGATAACAACGGTAATTCGACCAATGAATGGGCGATGATTGAAACTACATAGGAGGGAAGTTCAAAGAAGGACTCATTATGTACACTACGCAGCGTTGAAAAGCCCTCGCGGCTGGGAATATGAATGGGTTCGAATCCCACCATGGATAGTGCTCCCCTAATCCGACCTAGGATCTTACTCAAGCGTTCCTGGATGCTCATGATGGTCTTAGGACTATCCACGAGTAATGTCGGTACCTGAGGAGTACATAAATACTTATTTAGGGTAGTTAGTGAAGCTGCATATCATGTTAGATTATTAATTGACCTGTTGAGATCATATGTGCTATGAACACATTTATATAACTACTAGATTATCTGTGTGTATGAATATAAATACAATGGAGAACACGGTATTATATGTGCACGTCTCGTAGTCGAATGATGAAATTTCCCTGTTGCTAATTTCATTAAGATGTTTTAAATTTAGAGAATCACAAGTCAAGAAGTAGTATTCAAACCATGCTCTTCTGACGTAACTTGACATGTAGATGCTAGTGTGAATATTTGTTCGTTGGGTACAGACGCATACTCAAACAAAGCAGTCCCAGAACACTGTAACAGCTTAATTAAGTGGAACAATCAGGTATGCAGCCGATAAATATACGCGAATGAAAAAGAAGTTGGTGGATTTAATAATGAGTGAATGATGATAGATGGAATGATCTGAGTTGCCCAGCCCCTGGTACCTTGCATATGAAAGATTCGATGCTACTCTCGAATAAATTTTCTCGTCGATAATTCGCTTCATATCAATGATTCCTTTCTTCATGATCTATTCGTTATTAAGCCAAATGTGAGATAGTTGATGCAACTCATCAATTACCTTAGTTTACATATATGCTATGCAGATCAAAGAGGGAAGAGATAGACGGTCAGGCATATTGAATGATAAGGATTTATTACCGAGCTTTTTGCCGAATCCTTGCTTTTTGCCGCGGTAAAATAGTACAAGTCATGTACGTCTTCGCAACCATCCCTACCCTCTGCAAGGTATATGAGATAGACCTGACCTAATACAAATACATATAAGCTAGGACAATTGAACGCTTCAATCAATTAATCAATGGAATAGCCCGCCTTGTCAGCTCGCCTATTCCGGGAATTTCCTTGATTGACGTATCGGAGAAGGCTTATTAGTCTACCCCGTAAAAGGGGACTAATACTTCCTTTCACGAGACTTATAAGATGTGGCAACTGATGGCTGATTCTCTTTGACTGCACCGCAAAATGCTACTATTGGTCCATTTTTGCTCCGGAAACTCCGCAAAGGAGACCACATGGCTGCTTCGATCTGAGCAGCTACGAAGATCCCATATGAGTGGTAGTGATATCAACATCGGCCGCAACTCGGGCGAGACCCTGCATCACCCTAGCTAAGCGTCTTATGTATTATTAATTAACCAAAGCCGTCATCTAAACCCAACATGGACAGAGGCCGGGGCTCCCAACAATAGAGATCGCCAAGGATAACTAGATCCCCATGTTTCTCTATTACCTCTACCTATACCTATCTAGTTACCCAGCTAGTTACCCAGTCGGGGACTATGGAGTATACCCCACAACCCCACGAACTTCTCCAATTCCTGGGGGCTAATTATTATCCCTCTCCTTCTCAACTCACTTCCCAACGTTGCGTAGAGGGTTGTCGGCGATAATCATGGAATATGCACCTGTCACCATGTCTTCTACCACCGTCGAGACAGTCGAGCCCAAACCGAAGGCAGCGGCGAAAATGCGAAAGCGAGCACCTAAAGCGTGTTTGTCATGTAGAAGTCGTAAAGTTAGATGTGATGTTTCACAGCGCGGGCGACCGTGCATGAACTGTTATCTCGACAACGAAACTTGCGTCGTGACTGGACGAGCGTCGAGATTGTAAGTTTCACGTTTCCATTTTTATGTACCTCTACTTATGCTATTTAGTAGAAGAGGCCAGAGAGGTGAAAATGACAATTCCCAATCGTCATTTCCCCCTTACCCGGCGGAGGAGTGTGCACATGGCCGGACTTCAGAAGATGTAGTAAATTCGCGAGCCAATGGACAGTTACCGTCACTCGGAGCAGATGGAGAGAACATTGCTCCGCCACAAGATGCGTCCAGTTCGATAAACCGTACTGAAAACCAGACAACACCGGACGTTGAAGCAGAAGGATGGCTTGGGTCGGAAGCACCGCAACAAGCGACGCAAAGTGGATTAAATGAGCAACATAGCAACAAAATACCAAGTCCCGTCCCTCTGATCCAAGGTAAGTTATATCTTATATCTGTCAATTTGTTTTTCTAGTTTAACCCAAGAGTCTAGAAGCCACGGCTTTGCCGTTAAACACCTTCAACTCTTTCATCTCTCCGGATATACCCCTTTGGGTTGGCGATCAGCGCATCGCAGTCAACGCTGATATCACATATTCCTATTATCCGTTTATAAGCATAGGAAATATTCATAATATCATGCCTCAAGATGTCAACTACTTAGAGTCGCAAGGTTGTCTTCGAGTCCCGACAAGAGCGATTCTGGACGAGTTCGTCCAACAGTACTTCTTACATATCCATCCTATAATGCCGATCCTCAACGAAGGGGACTTTTGGGACATGTATTGTAATCAAACTTCCCCGGAGTCAGGCGACAAGATTGCCCTCGTCTTTTTTCAAGCGCTCTTATTCGCATCGTGTAATGTAAGTATACGCTCACGCGACACCAATAGGCTGACGAGAGCTGACCAAATTATAGTTTGTCTCAAAAAGTAGTATCAAAGCTCTTGGATTTCCCAGTATCCGCACCGCAAGAGCTACTTTCTATCGGCGTACAAAGGTGAGTGCCATCTCTCCCAACACTTTAACTAATACTCATGTGGGATTAGCTCTTATTTGACTTCGACACCGAAACATCATTGGTTGATCTGGCACAAACCGCTCTGCTTCTCTCCTTCTGGGCTACGAATTGGTCCCTCGCTTCCAAGAAGCTGAATAGCACGTGGCTTGGCATCGCTATACAGAACGCGAAGAGTTCCGACGCTCACTTATACGCAGTTAAGCCGAATGTCTCTGCTTTAACCGATCCAGTGCAGCATAAGAAGCAGAACATATTAAAACGTCTATGGTGGTGTTGCATTATCCGCGATCGCATATTAGCTCTCGGTGTACGGAGGAGCCTACAAATATCCCGGGCGCATTTCGATATCGATGGTAATACCGGTCTTGGATATATCGACTTTGCCGACGAGGTTGACCGGTCTAAGGTATACAACCCGGAAACTAAGAGGTGCCTCGTCGAGATATTTGTCCAGCTTGGAGAACTCTGTTCGGTCTTGACCGATCTCGTAACTTTAGTGTTCCCTCTTGACGACGTACCTGGATGGGATAGGGAATTGGGCGCAGAAGGGGCTATCAAATTGAAAGAGTGTAAGGCTGCGTTAAGACGATGGTATAAAGGTGCAACGCTCCGGTTTCCAATGTTCGGTGGCGGGACTACACCAAGGATGACGACTGCGAATAATAAGCATTACCAACATGATTCCGTGATCCTATACACCAATCTGATGTACATGCACTACCAGTAAGTAATACCCCGGACTATTTCCTAGTGAGAGTGAGATTGCTTACACTTTAGTAAAGTTCTGCCAGGGCAGCTCTTTGCCACCACGAAGTTCTACAGTTGGCTGTAGCTTGCACTTCGCCCAACCTTAGTAACAACCTCCGGGAATTTTCGAATATTTACGAGAATAGGCACGAACTTCAAGATGCAGCATGTAGTGTGACGGAATGCTTAAAAGAACTTATTCAATTACGTCTTGCCCGTTGGCTACCAATTAGCGCGTAAGTTATCAGCTTCATAATCCAGTCAAGGGCCATCTAACTTGTCTCAGTGTTGCATGTACCGCATTGCCTCTAGTTCTTCATATTATCGACGTCAAGCTATCTTCACAGAATAGGAATAAGACCGGAATAGCAGATTCAGATCCGCAGATGGCAGCTAAGCAACATCGTCTTAACATTCTCATCGAAGCGATGAAGACATATCAACCTCAATACGACGGCGTAGACTATATCAGTGAAACAATCCGGCATATTATCAACTTAGCTCAACTAGATGCTCCTGCTAGTACCGGATGGTGTTTCTCAGGGCTCTCCACAGATGGCAAGCAACCGGCACCAGCGGATTGGACTGATATACTCGCTTCTCAACCAGGATACTATCTACGATTAGCCATGACAATGGATTTATGTTTTAGCAAGGGCCGACTAGCGGAAGAGTCGGACTTCCCAGAAAATTTACGAGGGCTATTTTCAGCTGATTTTAGCTCAATCAGGGCCCTCATCGCAAGTGGGAGGTCAGTGTCTGGGGCAACGTCAGCGGCGCAGAACCAAGGGACGAATTACTTCGCGCCGAACTCGACCATAAACATAACGCCGGGTACAGTACACTCGCTCTCGTCGGATGAGGAGTCTAATTCGCCTAATTCCTTCGATGGCAATGGTAACAACACCTCCGAAACACATTTCGACGGACACCCTGCTGCATTAAACCCCGCCGACATCGATATGTCCGGAGTGTTCGGCAACACGCTGAACATAGACCACCTCGCTAGCGAAGTCCTTGCCGCGTACGGGCTAAACGCAGAAACGGGCGGTGGTATAGGAGAAGACGATTGGATCGAGAGGGCGTGGAGCGATGAGGAGATGAAAGACGCAGGCGCTGCGTCGCAAGGCCAAGATCATGGTGGTGCGGATAAGGAAACGGCCAGGGTTCTACTTGATGCTTTACGAGATGATAGCATAACATGCGCTGTATGAAAATATTATTTCGGTTGGGATTCGGTTGCATGAAAAGGCGTTTTGATCTGGAAATCAGCTAGGGCAAATACTATCGGTCGTCGGGATATGGCTTAAAAAGGTCTTACTTGATGGTGTTCAGCCATTCCGAGAGTATTGCCTGGATCTATACGTTATTTATTTAGATACAATATTTATAGGTTTCAATACCACGGCGTGTCTTATTCACGAATTGTTAATAGATCCAACCTTCCTAAGATCCTTTTCCGATTACCAGTAAATTATCGAATAATCGGTTACGTCTTCGATACAACTGACGAAATAGCAGTATACGATTTACTTAATGTCGCCTCTTTATACCATCATGATTTCGGGAGTCAAAAAAGTCCGTTCGTGATACAAAGTATTGAACCATGTCTTGTACCCCTCACGATAAGGTGGGACTAATATACTAACCTAGATATTTATAGCTGTCATAGGTTTTTTAATCTATCATACATGGTTTTCAGCTGTTATACTACCGTTACATTATTCACTTTAAACCGTAATTTAAATCAAGAGTTAAAGTAAACTTCATCATGTATTTCTTGCATTACATACTCGCATTAAGTGGAACTGGCCTCGGGGCATGGCAATTCCCCCAACAGCCCATGTCCGCGCCTGGTTATAAGCCGTATACGGGCGTCGATGAAGACGTGGATATTGTCAACGGAAGTCAATTTAACGGCTTAACCACATATGGGAACCTGCCATATCTGAACTGCGTATCAGATGAAGAAGTCGGTGATAAAAAATACGATATTGCAATATTAGGCGCACCTTTTGATACTGTTAGTACCTCCTGCACTCGCCCCTTTGTATTAATAGGCCGCTAATATTGAATAGGGGGTTACGGCTAGACCTGGGGCTCGCTACGGTCCGAAGGGTATCAGGGCCGGAAGCACAAGAATAGACAGGGAGACTGCATGGAGCGTGTATACCGGTAATCATGATTAAGGTATAATTCATCTTAAGCTATCGTATCTAACGAGCATCTTAGATAAAAACCCTTTGAAATCATGGGCGACAATTGTCGATTGCGGCGATGCGCCACTACCATGGCTGGATAACAACGTCGCTCTGGCGAAATTAGACAAAACACACAGGGTTATCTCCGGAAGAAAGGCTTCTGATGAAAGTAATTCTGCACATCCGAGGATCATAACACTGGGCGGCGACCATACCACGACATTATCGGCGTTGAGATCAACGTACCAGCGCTGGGGACAAGTATCTGTAGTCCACTTTGATGCTCACATAGGTCAGTATGCTCCTATAACGTTGAAATCACTGAGCTAACACGATGATAGATACATGGGATCCTTCGGTACTTGGTGAGTTGAAAATGAGCATAATCAATCTAGAAAAGGGATTAACACCATGATATTATAGGAGGTGATATTTCAGACTATGCGTAAGTCCTAAACCCCTACCACCCTATATAATATCGCTGCAATATCAACTTAACAGCTAACAAATCCACTCCAAGCGGCGTAAACCACGGAACATTTCTTCACATCGCACATGAAGAGGTAACCACATATATCATCTGACAGTATTCCCCTAGGAGCTAACATGATCCCCAGGGTCTTATCCGCAACAGCTCCATACACGCCGGAATACGGGCGCCTGTAATGCGCAAAGCAAAAGACATGGAAAACGACGTCCGCTGCGGGTTCGACACTATCAAGGCTCGCGACCTGGACAAGATCGGCACTGCGGGTGTGATTGCGCAGATTAAAGAGCGTGTGGGGGACTCCAGGGTCTATATTAGCGTCGACATCGATGTTCTAGACCCAGCATTTGCGCCGGGTAAGTGATGATGATTACGTGGAGGGGAGATTGGCCCTGAGATTAAGTTACTGATGCTGACTGGCATGCATTACAGCGACGGGAACGCCCGAGATAGGAGGTTGGTCGTCGAGGGAGCTTCTCACGATTCTCGATGGGCTAGACGGTCTTGCCATCATCGGCGGGGATGTTGTGGAGGTAGCACCAGTCTACGATACTGTTGGACAAACAACAACGCTCGCGGCTTCTGAAGTCGTTTTCTCCCTCATCTCGCTAATGGTTGAGAATCCAGTGAAATCATAGCCATACATCTTATCACCATCTTCGGAATCCAACGACTTTTCGAACTTTAGGTTGGATTGGAAATGGCTGTAGTGTATCTACAAAAATGCTCCGAGAAAAATCAAATAATGTATGCTACCATCTAGTTTAGAGGAGGAAACCCTAGAAGAAAGGGATCAGAACGATCCAACCTATACACCACATTATGACAAGCCACTTGATGCACCGCGGTAAAAATGTGTTCTCTTGTAGGCGGCTAAGGCTTGCTCTTTTGTACAGAGGGGCTAGCACTCGTCTTAGACCCGATCTAGTTTCCGTCGAACGTTTCGCGTCCGCTTCATGAGCTTCTTGTACTTCTTCTTCTTCATCTTTAGCTTCCTTTGCCTACGGACGCTGATAGCATGCATGTCGGGACTCTGGCCGCGAACTTCCTCACGCCACCGAATCTGGCGAAGAGCCATACGCTCGAGGAATGTTTTCGGTGCCGATGGTTCTTCAACCACCTCAGGGCTATGCGCTACGATTCGTATCTGACCATTCTCATCTGTAGTCTCCTCGAGCGTGAACATGGCCTTGTAGACACGATGCTGCGGTAGATCCTCCACTTCCTCGTGAGCGGTCTCCGCCTCAGCGGCAGCCTCGTTTTGAGGCAGGGGGGGAGGTCTAAATGGCAGAAATTGACCAGACATGGCATTGAGTTGGACATAGACGCTCGATTCGGTACCGTCCGGGTGTTTGAGATCGATCTTGTGCGTTAGTTCGCCGTTATGATCCGTAATAGTTTCGCCACTTTGTTGGCCATCTAGATCCAGGTTTTGCATAGGCTGTTCTAGCTCATCGACGGTCCTAGATAGCGTAGACATGACATCGGCATACTTGTTGTTCTTTGTGCGAGGGGTAAAGATTTGCGCAAACGCATCGTCGGTGATGGTCTTAGGGAAGCTATGGGTTACGGACATAGGTCGATGCAGAGAGAAGAATGTCGATAGGGCGAGAGCTGTTCAAAGGGGTTAGCAGGTACGAGAGGCATTTAAATAGAATACAGTACTATCTATACGAACCTTCTTGCGGAACATGTTGTGTGCTAGGAACACTGGGGAGTTTTTGCTGAATATCCATCCATTCTTTGGTCTTGCGCCTGCGCTTCTCTCCGCTTTGTTTTGAAGACTGAGACGGTGAAGCGGTAACCTGACCATCTGGAATCCCCTTGGGAGAGTCGTTAGGGCTCGAAGGCTTCGAGGATGAATAACGTCTTCGCTGCTGACTATTCGTATTACAACAGAGGGCTAGAGCGGCTGGCGCTCGAGGGCTCGAGGAGGACAAGTTAGATAGTAGTGATGATTGAGGTGCAGCGGAGACCACACGCCGCACCGAAGAGGGCAACATCATGCCCTAATTATTCGGCGGGAGAAGGTATAGGGAAGGGGGGGTTAAAGGGTGAGTAGAGTTATCCCACAATGGGATGATGGGTGATGGGTGATGGCGAATGATGAAAAGAGGTTAAAAGAGCTTCTCAGAGGATTTAGCATGCGATCGACAAGGTCACACTTGTAAAACCTGGTCATGCTTTAATGCGGCTGCAAGGCTCCGAAAAATCCCCTAGGCTTGCTAGGTTAACGCTAAATAGTCTTAATCGATAAGGATATTTTTATGGTACGCATAAGTGCATATTTCTTTTTAGGTTCAAGTTACATTATACAAATATTATACAAACACATTTATCTCGACTGCGGCTCCCCCTAAATGTGTATCTCTCTCTCCCTCTTGCTCTCGCTCTTACTTCTTCAATTATTATAATAATTTATAGTAAGTAACTCCTACCTACATGTCACCTATAAGCACCTACTCTATAAGCATCTAACCTATTACGTGTAATCTTTACTTTTCCCTTCATCATCTCCTCTATGAATTAGTTCAATCTAATACTGATCATCAATTATTGATGCTTCTATTATGTGCCTCCATAATTGCTTCTCTTAAGAAGTTATTAGTAACTTGTCATGGCATCGCTTACAGAATTACCCACCGAGCTCCTCTTCGGAATTATAGACCAGCTCTTCGACATCTCAGACATTGCTGCGCTATCTTTAACAAATCGCCGCCTCCATGATCTTATAACAAAGAACAATAAAATAACTAGCAGGCTCGATAAGGCTTCTCTTGATAATAATCTACTCTTAGCTGCATTCTTCGGTCAGACTAATGTAGTCAGAATTCTATTAGACCGTGGCGTCAACCCGAATCGGTATCATATTGGTCGTGTTGACAGGTCTGTCCGATGTCAATACCATATGTTTAGTGGCTTGGATGTTCCAGATCAATTTACTGCTCTGACCCACAAACCTCAAACCATGGATCATATCATGAGCTGGAGCTAGATAGACCAGGAATGGCATTATCTTTGGTGTTCAACTCCATTGCACCTGGCGGCGTATAAGGGGCACGATGATATTGTGGCCCTCCTAATTAAGAGAGGGGCAGGACTCACCTTAAAGTCTATTGGTGTCCACCGGTGTAAACTCGATTCGAATCCGAATCCGCCCTCGACTCCGCCCTCGACCCCATTACATCTCGCAATTTATGGGATGAAATTATCCACCGTAAAGGTAATACTCAGTCACGGTATTCGAACGCCTATGATCCCAAGACAACATTTGAGGAGCCCATCAAATAATGATATTGAATATCTTCGTTGGTTTGTGGGATATATATTCGGTATGAAAGTGACAATAAAAAACGGGTGGACTTGTGACAAATGGTTGGCCATAAAAGGACTGACTATTAACGGGCCTGACACCCGGCATCTTTTGAAAGATTGTCATCATTTCTGTCTTTCTCGAGTAAGTTTTTACAGCTTTAAAAAGTTTTGTCTTCTAGCATATTTTTTTTTGACTCGTGTTTTCTTAAGCAATTCAATTCTGACTTCAACTTCAACAGAATTGCGGGTTGGTGTCATATGCCATTGATACGCAGATTGCCTGGAGCGAAACCGGCCTCGGTAGACCGCTTATTCATATCTGTCTTCAAGACCCGGAGGCAGACATACCTCCATGGCGTAATGGAGTTGCCTTGGAAGTAGCCGAAGTACATCTTCCTAAGTATGCCCTACCTTGGCTCGAATATCTCCTCAGCCACGAAGCCGATGTTGAGGCGAAGGACCATAGAAACGGCGGTACCACAGCTATCATGACCGCGGCGCTTAATAGTATTGAGCCGGCTATAGACTTGCTTATAAGACATGGTGCAGATGTCAATGCGACGGATAGAACAGGCTTTACTGCCCTACATGCAGCCTGCATAAGTTCTAATCGGGTAAATATTATCACAAAACTCATCGCAAACGAAGCACAAGTAGATGCTCTAGATTCCATGGACAATTCGCCCCTTTTTTTTATATGCCGCACAATCACCAGCGAGCATCACGATAAATTTCTAGAAACAATCGAACTTCTTCTGACCCACGGAGCTAATCCAAATCGCAGAACCGCGAAAACTCATTTCCAGTCTGCTCTAGAAATTGCATTTCGCAATGGCTACCTCTCTGCTGTGAGATTGATAATTTCAAAATCCAAACTAAAACTTACTCCAAGCCTGATTTGGTCTTTATTTAAAGTTGCGATGGAGACATCTGATCTCTCTCAACTAAGGGTACTTCTACTCCTTGATAAGCAGAACTTTCTTCTTCGGGGTACTGCTGCTCTCATGAAGCTCATAAAAAGCGACAAGCAGACAACTGAGGCAGCAATGCTTCTGCTTGAAAAAGGCGCTCTTTGCCATAAAAAGTTAGTCTTTTGGATTGTCTCTCATCAGAAAGGTAATGACTTGTTACGAAAAGTCCTGGAACGTGGTATCAGTCCCAATGTCATCGTCATCGGACCTAAGCGATGTCCACTTCTTGAAGCACTCAAGATCAGGGACGTTTTGACAAGGAGAGCGTATGTGAAGTCATTGGTGGAATATGGAGCTAATATCACCATGAGTCTTTATTCCGCCGAGACTGTGCCAATCTACGCATATATTATTTCCCCCTCAATTCTCCCACGTACAGAAACCGTTTTGGATGCTCTATTCTCCCCCGGTTCATTCCAGCAGGTACCCGAATACCAACAAATCAATTTCCTGGTCTTAGCTTGTCACTTAACACATGTAAAGGTTCTACAAAAATTACTCGAAATTACAACGGGGTCTGTGATTCAGAGGTTCGTTCAATACTTTATAGAAAACTTTACGGCTACACCTTTTATCACTCGACTATTAGACATCACCGGCTACCCTCTAGTGGCCCAAAATAATTTTACAGTAGAGCACATGGATATTGCTATAAGCACACTGGATGTGTTTGCCCGGTACCACACGTTCTGGGACTTCCAACCTTCTCCTGAGTCAGCACGGGCTATGGATACTTTAGAGAACCTCATGGTTGTGACGCGCAACTCTACACCAGGGCAAAGGGGCGCCTCATTCTATTTGAGGAAAAGAATCCGAATCGTTAACTCTAGTGCTGAAAGTCCCCAGGTTTTAATCCTTCCACGAGCAGATTTAAACGAGTATCCTCAAGGTCACATCACTATTCATAGCCTAGGATCGACATTACGTCCTACGTTGGATGGGCGATAGGAAAGCTCCGTTTCGTAGACAATTTTACTGCAGCAGCAATTATTGTCTAGTAGCCTCATGTATGTCTCGAGTAATAATATACATTGATACACGGCAGTTGAATAATCTTTGGGTTAAACATTGACTGCTAGAATATGACCTACAGGTTGGGCTTATACAGTTAGAGTTACGTCCCTCAAAGATATATCTTCTCCTAATATTCATTAACAAGTTAAAAGCAATTGTTGCCGCCCTAGTCCAAATTCTTAGTTAATAAGAAGTTCCCATTGCTGTGTTCTTCTCATTATGGAGGGCACGAGGGACTTGGGAGATCTGCCGGTCTAGCAGATAGAAAATCGAAGCAATCAACCAAGCCAAATGCGACTTGAGAAGCGAAAATGATCAGACACCGCGCCCGATTCGCTGGGTGATTCCTCTATCCCCGCTCACCTCCTCTCCACATTGATGGATCGCCCCGCGATATAAGGACATCCGAGGTAATGATGATGTTTAGTATGCGGTAGTAGTTAATAATTATAGTCTATATTACATCAGATTCATATAGAATCGTGCAGAGTATCGGGCTAAATCTAAGAATTAGATGTTTAGGAAGAGTATTACATAGAAAGGAGCAAAATGGTTGCCCGACATATCAAGACAGCTGGCCTCGTGGCAAGCACTGCAATTAGCCAGAAGGTGTCGGAGATTGTGAAAGGTGTAATAGACGACATCAGGGCTAACGGCGATAAAGCTGTGAGGTCATATTCCGAGAAGTTCGATAAATGGTCACCGCAATCGTTTAAGTTGACGGAAAGCCAAATACAAGAATGTATATCGAAAGTATCAGCACAAACAATAGCAGATATCAAGGAAGCACAGAAGAACGTTCAACGGTTTGCAGAAGCCCAAAGGGCAAGCATCAAAGACTTCGAGGTCGAGATCCAGCCGGGTGTGTTCCTCGGCCAGAGAAATAACCCTATTAGCACAGCTGGGGCCTACATTCCAGGAGGACGTTATCCGTTACTCGCATCTGCTCACATGACAATATTGACTGCGAAGGTTGCTGGCGTCAAGCATGTCATTGCTTGTACACCACCTATTTTGGGCCAGGTCCCTAATGCTACTGTTGCAGCAGCACATTTTGCTGGTGCAGACGAGATCTTTCTGCTCGGAGGGACACAAGCCATTGCTGCCATGGCTTTAGGCACAGAATCGATTAAGAAAGTTGATTTCATCGCCGGTCCGGGGAATCCTTTCGTCGCTGAGGCCAAGCGGCAATTGTTTGGGGAGATCGGTATTGATCTCTTGGCTGGACCGACAGAAGTTCTCATCGTCGCCGATGAATATGCGGACCCTTTTACGATCGCGACGGACTTACTCTCTCAGGCTGAGCATGGGCCGGATTCTCCCGCTGTATTAATCACAACTTCGGAGGAAAGTGGTCGGGAGACAATAAAATATGTCAACCAGATATTAAAAAATATGCCGACAGCAGAACTCGCGGGAACTTCATGGAGAGATTACGGTGAGGTGGTCGTAGTGGACAGCCTAGACGAGGCATACGAGCTTGCAGACGTATATTCGAGCGAGCACGTGCAAATTCTAACGCAGAATCCCAGAGAGGCTCTAGAGAAGATGAAGAACTACGGGTCCCTGTTTCTTGGGGAGAAGACCTGCGTCTCGTACGGTGACAAGGTAAATACTCCTAATCTTTTTTTCACATTCATATGAATTTGTGGTGGAATATAGCTAAGTATTCTCACAGTGCATTGGAACAAATCACGTATTGCCCACACGGAAGGCGGGGAGATATACAGGCGGGTTGTGGGTTGGAAAATATCTGAAAACACAGACGTATCAGGAGGTAATAAATGAAAAAGCAAGTGGCGAGATTGGGCGTCTTTGTGCACGATGCTCGAGAGCCGAGAATTTCGAAGGGCATGCGAGGTCTGGGGACTTGAGAGCACATAAATATCTTCAAGATGCATATCCTTGGATCGACGAAGCTAGAAGATAGTATTCTTATGAGATGGTGAGGGCATTACTCTTATTGTGTATACTAGCTGTAATATGTGAATACCGATGCGCTAAGTAACAAAGCGTCTCGGATAGGAGTAAACCCCTTGAATTGCGGTTCCCGGCCTCCCCATAGTTCGTTACTATACAGTATTATTTTATAGCTAGCGCTTTACTTTATATTTATATGTCTCGCCGTACCCTAGCAACCAATGGTATACTTCCAATCAGACCTGGAATGCGAAGCCAACAACGCCAATGTAATTTTTATCATGCTAGATCCCAATGAAAAATGCAGCAACGGCTGCAAGCAACGCAGCTGATAACATCGACTGAGATGACGACAGGCCAACAGCACCGTTACCGTCATCATCGCTGGAACCATTATTTATAGTAGACAGAGACGCTCTAGGGGGTCCGACAACTTTGATACAAGACATAGAAGCTTCAGTCTCAGTAACTAGACTTCCGTTACCTGCCGAGTAGAAGACCGTGATTATGGGTGTAATAGCCCACATAGCCTTTTCTAGATCATTAAAGGTGGTATCTCCCTGTTCGATTGTCAGACGGCACTTTAACAAGGACAGGTTAAGAGATCAGTAGTAGATACTACTTACTGTGTAGTTATACTGGCTAACTAGGGTGAGATCATCCTGCTTTGGGATGACAGGCCAGCAGGTTGAAGATGAGTTTTGCTGCTGACTGATGGGTTGTGATGCATCCTCACCAGTTAAAGCTATTACAAAGTCAGTTATTAATGCAACATTGCACAAAGACAAAGAAAAGTAGCACATCTCGGTACTTCGAGCAATGCCTTTCTTTAACTTCATGGAGAGTTTTATTCGGACTTACCGGCGCTGGTAAAATTACTCCAATGCCCCTCCGAGATCCGAGCACAAGCTTCGTCTTTACTATCTTCCAAATCGCTCTGCAGTCTCGAGCAAGCCTCCGAGACAGAGAGTCTCTCGCTGCCACTGTTATATCCGTTTACCAAAGTCCTAGCCCGGGAGACCAGCGCATCAACGCATGAAGAGCCCATGGCATCCGCGCATGTGCCCTGCGCAGTCTCGTGGTTATCGCCGGGGAAAGCCAGATTCCTAGATGCGCCGTGCAGGAAAACAGCGCATGCACCCGTTGAATTATCCAATTGTAAGTCCGGTGGTGTGCCCAGGTAGAATGTGCTCTGAAACTCCCGTTTGTTGTCAGACGAGCCGACGTTGAAGCCCTTGGACCATGACAAACCCGAGAGAGCGTCGTTGTCAGTTGGCACACGTGTTAGTCCGACATAGATAAATGAGCCGGTATCTGCTACGGTGCAATTATCATCTACATTGCTCGTACTGCTGACAGGGCACTCGACGTCGACACAGCCAACAATTGTCTGGTTAAGGTCTTGAGCCTGCACCTGCGCGGCTGCAGCAGCCAACGCTGAGATAGCAAAAGCCGTGCGCACGTTTCCCATTACGATCCTAGAGTTGAGAATTGATGATGTTGGATTTGTAGTAGTGAATGAAGAAAGGCAACAAGACCTCAACAGGGGAAAAAGATTGATAAGAGATATTAAAAGGTCTTTTGACAATAAAGAAAATTAATATTACGAGAAATTGACCCTTTTCTCAATTGGAAACCTCCAAGAATCCCCTTAACTATCCGGCTAATTCCTAGGGGCCAAAACGTATACTTGGCGCCCTCGCGTCGTGGCGTCGATAGAGAATGCAACTAGATATAATTCAGAAGGCTATTCGACAAGGTCGGCTGAATGAAAATGCAGGAAATAGGGCTGGGTTCCAAATAGAGGGACCAATGCCCCCTTGTGGATATGCGGTCATAGCTAAAACAAACAATTGATTGAGGCTGTTAAACGTGGTGTCATTGAAAGAAAGGTCACCTGCCTAAAATGTATATAAGGGACTATTGGACCAGCGATCGTCTTTTTTTGATATATTAATAGACGCCAAGATGGACTTTGCCGGTGTAACCAACGAACCTGGCGGTACGCATAAAGAATGTGAAAGAGTTGGATTAGTTAGCATAGATGATGTGGTGGCGAAGCACATAACCGGATACGGGTACTGAAACGACAACCCCCATAACTTCCAAGCTTCACAATTTATTTTAAACATCGTCGTCGCTAAAAATCAAGATATGTCGCATACAACTGAATCGAGCTGAAGCTGCACTTGTACGATCCATTTCCCCTTTTAACAGCTTACTCAACCCCCTTTTTGTCTTGACCTTCCATAATCGTTATTAGATAATCTCAGGCCATGCGATATGTGACGATCTCATCTTGAGTTTATCTTCTCGAAGGAATCCTCATGCATGCAATACCCGGAGGAGTTGCCGAAACGTTGTATTATTCATGCCGCACCATTGAGAGCCTCATTGCTTCATAGAGCGTGACCGATACCCCGATTTGACGAAGAAATGCGAGCATGGGTGCTCTTGGCTGAAGAGGCACTAGGTTTAGATATGTATTGTTCTTTTACATAACGTTTTGATCCTTCAACCATGACCAGGGGCTAGCTATCCATGTATCGTATTGGCAATTTAGCATGGACGCCACAACGTAGCAGAATATACGTGATGTCGTAAACCATAGGATATATATCTCCTCATGATGCCCGTCCATAAACTCCTTATCCAATCGTCAGTCAACTACAGACGAACCGGTAGGGTTTTTGGAATCCAACTATTTACATTCTTTACGGCTTAAGTGCCTCACACTCTTTAACAGCTACTTCAAGTATCACACTCGTTTTTGTTCTTACCGAATACTCATACCTATTCCACGACAGTACATAATGGCAGGCGTTATAGAAGCAATTGGTGTGATTTCGGGTGTTCTTGGAATACTACAGTTTGGTATTGATCATTTTCCACAAGACGATGGGCCAAAGTCTACTGTTAGGGTTACCGTTGGATTAGACACCCCAGGTGGTCTTAACAATGCCGGTGGTGACCTTCCCGATGTTCGGCTGTTCAACGAGGCTGGCGAGTTCCTTGGTATCAAGGTAGACCCGGGCTCTGTCTCGGATGGTGGTTTCGGCGACATCAAGATTAGCCACAACGACGGCTCAAACCAGCAACCCGCCTATGCCCTATTCTCAGGTAACAACGATGCTATCTGCATTGCACACGCCGTCGTGACTTTCCCTGGAAATGAAAGATATACTTGGGTTGGTGATTGGGGTCGTCAATGCGGCGGTAGTTGGTAATTCAACACTACCCCCTAACGTAACGGCAAAGAATAAGCAATACTAATTGTGAATAAACTAGGTACTACTCGAACATCTACATAGACAGCAGCAGCCGAAAAGTTGACTGTCTATGGATTGACGGCAACAATGACCAACCACAAAGCGGATTCCAAGTCCACTGGCCAGAATTCGTAAACAAGGACGGCGATCAGCTTCCGTCGGACGACAGCGCGATGGCCGATAAAGTAAATTACCTGTGTAACGGAGGGCCTCCGTTCAAGATGTACAACTACGCAGACGACAACGACCCGAGCAGCATTACCTACTGGATCCTCAACAACAAGCGTTCCGAAGATGGAACCGACAACCGCAAAACCGGAACGTCGTACGGCCCGTCGAAATACCCTAACTCCGCCAAGTTCGGCCGCAACTTGCCCCGAGGAAACAGCACCGTTCCTTCTGGCTCCAGCCGCCAGGCCAACCGTCTAGTCGTCAGCAACAACGCCCAGCACACGGCAGTCGACCTCTGCGAGAGCAAGACATCCTACGGTCCGGACTTCTTAGATCTGATGGAGAAGAAGTTCTGCCGCATGTCAGACAAGACTGTCTGGCCGGTGTGCGACGGCGCTCAGACCGTAGACAACTGCTTCAACACGGACGTCCAGCAACTCATTGTAAACGGCGTTTCGGCCAGGGATAGCCCCTACAGCAACGTTGTAGACTGGACGTCGGGTAATTAGATGGGCTTGTGCGTTTTTGTAGACTCTCGGTTGGGATGGACGGAAAAGGGGTACAAGTATTCATGACTGTTGGAGTACGGGGGCAGGCTATGCATTGTTTATTGACGATATAAGGACTTGGTTGTATGGTATGGCTGTATTGTAGGATGGATATACAGGCATTTAAGTAGATGTGCTAGCAAGATAATAGTTTTTGAACTTAATTCTTCTAAAATGACTTGAGCTAATATTGTTTGAAAGTGAGAGTTTTCGAAAACATAGTGTAGTATTTAGGCTCATCTTTGGGGAGCCTTATAGTCGTTATCTATAATATTAGTAACTATTAGTTAATAGTTATTAGTTAGAAGTTTGAGAAACTGTTGGTAACACTCTTTACTTTACCATCGACCAGAGCAGGTATTTGTATCTTAATCTAGTTAATTTTTAACTAAACAATCAGCATTCGGTTTAATAGATAAATCAAAATTTTCTCGTATAGCAAACACGCGGAATTGACAATAAAATCTTCAAATCCTGTTAGTTATTGTACTTAGCATGAGCCAAGCACATATGGAGATGTTTCCTCAAACATGCAGTTACTCAAATAACCAACAAGTTGACAGAAAACCTTAAGCGAATAACATATCACTAATTACTAGGCCCGCCAAAATTATTACCATATTATTACTAACACTTGCCTTTTTGAGAGAGAAGGAATACTACAAGTTCCAGAGTTGTAGTCCAAACGCACAAAAAGATGCTGCCCATCCTGGGGTCGAACCAGGGATCTTCTGATGTATGTATTGTTGTTTAGATGCTCAACAAGGAATAACAGTCAGACGCCTTAACCACTGGGCCAATGGGCATTAAATCTTCGCGAGGTTTGCCGAATAACCGTGGAAATTTTGTTAGTTACTTCAACTCATTACCCACAAAGCGTTGCCCACCACACTACCCGACGTCTCGTGAGTGGGTCTGCAACTCGTGAAGCGAAATTCTTATAAAGAACTAAAAATAACAAACCACATAATCTAGTGAGAATAGTAAATTACCTCCTAGGTTGGATAAGTTCCTGGGTTATTTTCAAGTTTAGGTTAACCGAAGTTTGGGGTAAGACGTTTGCATCTTGTCATAGTAATTAGTGTCACTTCAGTAAAGTCTTTGTTATCCTAATATCGGATAGTCACAGTTTACAAATTCAACTACTTTATAATATATCATATAACATATAATAACATTATAAAAGCTACTAAATAAAATTCGGAAAATGACGTACATCTTAATAATGAGTTGTAATTTATAGTTGCTCACGTTATCGTAAACTTCTTATAAGAATGTTATCATGCGAATCTACCCACACTACTTTCTCATTGCCCCCATACCTTCAAGATCATGCGCCTCATTGTGTAACGTATAGTATTCAAGATACTCTTCTCTCTCACCGCTAATTTAATATACTTACAAACACCATGAGAGGCACCTAATTTCGCTTGCAAGAAAACACTCTCCGGCTTTGCGAATCTATGCTGACGCGGCGCTTTTCCAGGTAACTCTTGGCCATGGCTAGTATGTTGTCATCTTGTTAGAATCTGGTATTACCTTGTTAGTTTTAGGGCCATGGCACAACATGTCTTGGATGTTGGAGAGCCAAGCATGTTCAAGTATTCCTTGATACCCTGTTTCTTATGTCTTAGCCATAGCGTAACTACTCCTCCCACATCTACAAGGAAATAGATAGCTATCAAAGATGGCTCGGAGTTCTCCGAGTTTATTCTATTTGTAGTCAATTATAATATTCCAAATAAATGCACTTTTAGAACGGGCAAAATGCCAAATGGGAACTACTAAGCATACCTATCCATCTGATAGTTATTTCTATCTTATCTTACGATCTCTCCAATCACAGATACTAAGGCGGTATACGCCTCAGAACCTTATATAACAATTACAAAGTCTTATATAACCTTATAGCCCACTCTGTCAGATGCCCAGACAGATGTTGGCTTGGCGTTAGATATATGTCCGCTCGGCCATAATCCTCATCCAATTATTATAATAATTTGGTAGCAATTCTCTAGGCAAACGGAGATAAATCACATTCAAGTCTTGTAATCCCGTGGGGTCCCGCGGTTATCCGTATGCTGCAGGTTTTATATGGATACGAGTGTAGCAAAGATCGCGGCCTGTAATCACCAACAGTTAGGTTATGATGATATGGTTTTCTAGGACCAATGCTACCTATATTGTATAGTGTAACAGACAATTAATTATATAAAGGGAACCTTGAGTGCTTCAACAAACGTCTCTGACCATCTTCACGCGCATAATGAGAAGTCATCCTGAAATGTTAATGGGAATAATCAAAATATATCATGCTATAAATCTCAATTAAACTTCTAGAACGTCACAATCTATTTTCAAGAAAAACATACGAAATAGTTATGCTCACTAAGGTACATACCCAAAAGGAGATCTCCGAGGTTGATCTTGAACCCTTGTCTCCGACCTTCGCTATACTAACCAACCAGTTATCTAAGTAGATCATCAAGCATGATATCGCTGTGTTACAAGGGTCAATGATCAGATGGCATACGCAATTTTCTTATGGGCTTTAAGACGAATATAATGACTTGATAGCCAAGCAATGAATATCTTAAGATATATAAATCCTTCTTCAGGGCACTTGTCAGAGAGATTCAACATGCAAATCAGATAACCAACTACTACACTGAAATTACTACCATCTTTACACCAATCCCAAGAACAATACTAAATATCCCCAGACGAACACGATCAGGATGTCTATAACCGAAGACTCTAACCTTTTGATCGCCCCTGGATCTCTCGTGGTCGTAACGGGTGCAAATGGGTATATCGGATCTCATATTGTGGACCAGTTTCTGCAACGAGGTTACCGGGTCCGTGGTACTGTCCGTAAGGCTTCTAGAGATCGATGGCTGAAAGACCATTTCGACGGAAAATATCCGGGCAAATTCGAGTTGGTCGAAGTGCCCGATATGGTAGCGAGCGGTGCATATGACGAGGCCATCAAAGGGGCTTCTGGCTTCGTACACGCCGCGGCTCCTGCTATGGATGCGATGGAAAGCGCCGATCCCTACGCCAGAGTCAAAATCGTAGTGGATAGCACGGTATGCGCCCTAGAGTCAGCCGCAAAAGAGCCGGGGATAAAACGAGTCGTCTTAACATCCTCTTCTGGGGCGGCGGTGTTTCCTATTCCTAACAAGGTTATGTCGATTGATCCAAACACCTGGAACGAATACTCAGTTAAGGAGGCATTCGCCCCGCCACCATACGAAGGCGAGAAACGTATGGTGGATGTCTATTATGCCAGCAAGACTAAGGGCGAGCAGGCGGCATGGGAATGGATTCGTGAACACAAACCTCATTTTACATTCAATGCGGTCCTACCCGACTTTAATACGGGAGCACCCATTAATGTAGCTCGACAGGCTTCTCGCAGCACGGCGGGTATGATCAGGGTCTTGATAGACAAAGGTGAAGCCTTGACACCGGAGGATGTGGTATTCCCGCCACAGTGGTATATTGATGTCCGTGATGATGCCGCATTGCATGTGGCTGCATTAATCTATTCGGACGTGGCAGGCGAACGCCTTTTTGGCTTCGCTTACCCTTTTACCGTTAACGATGTCATCCGAACGCTGAAAGCGTTATATCCGAATCACAAATTCGGACAGGAGATCTCTGATGCAGGTCAAGATCTATGCAGTGTCACAAACGAGAGAGCTGAGGAGCTGCTGAAGCGACTCACTGGTCACGGATGGACGAGCTTGGCTGATGGTCTAAAGGATACTGCTGAAGCATTGGGGATTCATTAGAGATTTATTAGGGATTCTTTAATTGTAGAATGATGCTAATACCCGACGTCCATGTCGCATCGCAGGCGGTACAAAGTGCGCCCGAGAAAGGGGTGATGTGGATTCACGATGGTAGAACCATAGATAGAGAGTAGGAATTTGATGATTTGATTAACAATACACTTTTTGTACTAAGCGACGCTATTGTTGTGCACTTACGAGATACGGAAATGGGGTTAAGCCGAATGCTACACAAGCTAATGCTGCCGATTTAAATCTTGATGAACTTGATGGAGCTAGAAGGTCCCAGCAAACGGAATTAAGATTTTAATGGGGAACGTAGTGTAGCACTTGCATCAATATTTGCATAATACAAGCGTAGCTCCTCCCTTGAACAGCACGAAATGCTTCAAGAGTGGGGGGAAAAAGTGGATGGTGCCATCAAGACAGAAAGATCACCCGGATGGCGTAACAAATTGTATTTATAATTGGATTTCGAAGGGTGCCGCGCAACTTCCATATGTTCTCCATCTGTAGAATATCATGTGCGTAATTAGTACCATAAGTTAGGTTCGCGGGGATCATATAGAAACTTCATTCTCGGATGTATTAGTAATAATATAGAAGGTAGGTATGTAGGTACCTAATGTAAAACCCAAAACCTTCTTTGTCTTGCTATAAAGTTGGAGAGAATTAAAAGAGATTGATTGCCGTGAATATTCAACCTTCAACCCCGCTTAGTGAACCACTTAAACAGCCACTTTCTAAGACATCACGACTAAAACTTAGACTCACGAGAATGGCTCCCAAGATCTTTCTGTAAGTAAACGGCTAACTAAGACTTAGGCGGAAGCAGAATAACTTAGAGTATAAGCTAATACGTCTAATAGCACCGGTGCGACTGGTATGAACTTGACAGCCCAACTATAAATATCATCTCATCTAATCAATCTAAATACTAAATATTCTTAACAAACAGGCTACATTGGCGGTGATGTCCTCTACCAGCTGAACAAAGTCCACCCTGATTATGAGTATACACTACTTGTACGAAACGAGGAGCGAGGCAAGCCCGTCGCCGCAGCTTACCCCAAGGCCCGTATCGTCTACGGCACTCTGGATGATGCCGAGGTGATCGAGAAGGAGGCTGCCGCCGCAGACATCGTTGTTCGTACGTTTCTCTCTTAGTTGAATATCCTTAAAAAGAGAAGGGCAAGTAGCTAACGCCATCTAGACACGGCCGACTCGGCCGACAATGTTCCTTCCGCAAAAGCCATTGCGAAGGGTCTCGCGGCGGGCCACACAGCTGAGAAGCCCGGTTACTGGATCCACCTCTGCGGAACCGGCATCCTAACCTGGTACGATGCAGACAACAAGCGGTACGGCCAACCGCCGCTGCCGGAGCAGAAATACCACGACATTGACGACATCGACCGCATCCTCTCATTCCCGGACACTGCGCTCCACAGGGACGTCGACAAGATCGTCTTGGCAGCAAATGACTCTCCTGCCATCAAGACCCTAATCGTCGGGCCCCCTACCATCTATGGCCAGGGCCGCGGGCCCCTCAACCAGCGCAGCATCCAAGTACCCATGCTCATCGAATATACGCTGCAGAACGGCTACGCGCCGATCCACGCCCCCGGTCTAACCGAATGGAACAACCTGCACATCTACGACGTGAGTGACTTCTTCATACAGGCCGTAGAAGCCGCGCAGGACCCGTCTAAAACTAGCAACCCCGAGATCTTCGGCCCCAAGGGGTACTTCTTCCTCGAGAACGGCGTGCACAAGTGGAGCGACGTAGCTAGGTGGGTCGCTGAGGAGGCTGCGAAGCAGGGTCTTATTCCTGAGCCCGCTACGAAGGAGGTCGACTTCCCCTTCTTCGGGGCCAATTCCAAGGCTGTCGCCGCTAGGGCGAAGAAGTATTTCGGCTGGACACCTAAGGGTCCGACTCTGAAGGATGATATCGCGCCAAGCGTGGCTCTTGAGGCGAAGAGACTAGGCAAGGCTTAATTAAGTTGATCTGGAAGAGATATTACCTGATGTCAATTCTCTATAAAATCTGTTAGTAGAGAATCCCATGGTAATCTCGTAGTAATAGCAAGCGACACTAATGTAACTTAATACAATGCTCCAATTTCTTAATTAACGACTAAATAAAGTGATCCAACCTGTATCCACCTTACACATTTCATTCATTATCATTACGGTCGTATACCTAAATACAGCCAAGACAAATATCCTTGCAGAATATCTCATATTAGCTTCTCATGAACCTAGAATCAGGGATGTTCAATATCGAAGTAAACCTTGACCTCAACTTCATTGCTCCAACCGGCTGTTAGACCCATTTCGTTCCACGCCGTTTCGATATCAATTTCCAACACATGGCTGTCGGCCTTATTGACAGTAACCGTGTGAGGCGGGATTGGTTGGCCTTGAATAGTAACCATGAAATCTCGTTCGATCGACATATCGGGGAGACTTGAAATATACACCCCTTTAGCTAGTTAGTATAACAAATGAGTCACTAGCAGTAATAGGGACTTACCAAGAATTCCCAAGGCTTTGAGCCGTGTATCTAAGAATACCCTACCGGTATGCAGGAGCTCAAACTCGTTTGTGGTAATAGCGGCGGCGCCCGTCATCTTCCCGATAAGGCCGAGATTCGAGACATATATCCTACCGTTCGTCTCGCTGTCAAACCGTGTTATGGGGAAGGCGGTAAAAATTTCGTAGTCTCGGACGTCTAACGATACTGCGAGAATGGCAGCAGCAGAGCCGGGTTCTACAACAGACGTTACAAGGCCGCTATGGTGAGCACGCACGACATATAAATTCGACGGGGACACACCCGGAAAACACGAGAGAGGGATGAGCTCCCCCACCGCCCGCTGCGATATGTTGAAGACGCCTAGTAGCGGTGTCCCAGTTACAGCTCGGCCGTGGTAACTCCCAATCTTGAGGATTGTAGGCTCGTCGTAACTAGTATACGCGTCGATGCTTCTACCCACTACGCTGGGTCTGAAAATAACGGTTTTACCCCGAGGCGTTGGTCCTGTCATCTCAGCAATAAGATCGATATTGTGTTTTCCAGGGGTATCGGTTATATAGATCGGCCCACCACTGAGACATCGCGCAGCAGCGTGGAAGCCCGCAAACTCGTGATCAGTCTGAAACATATCCCAATCTGGTAAGATGTTTAAATGCTGGGTAAGCAAGGCATTGTGAGCGTTCGCGAAGAGATGCCACGGATGTGATTCTGGGATATCAGGATAAAAGTCGTCAGAGTTACGCGCAAGCATAGCTGGTCTGTTGTGCGGCAGTTGCTGAAGGAATAAGAGTTGCGGCGCTTGAGACATACACGATATGGCTTTAATGCTGAAATATCTCAAGGCCGATATTGTCCAGTTATCAAGGTATGTCTCAGTAAGTTCTCGACGGTGTTTAGCTGAGATCCAGGTGTCTATCATGTACTGCACATCCGTCTTGACACCATCAATCCCACAGTCCGATAAGAAGCGATAAAAGTCGTTATAAAATTTACCAACATCTTCTTTTGCGATGACAGTCATGGGACCATTGAGGTTAGAATCAGCGCGATCAATTTGCACTGTCTTATAAGTCTGGGCGAGGTCACCAGTGCTTGAAATCCCTCCCCAGTAACCAAGTAAAGCATGCCAGACGGCAACGTGTTGAATACTTGGATGTTTTGAGCGGATGAGAGATACCGTGTCTTTGAGTCCATTCGGAAATGCGTTTGGCTCGGCTTCGAATCCCTTCCAACCATGTTGGTATTGATCCTGGCCCTGGTAATCAATATCTTGCCAGTTATCGTCTATGATGAGACTGCTTATATTGATGCGATCCTTTGCAAGTGCACCAACGGCACGCATTATTTTCTCATCTGTTAGATGTTGACCCAAAGCATTCCAGGTACCTATTCATACGGCAGGGCTAAGTTAGACTCATCGAGAAAATTCGGGTGGGCGGATTGCTTACAATAGCCCAATCCATCATACCAATTTTCGTACCATTCAGGCTTGATGTCATTAGTTAAACTCTGGATTTCCCTAGTAAATTCATCCTTGCTATTACCCGTGGCGACCATAACGGTTCGAGCGTGGTACATGACGGCTGCTACCGCACTCTCGAAATCATCGCCAACAGAAGCTAAGACTAGACCGGTTGATTGAGCTTCGTTGTCGCTGCGTATCTACGAATGAAGCATGAGATGGCATTCTCAAAACGAATTGGTTTGTGAGTTTGATCTCTTACTTACATGTAATCTTACAGAGCCTGTCTCTGAGCTGCGGAGGAGCGTGGTTACGTTGCCAATTCCACTAACTCCTAGTAGAACAAGATGCTTTCCTTGATGACTTAGAAAAGAGCACATTACGGCATCCTTGTCCAATTTAAATGACTTTCTACCATGCCTAGGGCCTAACCATGGCGACCCATGGCGGACTAGGGCGAAATATCTGCAACTCAGTTAGTCTCGCGATCATAGTTAACGGTTATACTAATTTAGAAAAAAAAAGAAATATCATGACTTACCGCAGAATACCACCCCACGGAGTCCCGAGCTCCACATCGGCATATGCGGAACGATCATCATCAGCTGGATTCACGCTTGCGCTTATAGTCCAGATTTGGGTATTTGGAGTTTGACTCTCTGCAGCCGTGACTGTCAGCTCCGGGTTAAGCTCATGAATTATTTCAGAAAGATTCGTATCCATTCCAGTATTTGGGGATGTTGGGCTAATCAAAACGATCCCATCATATATCCCTGAGACTTTGCGAGACCACCTCCAGGGTTGATTACGGCCATTGCGGAACTTCAAAGTAAATTTTAGGGATGATGATACAATAAACGGCGCTCCAAAGTACAGGCAAATATGCGAAGGTCTAACAATTTGAAGTGCGGAGGGAGAATCGTTGACGGAAATGGGCGATAACGGCTTCTCCGTCCAGTCGGCACCGGAAGAAGAGTACCAGACGGCAACCTCCCAAGGGTCTTCTGCACAGTTACTGTCTACTTCTAACAGAGCAAGAAGTTGGAACGTATTGTCTTTGAACTGAGTGACCTGTCCAAGAGGTGGATAGCTTGATATGGTTGGTTCCATCCCGACGACGGGAGCGTCCGGTCCAAAGATACGGACGGCGTGGAACTCGGAGTCGATATCACGTTCACCTTTAGACATAATTACAAGGAAATAACTATTTCATTTTATTAAACAATGTAGGGGGATGGTACAGATTATTATAAGCAAGATAAAATAATAGGTATTCAAATAAAACAGCGGTATTAGGAATTAGGACTCGAATAAAACATTCATTATTATGGTTTAAGAACAACTCGGCCAAGTTGCAACATTGAATTGTGGAAACTCTTAAGTTCTAGGAAAGTCTTGAAAGTTCAACAGATGAGCCAAAGACCCATAAAAATCACTTGACCAATCAAGAGTTGATTATTTCTTGTTGCAGCTACTTAGCCACAAATCGTTAACACTAGTCGGAATTTAGCGGGAAGAAAGTTAAAAATTCTGAGGCTTGCGTCTGTAAATCCCACACGCCGCATTGCACCTTGACGCCTCATACGGTGGACCATTATGACATTAGTGCCAAAATCAAGAAAATAGGTGGCACTATGTCTAATAAGGTAATAGTAAGGCAAAAATACAGTATAAGCTCAATTAATATGCGCTGTATACACAATTAACACCCCTTTTAACCTTATACCATAATAACTTTACGAATATCTATCCGAATATTTTTCGAAAACTATCAATATTTTAATTGAAAAAGGACAAAAATTACTGTTTAGGTTGCATGCGATTTGACCCAAAATTCGTAAAGATATTAAGACAGCTATATACACATAGTCTTTCCTATTCTAAAAGATTAGCCAATCAGATATCGCCTTTACCTTAGCCTTAGCCTTAGCCTTAGCTTTAGCCTTATACGAGATACATAAATTCAACAATAACACTTACTTACACGTATACACGTATTCAAATAACTTTACCAATATATTATTTTAAATATCATAATTAGTATCATATTATAGCCCTATTTGATGCGAAAATAACAATGCAAGTTGCACTTATATATAGCCTTTAGCTAGTGTGTTGTGTCAATATCAAATAAGTCTTATATTGTGTCAGTATCAAATAGTTAAGTCTTATATAGGGAGGTTAGCACGTGATACCTTTTATGACCACTTTGGAATTCCGTTTATATATCATACATATATGACATATTATCTTTACCAAATAAATTTAAACAATTACCCAACTAATTTAATAATTTTTTTCATACTTCAATTGAAATAACAATACTTTTTTCAAGTTTTTAGAAAGGATACTTAAAAAGTTATTAATATAAATAGGTAAGTAATGAGAAAACTTGTATATACCCCGCATAGTATACTGTGCACCTTTCATACTAGCCTTTTTTGGACAGCCCTGACCTATTTTCTTGATTTTGGCACTAATGTCATAATGGTCCGCCGTACCTCAGGCCAAACCCAAAATTTGAGCTTTCGATTACCGAAAACCGAACCACTCGTCCAAGATTTACATCAAACCGCTCACTTCCGTAATTCCACCCTCCCGCACGCAACACCCTAATGGCGTCCAGGAGACTCGCTTTTAACCTCGCGCAGGGCATGCGCAGCCGTGCCGCAAATTCTGCCATACGACCATTACGAAGAGGTTTTGCAACTCCGGTGACGTCTCCCGTTGGCGCGAAGACCCAGACCACAACATTGAAAAATGGTCTAACGGTAAGATACCCCCAGAGGCCAATTGGGCTAGTCAATGCTTCTTAAACTTATATCTGACTGTAAACCGAAAGGTCGCGACCGAATACTCGCCTTGGGCGCAGACTTCGACGGTGGGAGTATGGATTGATGCCGGTTCGAGGGCCGAGACGGACGAGACAAATGGAACCGCACATTTCCTAGAACATCTTGCCTTCAAGGTATTTACGGGTGTAGACCTCGGCAAAATTACGCATTACTTATAACTTCCTTAGGGCACCCAGAAGAGAACTCAGCAACAACTAGAGCTCGAGATTGAGAATATGGGTGGTCATCTTAACGCCTATACCTCGGTGCGTTAAATATAGCCGGCAACATTATAACTTCCGACTAACATATGAATAGCGTGAGAACACCGTCTACTTCTCCAGAGCATTCAACTCCGATGTTCCTCAGTGCGTCGACATCCTCGCCGATATCCTACAGAATTCCAAACTTGAGCCCTCCGCCATCGAGCGAGAGCGTGATGTCATTCTCCGTGAATCAGAGGAAGTTGAGAAGCAGCTTGACGAAGTTGTCTTCGATCACCTTCATGCCACCGCCTACGCTCACCAGCCTCTCGGCCGCACTATCCTTGGACCTCGAGAGAACATCCGTGACATTACCCGAACCGAGTTAACCAACTACATCAAGACCAACTATACTGCTGACCGTATGGTCCTCGTTGGTGCTGGCGGTATTCCTCACGATAAGCTTGTCGAGTTAGCCGAGAAGAACTTCTCCAGCCTTCCTACTTCTTCGCCTCACACCGAAGCCTACCTCCTCTCCAAGCGAAAGCCTAGCTTCATTGGTTCCGAGGTTCGAATCCGAGACGATACCATCCCATCCGCCCACATCGCTCTTGCCGTTGAGGGTGTGAGCTGGAACGACGACGACTACTTCACTGCTCTAGTTACCCAGGCCATCATCGGCAACTATGACAAGGCCATGGGCAGCGCACCTCACCAAGGCAACAAGTTGAGCACCTTCGTTCACCATAATGACCTAGCCAACAGCTTCATGAGCTTCTCCACAAGCTATAGCGATACGGGGTAAGCTCTCCTATATGATTTCACTTTTCTTATACTTTGTACTAATAAATTGCAGTCTATGGGGTATCTACCTAGTGAGCGATCAACTTACCCGTCTTGACGACCTGGTTCACTTCACCCTTCGGGAATGGTCTCGCCTTTCTAGCAACGTCACTGAGTCCGAAGTCGAGCGAGCAAAGGCTCAACTGAAGGCATCAATTCTCCTTTCCCTCGACAGCACATCCGCCGTTGCGGAAGACGTCGGTCGACAACTCGTCACAACTGGCCGTCGCCAGAGCCCTGGTGAGATCGAGCGTGTCATCGATCACATCACGGAGAAGGACGTAATGGACTTCGCTCGGAGGAAACTATGGGACCAAGACGTGGCCATCAGCGCTGTCGGCAGCGTCGAGGGCCTTCTCGACTACCAGAGAATCAGGAACGACATGAGCCGAAACTTTTAGGCGAATAGTGATTAGGGACAGCGGCTTGAAAGGGGGGACTCGGTCATAGAGTGTATCAGATAATCACGCACTTCATTGTACCATACCATAAAGATTTCTCATCTGTTAGATTCCCTCGACCGGCCCAGAAGATATTTTGTTTGTGTTACCTTTTCTGCATTGGTCCTTATAATGCATCGGATAGGTATCCAGGACTGGCGTCCTTGAGTTTAATGTTTGTGATATGTTAACAATCAAGTTAGCTCGCTTAAATAGCGAATACAAAAACTCTTCGGGGTTGAATCACGAATTTCAAGTAGGGGAGCATCCGAAAATCCTACTAAATTGATTTGTTGTCCAGTGATCTACTGGATTGGGGATTTCAAGGTTATGTACAATAGATGTTATATGTCCGAGATAATACGGTTCATGAAACGAGTTAATCCCGGTCCCGAAGTTCATTGACAGCCACTTAAGCACATTAGCAATATATGCTAATCGAGGCTTCTAGGAATGAGTATCTCTCGCCTAGATAAGCCCCTTAGTTGTCTAAATAATTTAACTACCTACATGTTGTAAATTTAGGAGATGATCTATATTGTGAGCGGCGTACTATATAACTCCCCATCTTCCCCATTCTCTAGGTGAAATCTCCCCCCTCCCCCCAAGTCTAGCTTCCCCTCAATCTATTGAGACCCCTTCGAATCGAAGCATCATATTGGTGACTTACTTAAAGGCAGCCGGCAACATTAAGCTCACAATTAATCTTCGACAGGTCAAAGAGAAACTCATGCAAATCAGTGTTATCTTCGAAGGGCAAGGTATAAGTATAATCAATTCGCCCTTCTCTAAGCTGAACTGACAAAGCCTGCATTGACCCTTTCAACACAGATAAGACGAAGATAGAGTATTACCCTGATAAGTGAAATCATTAGAGCGCTGAATGAGACATATTGATGTTATATTAATGTTTTTGTAACTAATGTCAGGTTCAAACTGATTCCGTATGAGAGATGAGAGGCGTTAGTTCCCATAGTTAGGTAGTCATATACTCGAGAACCCCTAGTGCTCCCAGATTTTCTAGGATATAATATCTTCTTGCCTATGAGCAATATAACAGCTAAGTCTAGGTCAAATATGATTACACTCAAAAGTTTCCGCTTACTTATCTCAATAGAGGATAGTAGAAGAATAAGTCGTCATATACATTGCGTAGTTTATAAACAACAAAAGAACCTTTACTATGTTTGTAGAAAGATCTCTTACCATTTAGCTTCGATTTTAGCAATAAGACTTAAAGAATCTATATCACAGGAAAAAAAAAATCAAGTGAAAACGATAAATAAACAGTCTGACCCCAATATATAACTCCAAACTGCCAAGAAACAGTCTCTACTCGCGTTAAAATGAAAGATTAAGTTTCTCCTTAAACCGAATATTGAAGGGACAGATATAATGGCAGCAATCAATAGTAGAGTAAGAAGAAAAGACCTTTAAACGTGATGACCTTTGGAGTACATGGTGCGGCCTATTGTTAGTGATAGTAGATTAATGTAATTAAGGAGACGTTGCCAATGCTACTGGCCAAGACTTCACTTAATGAGGCAGAATACTCCAAACAGGTATATTAGTTCCATGGCCGCGGATTCTTACTCTCGTACTCCGCTTTTCAAGTTTAGTAATCCCACCGCGTTGATCTATCATATCCCGGTGAAAAAGCTCTTGGCTGCCTGCCTGCCCAGAAAGGAGAGGAGGCTCAGCTTCTCCAACTTAAACCTCTTCACTTTGAGGGGTCTCATAGCTAAACCGCAGCCACTACGTTCTCGAACTTGGCCCTAAATGAAAACTTGAAACTAAAACGTTTAATAGGACATGTTTAATTCCATGCACCTAAATAGTAAAAGCTGTTCAATACAAGTACGTGATAAAAGACTTATTCAGAAACTCTAGCTAGAATTTGACGTGATATAAGACCACATTGATATTTTATATTAGAATATATCGCAATGTAATGCAAGCATTATCTACATCGTAGCTTTGACCCGGTAACATTACTAATAACAGCACACAGTAAATCCATATATACAAACATAAGAGGAATTCCTTTCGGGGTTAACCTGCCCCAGCTATATAACTCTCGTTAATAACCGTGATTCATACCCGTCGTAGTTTTAAGTCCTTAAGCCTTCACGAACTGACCAGACAGGTAGTAATATTCGGCATTCATCTCCTCCTGTACCTGTCTCCAGAGTCCCTTCTGTAACGTACCGGAAAGCCAGTAATTGCCTGCGGCATCCTTCCCCACGATGGGAAACGAGTTGCGCGTGGGCATGCCGTTGACAAGACCGTTGGGCTGGATGTACGACGGACGCCCGATCTTGTTGGCCCGCTTTTCCGGGTCCGCACCGGGACGCACTACTGCGGCCGAGAAGTCCGTATCGAAGAATTTGGCCTTACTCCAGTTGGAAATCATTATGGGCGCCATCGCGGGGTCGCCGTACATGGCTGATTTCCCCCTCTTCCCGGCCGCAAGGTCAACAGCAGCGCGTGCTTCCACCTGCGCTCGTGTCCCCTGCTCGGCAATGGATCGGCGCACTGCAGCAGCGACGTAGCCCAAGGGCCTTGCGAATAGATCTCGCATCGATACGAATGCCCAAACGCCAGCAACAGCGTTGCCGACGTAAGCATGTGTCTGCGGAAGAAGGTCCTTAGCGAGTACCGAGCGCATGCCGAAGGCGTTCATGATGGACACCGTCTGTTCTGTGTGCTGGAGGTGTCGGAGGGCAAGACGCGTGACCCAGCCCGAAAGCACATCGCCTTCGCTGACGAACGGTTTCACCTTCTCGTCCTCATCGGTCTGTGAGGCGAGGTAATCGAGTGCTCCCTTATGCAGGGACTGTACGTGGGTAGCTGGTACACAGACCATCCGCGTGTCTTCGCCGCGCGACCAAAATAAGGTTGTCCAGATGTAGGATATGGCGAAAATTAAGGCTTGGATCGGAGCCAGGCGGCGGTGAGCCAAAACGTACGGTTCTTGCGGATCGGTTCCTAGCGATTCGAGCGGGTCTTGCAACACGCCGTAGAGCGGCTTCACGTCGTCATCCCTACCCTCAAGCACGGCTATCCAAGCATCTAGAAGCTCCCGTCGTCCCATCGCATCGAGTAGCGTGTGTGGCCACGATAGCGAGACGATCGTCGCGTCGGTAAAGGACACAATGTGCAAGCTTAGCTGCGGTGCGTCAGTGTACAAGTAGTCGGCGAGTCGTCGAGGCGCACCCCATCGGCGCAACAGAGGCGCAAACTCCTCCGGGTCACTCAGGACGGCAGGTTTCGCGGTAGCCCTAGGTAGACGACAACCGGTTGGGTGCCTGGCAATCTCAACATTGTGTTCTATATGCGAATATGCGAATGCCGGTCTTTTCGCGCTGAAGGAATCCGGAATGTGGTATTCAAGTTTACCATCACCCTGTAAACATCTTTTTAGCTATTGGATTCTATTTTAGGAATTACAAGACCCTATGCTTAGACGACATAGTATCAATAGCAAGCATACGGGGAGTCTTAGCCTTGCACCTAGCTTACGCCAGTCACGCCGGCTAAGGAGCTTCTCTAGCGATAGACGTAGCTTATTGGGATCCAACACGTCATCAAATCGCATGGTAAACTCAACAATAACCTTTCTGTTGATCGGTGTATCGTCGAACCGGTGTAGCGGGATGACTGTGTCTGAAGATATTGTCAACGGCGACTTGATGGCCGGTTTGCTGGAAAGTATGTTCCCCATGTTGTGCGAGTGTCGCTACAGCACCAGGCTGTACTGAACACCGAAGGTCTAGACAAGGAGTATGTTATGTATTTCTAAGTTACAGTCCCTACAACCCGGGTCGTCCACGGAGTAATAAATGGCAGGGCAAATCTGGCCATTGTAGATAGTCTGCCGTAACTGACAAGCTACCTGACGCTTCGGGGAAATTCTGCGCAAATCAACCGGACAAAAACCAGCGACCAGCTGAGTTGATATCCGAGATACAGGCTATTCCCTGACGATCTCTGTTAGGTTTGGGCGTTGGGTCCACAGGAATATATAACATCGTCAATAGCAACGTAACATGTTTATATCTCGTGCTGCATGCGCGGGAAGGAGTCGATAGGAGGATATCATTTCGAGATGCTCATTGGTCCAACCGCCGACCTTCCCCTTTCTGTACATCGATATCTTGGGAACACTTCGCATAGACGAAATATCACGAGCAAGGGTAACGCCGCAGATTGCGTAAGTGTTGCTTGGCAAAGATGTGTTGCTTGGCAAAGGTGATAATATATATATATACGTATTCCTCACATAGCTTGGTGTAGGTAACGCGGTGCCTAGGTCCCAAGGTATGAAAGGTACCCGAGACATGGGAGGAGGTGGCTAATAGCACTATATAAAATAATTTGGATGATCATTAGCACTTTGCTAACGGAACACCGGAGAAGGTCGGCTTTATGGCTAGAGGGGAAAAAGTTAGCTCACGATATTCCTATGTCGAATGATGAATCGTAGGTCCTAAAACTTCTAGGGTCCATCCAATGCTTGACGGAAACATCCGTAAGTGCTATTGGTCGTTTGTATGATAATCGGAATAGTGTGGGGGGGTTCCCTTACACATACGAGGGTATAAATGCATGTACAATGTATGTAACGCACAATCCCTTGATCTGGTAGGTGGGACAGGGATCTTCACGGCATTTGAGTCGTGTTTTTAACGTTATCACGACGATCGTTTTTATTAACTGAGGTCACATTTCATTACACAAGACCAATATTTACCGGGTAAGCAGATAAGCGAAACATATTAATGTTTTTGTGCCTGGATTCATCTTAGACGCCTCTTGGACTCTTCCTTAGACTTAGTCTAGACGCTGTAGATTTCTACATCGCAAGGGTTTCCTTGTCGACTTATAGGTTGATAGCCCTAAAGAATCGGAGAGACAAAATCTCACGAGGCCGGATAACTATCTGAAAAAAGTATTTCACGGAGCTACCCCCCGAAATCCCCGGGGCTCATTAGCCGGAGCTGTAAAAGCGGGTTCCCGCGACTTTCGACATCGTCTAGCATGATTGCGTCAACCTCGTTAAGCATCTAACGGCGGTGGGCTTATACCATTTTAACAATATAACATACGTAGACCAAGAAAGCTTGTCTGCGGTTGGACATGACCCAAGTAAGTCGGTGCCAAGCCTCATTAAAATAAAACGATGATGTAGCTCCTTGCGTGGTTTAGCCTCATCCGAACTACCTAGCGATTCCTATGTGAAGTAAAAGATCGGTATTACGGAACTTGACCTCCGTATAGTTTAGTATTCTCTCTGTTTCTATCCTTGAGTCATTGCTGACCATCCAGCCACATTTAGTTAGAATACATATAAAACCGGAGTAGGTCGACGAAAACGTCGAAACGCCACAGATGGACTTCGCACGGGCGGAACGGCTACATTTTATGCAGCCACCCGGCGTTGCGCACAGGTTATATTACATTTTCGAAGCTGAGAGACTACTTGAATCTGGTACCACGTTGTCGTAAACGGGACGACGTGTTCGTGACCCCGGCTCAAGTAATTTCTTATTTAGTGACTACTAAATATTGGCTATTCCAGGTTTAGGAACACGTAAATGACCAGCTCACACGCATATATATATATATAGGAGGTACCTAGTTATATATAACACGAGACGGTTGAGTTATACGTAATTTCATCCATCCGTGCCATCCCCCACTAAGCGAAGTCATCTCCGGTTTCTCATAGTTAGGTAGTAACCAAGCCAAACAGTTTATGTAGTATATTATGTCTATCTCAACTATTCTCTATAAATGTAGCTGAAGTTCTTTTAATATATCAGACTTGAAGCCATTACGATTCCTCTAAAGCTTGCCATGACACATCATGATGTCGCTTTTAATATTTTATACGCGTTCATGTGCATATCAAGTTTGAAAGTATTAGAGCATAATTTCAAAGACAACCTAGGTTATGCCATGCGCTATAGAATTGTTAGTTCAAAGTTTTTAATACGTGAAGTATGATCGCATTGAACTACTAACAACTATTAATATTAAATATCACTATTAGAGATCACTTTTAGTATGTTATACCACATACAGAGTGATAGGTAGCCGGCCGGTATATAGTCCAAGCATGTAGTATATTGGAAGATACCTTAATCCCTATCTTTGTATAAATCAAAGAGAACCTCCTATCCTGTAGCCAGCCGCTTGGTAGTAGGGTTTAGTCTAAGCCGACAATTACTGGCTAAAGTTATATGTTAAGGATCACTACCTAGTTACCTAAGGATGGCTATCCAAACACTAATTTGGCTTCTCATAACCAATATCAACTTAATACCCGAATTCGATAACTTCTAAGTCACTAAACCGTGAAATTCTTAAACTGGTTTCCTAAGACAGTAAGTACTATCAGATAGAACCATTGATTGGTGTTATACATAGAGTGAATGCCAGCGTAGTTCAGTTGGATTGAAATATTAACGCCCACTTTTCCATCCTCCGAAGGCGTTGCGCGCCTCTTATGTACCTAGGTAATTCTAATAGATCTACCCCTGAATCTACCTCTAACCTAGGTACTTAGGTATTCCTAAACAAATATCTAAAGTTGCTATAGGTAGACTTCAACTTCCGTCACCCTTCCTACATCCATTTTTATCGCTGGAATAGTAATAACAGCAGGACTACCTAAAATTGCTAACCTAATAGCGGGGCAGTTTTCTCAGGGAGGGTGAATATACTAGAGTAAGAGGCTGTGAAATCCGCCAATAGTCTGATATAGGACTGGAACCGAAGCAGAACAACACACCTATTACCCAAAACCAGGAGCTCACACGGCATGTGTGAATCTCCTTGAAAACCTAGATGATTCACCAAATATTTATAAGTTCGACCTTGAAGGATTTTCTCCAGGCGTTAATCTGCTGTACAACGAGAAAGCAATCAATAAGCACCACCAAGATAGACCACTAAAGTTTCCCATCTAACTACCTACCTTCAAAGTGAATTTTCGATTCAAGCCCCTACCGTGCTCACTTGGTGGATAAAAATGATGTGTGTGGCCATTGTATTTCTGCTTTACTAAATTATAACCGCAACTATACGTGTCAAGAGACCGTTCAAGTTAAGTGGCGTATGAGTCTACCTCTTAAAGTAGACATACGAGTATGAACAGGGCCTTGTGATATTTGTTTATAAAGCAAGCATTGAGCGTCTAATCTAGGACGAACGAATACCTTGAACTGGTACAAGCCATCGTCTAAATAAATTTTGCTGCGGGGTCGTGTAAGACTATAATTCCCAAGACCTGGGAGCAACTGTTGTGCTTGGAACCTTGGATTTTATATGTTAGCTAGGCCTACGGAATTCTACTTATAACAGGTACATATATCGAACGTAGGGTATGGCTTAGCCAACGCCATTCGCATGGCCGGCGGTATTGAGCCATAGACAACTAACCAAGCATATCAACATTTTTTACTGATTTATATGCCCTATTATTAGGACTTGAATCATCGGCCCTTAACGTGCCGTGGAGAAATCCGAGAGTCTGCCCAGAGCTGTTATACCACATTTGGTTCGCTAGTAACTGCAGTCATCAGATTAAGGAAGCCGAGAAAGGATTATGATATTAGTTTCGGGGTTCACTTAGTGGTTGATGTATGTAATCCCATGCTCCAATTTCTTGGAGTAAAGGGCAGGCTACCGTGAAAAAGAGTATCATGGGGGTCAATGAGGCATGTCCCGAGTGCGAAGGAATAACTCGGATACTCCGGAGTAGGGTTTTCTCCGGTATTCATTCTCAATGTCGACTTGACAGTCAACGCATTTGGGCTACGGATAGGTATGTGTAAGTAATCAACTGCTACTACGTTGGCCCTAGGTAATGGCCTGGCTGCCCGACCACAAATAGGATTCTCAAAGTGGGCCAATTAAGTTTAAACACGCGCGGAACACATTCTGTGCGACAAGAATTCTGAGACGGCCCTTCGACCGTCGCCTCGAAACATCGTGTCGTTATGGAAAGCCCCATCTACAGCTTTCCTCGTCACAGGTAGTTGTACGTCTAAACATCGATCATAGAGCTGCTGACTGAGTTCTTTAGGAACAAGCTCATCCTTCGCTGCTTCTAGAATGAATACCTCCGGGGGAGAATTGCCAGTTTCATACTTCCGTGATATAATTCCCAGGTTCTTCCAGCTGTCGAGGTGGTTCCGCAGAAACGGCCAGAGGTACCGATACGGCAACCACTTTTGCGGGTAGAGAACCTCTAACATGGCACGAATTGACGTGAATGGGGTTTCGAGAATCAAGGAATCCAAATGTAGGTTTGCGGGTATTATGGCCTCGGCTGCGAGGTTGGTAGCTACACCCGCGCCAATACTTTGGCCCCAGAGGACGACCTTTGCCGAGGGTCTCGACTCTTGGTTCTCTCCGCCGTAAGAATTACGATGCAGCTGGGAAATCCAGCTAAGGGCGGCGGCAGTATCCATATTGAGACCTTTTTCGGTAGGACGGCCTCGCGAAGTCCAATAGCCCCTATAGCTAAGACATGCAGTTGTGCATCGAACATTTCGATCATCCCATTGTGACGAACGTCTCTTTAGCATGCAGAGGATCGAGGAAAGGTCGGGTAAGCGAGGGGGGATGGATGAGGCGTTCCCTATCGTCAATCGTGAGCTGATCTCGATCTTTACCCCACAGAAGTAGGAATGCAATGCAGACCCTGTAAATAGAGTATGTAGAATGCAACATTTGGTACCATAGACGTTGCACCAGAACCAAGTTCCATGTCCGTAATACACAGAGCAAGATCTGTCCCGTCAGCTGCGCGGATTCTTTCTTCCCGCCACTTAATGCCGGCACACCGACTGGCGTGATCTTCGATCTTCTCCCAACGCGCATTGGGTGGTAGGCCCGGCATGTATATGATTTTATTCTGAAAAATGACCAACATCATACACTTCCACGTCCACAATGCGACGAATAAGCCGCTGAACACTACGGGAGCGAGCACCAGACCTTCAACGTGGTACCTTCTCCTGCATGTAAATGAGTTGTCGATGCGGGGTGTCGTGGGATACCGTGACGGGATAATGGCCAATTTTGGGATACCCCGAATAGAGAACCCGGAAAAACGGCGAATAATGAAGGACATCGTGATTTGAAACTCGAGATCATGGTTGAATGGCTGAAAGTCTTTATGCGGGGTGAAGCGATGCGCGCGAAATATGCGAGTGGATGGTAAAGTTATGATGATGCATTTCTTGACATTAAAATGGTGTGGTTTGAGCTGCACGAGAGCACAAAGAGGGAAGAATTCTCGATCGCGAATTGTTATACGATGTTCTCAATATATGGGATTTTACTTTTGCATATGGAGGTTTAAAGTTGGAGAATCTCGAAGCTTTATGACGATGTTAGGGGGGGAATGCCATCATTCTGTCCCATAAAAAAAGACTAGCGTCCCGCCATCAATCCCCAAAGTGCTTCCATCACAGCTCTTTCCACATTTCAACCGATTTTATGTGTAGACGTATAGACGCTTACATAAAGTTATCTCGGTTACGGTTACGTGCTAAATATACGGTAGCACAGCATTTAGGTATGAATACCTTTTAGGTACATTTTAGGTATCTAAAGCACTATAGAGTACCTAACCTAGCCCAACCAGCACAATACCTGTACCTATCCCTATTCCTAAACATCGTCGTCATCAGGGACCCTGCAGTACAGTGCTTGCACGTGGTACATGTCATAATGGGTCTAATATTCCCCGCTCCTAGCATTAACCTGGACTAACAATACTAAAATCTAGAACATTATTGGATTCGTTAATCGAAGGTACATTAGGATTAGGTACCTATCAGCTATCAGTGGATCAATACCACGGTACAACGACTTTACGAAATACGCTAGCGCAGTAACTCTACATACCAAATACCGCCATCATGTCTCCAAACATTCTACAACTTTCTTCTTTCTTAGCGTGCCCGTCACCGAGCCCGCGATTCTTCATCTTTCGTCCATCCTCACAAACTACTACCAAATCCTACAAGATGCCTGGCCAATTAAACGGTGACGCGGGTCATGAGCCACCCGTCGACCATCATATAGAAGTGGTTGAAGACGAGACCCATTCCGAGCGGGGAGACGGCCATCCTAGTCCCGGTTTAAGAGACAGCAAAGGCTGGGACGGCAAGCTGCGTGTCGACCGCAACGCCCTATTCAAGAATCCTGAAGCTCTGTCGGATCCCGAATATTCGGACGATGAAAATGTACTTCCAGGAGAAGAAATAAGTGCAGATGAGGGTAAGTTCATTTAACACCCTATCTTTTGCTAGTACCTTAATCAACGGAACTCCTTTATTGACTGTTGGTGTAGACCTTCTTGACGATGAAGATCCCGATACGGATGATATTAGTCTTACACATGCGCGAATCTCTTCTATCTCCGCTCTTCGGTTGGAAAGATTTAAGAAGGTTGTAAGACTATGTCTACGCCAAAACCTCGTCCAACACATCGAGGGGCTTTCCGATTTAGGCCCCACTCTAGAGGAACTTGACCTATACGACAACCTCATTTCACACATCAGGGGTTTAGACGACTTAACTAACCTCACAACCCTCGATCTCAGCTTCAACAAGATCAAACATATCAAGCATATCGAGCACTTAACAGAACTCACTGATCTCTTCTTCGTATCCAACAAGATTACTACCATCGATGGGTTGTCGACTTTAACAAAACTCCGACAACTCGAATTGGGCTCGAATAGGATAAGGGAGATCAAGAATCTCGATGCGCTGAAGAATTTGGAGGAACTCTGGCTAGCAAAGAATAAAATTACCGAACTCAAAGGCCTAGCGGGTCTGCCAAAATTAAGACTCTTGAGCATCCAATCGAATAGAATTAAAGACCTTTCTCCTCTGCGCGAAGTCCCTCAATTGGAGGAGTTGTATATCTCACATAATGCCCTCGAAAGTCTAGATGGTTTAGACGGAAGCCCTAATCTAACCATCATCGACATCTCGAATAACGCAATCCAGAGCCTAAAAGGCTTGAGCAGTCTGAAGAACATCGAAGAAGTATGGGCAAGCTATAACCAAATATCAGACTTCGCAGACGTCGAGCGGGAGTTGGCCGACAAGAAGGATTTAACAACGGTATATTTCGAAGGAAATCCTTTGCAGCTGAAACAGCCTGCTCTGTACCGGAACAAAGTGCGACTGGCGCTACCGCAAGTTCAGCAGATTGATGCTAGTGAGTATTCATTGCAGAGACAAATAAAGGATATAATGCTGACACTGGGGGTAATAGCTTTTGTGAAGACGGTATAGTAGTGAACCTATTACCATAAGATGGATATTTGTTTGATGTGGAGTTTCCATATTGCATAGCACGGCGTTCAGGAGGGGTTTACCATGAAGGATTAGTTTGGGATCGAACGAAAATAAGCCCACCTTGTATTGTCAGATTAAGTTGCTTTAGGATCGCTTTAGGATAAGATGCTCATTCAGGAGCAGACGGCCTTGACATTTTTAAGCCGCCGTCGGAATATGTAACTCGGCAAAAGAGGGACGAATAGTGTTCGGCACTGAATCTATGTCAAAAATAACCATACGCTCACGGAAATGAAAAATTACGAGTTTCACAATGTATTCATCCCGTCCGTGTTGATATCACGATACAGGTCGGAAAAGTCTAGTCTACCTAGACACCGTTCTAGCGAAATGACTCCTACGGTTATAACAGACTTTACAATAGTGCCCACAATCGTCACTATCAACGACGAAGATCCTCTACCAGCATGCATATTAGCGTACTCAAACCTAATTACGTCAAGAAGCCCAGGCACAGAATACAGTAGAACCCTCTGTTAACCGCCGGGTGCCTATTTAACCAAAAATCCACATCTTATCCGTGTCGAAGTACTAATTAGAGGCATGAAGATTAGCATATATTTAGATTTGGAGGCCAACAGGCAGTAAACAAATGGAGACGGAAATATCTAGACTCACGTTAGAAGGCTGGTTGAAGCGAATGCCTGCATCCTTAGCAGTGATACTGTCGATATCAGCCGGCTCGAGATCGAATCCGGTACTGTCCAAGTTCTGGGCCATAATCGCGGGACGGACCGTCTTAGGGATAACGGCAAGGCCACGTTGAGTAGCCCATCGTAGCAGAATCTGCGAGGGCTGCTTGTTGTACTTCTCGGCCAAACTGGTAATTAGGTCGTCCTTCATCAAGGGTACGAGGGCCTCGGCATGCTTGAATCCGAACTCGAGGAAAGAAGCAGGGCCGAAGGAGGAGTAGGCCGTGACGGCGATACCCTCAGCCTTGCAGAGATTCAACAGCTCCTGTTGCACTAAATATGGGTGGTGCTCGATCTGCAGAGCAGCTGGAGGAATGGTTGCGTATCGCAGCATATCGTAGATCAGTTGCGCCTGGAAGTTTGACACACCGATCGATTTGGTCAATCCCTTGTTTACCAATCCCTCCATAGAAGCCCACGTTATGTGCAGCGGAGTGTTGGATCGGACAATAGTGGACTTGCCGTCGTAGTGCCACCCCGGAGGATACCGCACGGCCGGGTCGACGTACTTTAGAGCACCGGGGAAGTGGATCAGGTATAAGTCGAAGTAGTCAAGACCCCAGTCGGATAGGGAGCGCTTGCAGGCGGGCTCTACCTTGTCACCATCCTCGAAGACAGGCCATAGCTTAGACGTAATGAAGAGGTCTTCTCTCTTCACGATACCCTCCTTAATTGCACGCGCCACACCCTCACCGCACTCTTTCTCGTTACCATAATCTAATGTAACAAAGAAAACACATTAGCGACCCATGATATTTCCTAGATAGATCTTATTGTATAGCAAAAGAATCATCTTCCGTGTAGATTAACACGCCTAGGATCTTGACATGAGATGCAGACCAGGGGGTAACCCCTGAAATGCTAGGCAGCGGGGTAATAATACCCGAGGAGGGGCTCTTATTACTTCTAAGAACTCTTCACGCGCCAACCTTACGATAAGGTATGGGAAAAAATAGATGAGCTAGACATACCGCAGGCGCCATCAAATAACCGGTAGCCGGTCTTGATGGCATTGTAAACAGTGTCGGCGGCAGTAGCATTATCAACCTTCCACAGACCGAAGCCCACCTGGGGCATCTTATGGCCACTGCTCAGCTTGATAGTTGGAGCCATTGTGGTCGATTTTATACTAAAGTGACGATGATAAGTGCTGGTGGTCGGATAACAGTTCGATATCCCGGGGTACTTTAGCGGCACAGCGAACCGACAGGAGAGTAGACGAGAACTACGAGAAGAGAGAAACGTAATGACAGATCGCATGGTCCCCGCGGAATGCTGTTGGTGGGAGTAGGTCTTATATACACTTTTTCCTTCCAGCCACGAGAGTAAATAAGCTACCCTGTTGACTACGTCTCTACATCAACAAACCTTACCTCCCGCGACCGCATTCCTTATGTGGAGATATGCGCCTGTTAACACACTCGCCAAAGAAGGAAAAATTGGGCTGACCGTAACTCGCCGAACAAACCCCATACATTACAGTACTATCGTGGGCTCATGACTTAACTGATTGGCGTGGATAATACCTCCTCACGATAGATAGAACTCAGTCCTCCGCACGAAGAAGATGGGGGGAAGCATTAGCGAGCCTCTCATTTGCTCGTTTAAACGTAGGAGATTGGGGCCAGAGTCGGCCGCCGCTGATGATCCAATATGTCTCAGAAGGGGGGGCAAGACGGGGGGAGGCGGGGAAGAAGGCGGGTGTAAGTTCCAGCTAGAAAGCTCGCTAGGAACAAAACCGACAAGACGAGACGCATCTCTACGCTATCTCGAAAAAAGAAAAGAAAAAGTAAAAGTAAAGCCCCTTAACTATCTAGCAGCAGCGTGGATTGCAACGCCATCATTCGCTTGGGAGAATGATTTCGCCGAGACCCGACTAATGTTTACCTTACCCGTCATCTATTCGTCGATTGGAATACCCTCACTCCTATACAATTTAGCCTGAATATCAGTCGTGGGTACCATGGGGCTATGGGGGTCCACTGCGGCTAATTCCCTATAATCTCTTCAATCTTTTCACGTCTCCCCCATTATAATCTAACCTCGTGCTTACTTCTGTCGCATTCATCCCACGTTTCTTTGCTGGATGTAAAAGAGCTCCTCTCTTTTGTCCCCCCAATTTTTGACATGTTACTAATCACAATTTCTTCAAGTCAAGAAATATCACAGGTCCTAATGTATATAGGAGGACTCGAGGGTAGGCTTATTTGACCAATCACACTGTAGTCACTTTAGTATTTGGCCGTTATAGATCGGGCTTGGCGATCTTGTATATGCCATTCAGATCTTCGACTCTGCGGCTCCTAATCCGCGTAGGCACTCTCGCGAACGTTACCTACCCCAATTAATTTCTATTATTGACCTCTCAGTGTCTATAATATAAATATAATAGATATAAAATGAATTTGAAGTTTGCCTATCCATCTATATATATTCCATACACTTCCTTCCTATATTAAGGTATTAGTAGAATAACGTAACCCGTGCTATATTATATTAAACCAACCTATCGTACTCTGGTAGTGAATTACCACCATTGAATACCCAAGATCAAGGTAGATACCTAGTTATCAAGTTATTGTTAAGCTCTTCTAGCTACTACGTATTATTATTAACCATAATAAGGTTACGGACTCCAAGTACCGGCGTAACCCTTTTTACGAATGTTGCTTGCCGTTTAGTTAAGGGAATACATCCATCTCACCTTTCTCTCAGGAAATTATAAACCCCAAGTAGAAGATATGGTATTAACATCAGTCGTATAAAGCAAATTTTTAACAACCCCTATTACTACTATATTCTTGTTGAGCTAATATGTAAACCTTAGAACATTCAGTCCATGTCAAAAAATCGATTACTAAGAGTTAATTTTATTATTTTCTATTTTTTCCAATACCTTTCAACCTTGAAAGGTATTTTTCCGAAAGCAATCTCTTCTTTATTCAGTTTGCCTTAAAATGATATTCCAATTGTTCTTAGTATACCCTTTAGGTCTTTGTTTGGTAGAAGTAACCTTCTTGGCCTTACCTACCTGCCTAGTCAACGGCCGCAATATTTCAATATCTGTATAATTCATAATCCACATTGATACCCCTTAACAACTATAGGGTACGCACAGATAAAAACATAAGGTGAAATATTGATCTGTCATAATCACGAATAATACGGGAATGAGTTCCAGAAGGAGGAGGCAGAACCCGCCTTATGGCAGTAATGTTCTCTTGGGTAAGAAACCATCCAGAAATCAATCGATATACCAAACACTAATGTTCGGTTTAAACTATAGAGCCTTTAATTAGAAACCGTAGAGATCAATCTCGATCAGGTCAAGAGCCGTCCTTTATACGCGCCAGAAGGTCGTTGAGACAGCTTCAGCAAAACTTCGAAAGAAACCTTTCAGGGCGTGTCAAATTCCAGAGGATACTTGGTCATGGAGGTTTCGGTCTTGCAACGATGGTATGTAACCTAAAGGAGTCACCAATTCTTCTAGCCCACCACTCTCTTATAAACGGATAGGCCTAGCTTTTCTTACTAGCCATCAACTTGGACATAAGCCCCCCTGCAAAATATTATGACAAACAACGCGTATATACTATGGTTAACGGTTAGTACTATAGTGGAGAGTCAGAATTCAGAACGGCTTCGAGGTTGATGTTGCTGTTAAGACGAGTGTTAGAAAAGGCGATGACGAGACGGAGTTAAGAGCTGAGATGTTTGTTCAGGGAGTAAGTGAGCATGCGCTCTTATTCAAGTTCGCATTGTTGACTTTAAAATAGGAGATACTCCGAGGTGCGGAACACGTCGTCCAACTTATCGATATCGAGCAAGGTGTTCCGCCTGCCCTAAAGCTCTACAATAATCCAGCTGTACCAGAACCGGTCATGGTTATGGAAGTTCTCGAGAGAAGTACACTCGCAGATCTTATAGATAGGGTCAATAAGGCAAGACTTAGGAATTACGACATACTTGCTGCCGCCGCAAGTCCTTGGGGAGAAGGACGTTACAATAGGAGTGACTTGAAAATAGGTTATATTCCTAATCGAATGCTATGGAGACTTTTCTTGTGCTGTAAGCCAAAACAGACCTGGATCGTAGAATTTATTGAACGACTACTAAAAGAAAGTATTCAGTGGCTAGAGCCATTACCGGAATGGCGTACGGACCTCCAATGGACCCAAATTACATAGAAGGGAGCTATTATCGTGAAAATATACGAAATCGGGGTATTAGACGGCTACTTCACATGGACCTCGATGTATATAATGGTTGGTGATTTTTTCATCATAAAAATAAAATTTATCTGGCTAATAGCAAACAGTTCTTATCTCAGATATTAGCGGAAGCATGCAGGATGCCGAACATATGATCGCCCCAAAATTAAAGGTTCGCTGTTCATAAAACTCCTACCCTATTACCGCTAACAGATTGTGTCTACAGGTAGCCGACTTCGGGCTTGCTATAGATTGGCATGACGGAATGTCAGTTAGCATGTATGAAGCTTCCTTTCCTAATTTTTCTCCGTTTCATGTAAACCTCTATACAATTCATGTTGTTAGATTTCTAATGCTTCATCCGTGACTTAGGAGGGAAAGTAAGGTGCGGAGAGGAAAGCACGATTTCTTCGCGCCAGTAAGTTCTATAATCTCGATTTTGATTAGTTAAATAGCGATTAACATTATAAAGGAACAAAGAGCCTATAAGAATGCCGCGCGAGATGGCCGTGCTATAGGACCTGCGCTCAATGTATGGGCTATAGGATTGGTAAGTATACTCCCCTCCGCGAGGAACTCTTGAGTTTGATAATAATCCGTATTTATCGAGTAGATCATGTTGAACCTCCTAACGTTGGCACATCCGCAAATTTCATCCTGGGAGGCTAGAGTGAGAACATATGCTGCACCGCACGAAGGAGACCCCCATCATCAACAAGAATTCGTAACTTGGGGTTGGTTCCTTCTCGATCACGAGGAGCATCACCCTAGCCCGTTTATCATGGCATTCGATTACGAACTTCGCCTACTAATAGCACGTTGCTTGGAGACTTATGGCCCAAGACGTCCAACGGCAGGCCAGCTGCTAGCAGTGATCCAGCAAAACATTACAAGGGGAGACGCCGAGGCTCAGAGATTGGCAAACGAAAGATTCGAAAGACATGCTCGGGAAGAGCAGGAACATAGGCAGCGCCTGATAATCGAAGAGCAGAGGGAATCTGACGCCATGCGATATTCTAATTTCTACGATCCTGATTTTGATGAAGTGAGGGACTATGGACACGCAACTCGTCCACCCCCCATTCCACGGAATATTCCCCCTGAAGACCCAATGAGCATGAATCCAAATGAGTTGAATCAATGGCTGGATCAGTTAGACATTAATGCTCCGTCAACCCGGCTCGTGCCGCCATCTTTAATAAATTCCCAGGGGGCTGCCGTTGCGAAGCAACCACCACTAATACCAATTTCGGAAGAATCGCGCATCAGCGACCCATGGAATTGGATAATGGGAGATGGAACAAGACAGTCCACTACCCCTGCCCCCCCTATCCCCCCTACTCCTCCAGCATACAACCCGATCCCAATGTACGAGCAGCCGTCTGTTGCGGGTCCGTCCAGGCGTATTCGTGACGTTCCGCCGCCAAGGTCAAGGACGCCGGTATCCCAGAGAATCATTAGTCGCAACGACTACCGCCCGCTCGAGGAATTCCAGACGCCTCCTGACCTCGAAGACATCGATATACTCGTGAAGTTCTACCAAGACCATCTCCGCGATCCGCCTCAAATAGTAGATCCTTACGCCAAGCTATGGGGACAGAACACTCCCCCCCCACCGCCTGTTAAAGTTCCTCCACCCCAACCGCCTGTTAAAGCTCCTCCACCCCCTAGAGCGGGGCGCCACGTCAGGTTTGCGGTAACCCCGATCCCTCCCGGAGGGATTCCTCCGGCTATTTGGAACCCTCCTCCTCCTCCCGGATTTCCTCCCGCTCCTCCCGGATTTCCTCCCGGATTTGGTCCAGTTGTAAACCAAGGAGATGCAAATCAAGGAGATGCAAATCAAGGAGGCGGACAAAATGCGAAGCAGACACCAGCAGATGCAACGGATGTTCATAATATATATCGAGGTAAGCCTTAATATTTCACGAGACATGCCGTATTACAAGATAAGCTGACCATGCGCAGCGAGTCCACCCCGTTTCGATCTCCTTAATCTCCTTCCCCGTAAAAGATTTGCAGGATGATTTAACTTACTCCCATCTAGGAGGGCCAAGTGGCTGTACAATACAATAGCACTCGTTGCTTTCTTCGATTCACTTTCACGTTTCAAATATCGAATATTTATTTGTCTCAATGGGGTGTTAAAGGGGTGCTTGGATAAATTTAGATTATTGAAAGCTAAGTTGTAGAATATAATGGACTAAGTTGGAATTCATGTCATTATTCGTAACTGTTTCCTACGTCTTAAATTTGTTCTTGATAATAGACGATCAGACGTGATAAACCGAGGGTATTTCTCTACTTAGGCCTAATATCATACTTGACAAAGGTCTTTCTGTCCCTGACTCCCTTTCAACTTGCTATCAGATATCCACCATATTCATCAGGCAATTCCTTTCTATAGATACGCAATAGATCCGCCAATGCCTCTACTATAGGTAATCCCTGTAAATACGTATGTTACTTATATCGCCTATCTCTTATTCTTCTCCTTCCCCTTGCCCTTCCCTTTGTCCTTTCCACTTTTATCTTCCTGGTTCTCACCCCTCTCCGTAACCACCAGCCAAAAAGTCTCAGCTCCCAACTCAAGCGGGCCAGGAACCCGCACATTGAGCTCTGCAATATATGACCCTAGGGTAGCTAGCTGCGCTTCCGCACTTGCGTCCTTGGCCCCGCGCGGAGTCTGCAGTAACTCGTCGACGGACAGGCCAAGAACCTGGCCTAGCTCCGCTGTGTCTAACAGACAGGCGTCGAGCCCGCGCCGGTTCAACCACTTGATATTCGCCGCGGCCGTGTAAGCAACAGCGCGCTCCTTTGGTGTCTTCGGCTCCCGGCTGACGGCGTTTATAGCCGCAAACGGAAGTACGATTGCGGCGCCGGCGGCCCGGAGGGCAGTGGCAACTGGGATGCCGATGGTGGCGCCTACGACTTGAAATGCGGCGCCGACGACGTTCCCCGACTTGGCGGTATCCTTAATGGCCTGGCCTGAGGCTTTAATATGTGCCATCGTCTCCTTGCCAAAGCGCTTGGGCACGTCGCCGACGTGCTGTGCCATATCGCCAGCGTGACTGATGGCTTTCTGTGAGACAGTCGCCGCTAGGAAGCCTGATAGAGTACGGATGAATCCGAGCCAGGTCTCTTGCGTGATTCCATGGCGTAGTAGTGATGGCGAGGATGCTTCGAGGAAAGGGGCGGTGGGGTCTGCTTTGATCTGAGGAATTGCGATAGGACGCTGATCGCTAGTGTTGGCTGCTAAAGCCGAGTACGGTGGTAGATCACTATCGGGAGGGAAATTGAAAGGGGAGGCAGCTGTCGGCCCCGTTGCCGGTGTCTCTATGACGGTCGAGGGGCCGGAGATTTCTTCATACGCAGGGAGTGCCTCACCCTGTGCTTCTTTCTCCTTTGATTGTTCCATAGAGAGGTAGATATTAGATTACAAATAGTAGATTATTTTTCAAAATTTAGTGTTCGGTTATACTCTCTAGATTGATTGATGAATAACTCTTGACTAAATTTCCATGAGAAAACTACGAGTATTAATAATAAAATTTAGATCCATCTATTAAAAGAAAAACGCCTGAGCTCCGGCATGGCGATGCCACTGTGCCGCTCCGGGGGTGGGGTAGCTACGCGTTATGAGGCCTCTGAGAACTCAGCTGGTGGAGATTATAAACAACGAAAGCGAGAACGAAAACAGTGGGGGTATATCCATAGAACTAAGAGATAGGTTAGTTTGGTGAGATATTAGATCTACTCTACCTTTACAAAGGAACCATTTACTTATAGCTTCAACAATAGGGCTAAGCCGCCAAGTAACGATAGGGCTGATGGATCATTAAAGGGTGATTTCTATAATGATATATGGCTTTGATCTACACACTGGCGTAGTAGGTATCTTTATCGGAGTCAATAAGGTAGCTAACACTGCGGTAATAGAACAACTAGGTAGGGATTCGTACAGCCACTATTAAACCTGTTTGCGCAATATAATACCTATTGAATTGGCTTCCTATTTTACTACTACACAATTGCAAAACATATCTAACTATGATGTACTGATTGAATATCCCTATATTTATAACTATACTCGATTTAATTTTTCTAATGAAAATTGGATTGCAGTGGTTAATATCACAGTCGTTAAGAAGGATTAAAGAAGCAAACTTAGTAAAGCGTAGTCGCGTAAATCAATTTACTACCTAGTATAGGTAGACACCGAGGTGATCGAGAACGCTTAAATGAAGGATATATACTTGCATTGGACTTGTATCAAGGTCAGCCACCTGAGTAACCAATTTCTTGATGGTAGATTTTTACACATGTGCAAGTCATCGGGAAACTAAGTCTGACTATAACCACTAGAGAACAGAATATATTACTCTATGGCTTGTTAATACTATTTTATCATAAGACTCAAACAGAGGAGAGCTGATTGGAGGCATCTCGGCAATTCCGTAATGTAGCACGGTTGTGTGGCATTCAGATGAAGTACTACCGACGATCACTGCCAAGGTGCGTGATGTAATGTGATAAGGTCTCATCCCGCCCTATCCAACTTCGCGGTTCCCTTTGGACAGCTTCTACATATATCAAGCTTCGGCTCTTTTTGTTTCATATTTTCAGGAGTCGCCGTGGATAGCACGTTATCATTGACGTAGTCGGCTTTATTGTCATCTTACCCCTGAGAACCTGGGGTAACGTTCATATGGACTTTCTATAATAGGCAGTTCAGAACATTGCCGACCCACTTGACCACTTGAGCTTCATTGATACCCCGGACTTTCTTAATTACTTTCTTAATTACAAGATACTACAGTATCTAGCTACTAGATACACAACATAGAGGTAATCAAAAGACACTTCAGATAGCCAACTAAATATCCTCTTCCCATAATATCTGGGCGTATTTGCGATCTTTGTTTGCTCTGAATAGGTGAATAACAACTTGAGTATGTTTTATATACGTTAGAGAACTAAGATTGTCGTTCATCTTGTGATATCAATCAAGTTCGATGACTGAAACAGGCGGGAAAAGGTAACATATGCAAGACATTTAGGGTGGCATGAGGCTCTAGGCTGACGGCTACCTAAATCAAACACTCAATCTGGAATGCAACTACAAGGATAAAATAGGAGATGCGGGAGGAAATAAACTACTCAACGTTACACCTCATTCCAACATGCGGGTGGTTTTAAGCACACTTAAGGTATCTACATATATATGCATGAAAGTGCCCATCAGGCGTTATTCGATCTTTGATTTGCACCTTGTGTCGTTGACAACTAGAATCCGTTCTACTCCTGAAAGATCACTTAGTCGTTGAACCTAAGCAATTCGGTCCTAACATGCATATCTCCCGAGCTGTAACAACCGCAACCGCAGCGGCGGCACCGCGGTTTGCTATGTACTACGACCAGTGGCACACTGCGTCTCCCAGCAAGGACCAAATGGCTGGAATAACACATGTAGTTACCGCATTTGCCGGCACTACGCTGTTCACGAGCGATCCGGCCGGCTCCTATTCGCCGTTCGTAGACGTAGGAACGCTCCGCAGCCAATTCCCCGACGGAACCAAAATGTGTGTGGCGATCGGAGGATGGGGTGACACTTCCGGGTTTTCCGTCGGCCAAAAGGACGATACGTCGAGGAAGACTTATGCAAAGGGCGTTGCTGCAATGCTCGAAAGTCACGGTTACGACTGTGTCGGTGAGTAGCTCTAACTCCAAATTTCTTTTTTTTTCTGCAAGATCTATATTATTAGCTAGTTGCTGACCCTTCGTAGATGTTGATTGGGAATATCCTGGTGGTAATGGTGAAGATTATAAACAAAACCCGAACTCAGGCAAGGTCGACGAGATCGCCAACTACGCCTTGCTACTGCAGGAAATCAAGTCAGCTATCGGTGACAAAGAGCTTTCCATCGCGGTTCCCGGCCTCGAGAGGGATATGATTGCCTTCACCTCCGAGCAAGTTCCTAAGATCAACGATGCTGTCGATGTAGTTAACGTAAGTCGCATGTATCCTAGTAGCACACTCCAGATAGAGGCTAACAAGAGCTCCCCTGACAGGTTATGGCATACGACTTGATGAACAGGTAAACGCCACCAAACACGAAGTCCATTCAATAAACACCCAACTGACTCTTCACATAGACGCGACACCCAAACCACGCACCACACCTCCGTCAAAGCATCCCTAGCTACAGTCGACAAGTACATCTCGCTCGGCATGGATGCCTCCAAGCTCAACCTAGGCTTCGCCTTCTACGCGAAATACTTCGTCACGCAAGGCGAATGCACGCAGCCGATCGGATGTCCCACTGTGCAGCTAGAAGACGCCAACGGCGGCGACACGGGAAAATCCGGCGCCGTGACCTTCCTCGAGGGGCCCCCGGTCCTGTCCAGCGGGAAGGCTGATACCGAGGAGGGCGGCCAGTGGTACTGGGACGCGGCCGAGAGCAAGTTCTGGACGTGGGACACGCCCGACTTTATCGCGCAGAAGTTCGAGCAGATTGTTAAGGCGAGGGGGTTGGGTGGCGTTAGTAAGTTTTATCGACCTTATTTCTCGGTATCTTTCTGGAAAGAGAAGAAAAGCTGACTTTTGTTCGCGTATAGTGGCATGGAGCTTGGGTGAGGATTCAGCAGACTGGACATACGTCAAGGCTATCCAGGCTGGTTTGGCTACGCTATAAGCGGTCGTGTTGTGATAACCCTTTTATAGAAGGGGTTTGTTCGATACTATTTCGTGTAAATTTTTTCAACCGAGACGCTAGGTCTCGAACCTTTGTATATACAATAACTTCCAGGCATTATATCAAATTAGCATACCTATCAAGCAGAATCGAATTCCACTATAAGAACTGCCTGTAAGTCTAACAAAGTAATAATTGAATTAAGGGAAAATGTAGCTCCCACGACCTCACAGCTTAAAAACTAGGTAGAAATAAGGCCATATTAGATTTCGTATAGAAAAATATTCGACACGGAGTAGGCGGTACCACTATATTCAGAGATTATTGGGTATCTTAAGACCATACGAAAGGGTAAGACCTACTATTCGCAGGTGATTTCCGATTCATTAACAATTCTGCCCAACCCTATAATATCTATTCCACTATTCATCGTCTTCGTCAGAAGACTCCTCATCCTCATCATCGAAATCCTCCATTTCTTCATCTTCCTTCTCCAATCGAGTAGCATTCTCCTCTAGCGCTTCTTGCTCTTCTTCTTTTCGTTTCCGCTCGTCCTCTTTCCTAGCCTGCTCTAACATCTTGGCCTTCTCCGCTCCCGCTTTCCTCTGAGCAACGACATAGGCGCCAACCGGAGTCTTTTCCCACTCGAAGTCCTTTAGGAATGCATCGACCTGTGACCGATCTCTAGGCGCGAAGTCGACCTTGGCCCTTTTACCTTCGATAAACTTCACATTTGCCTCAAGCTTTTGAACTAGTAAAACGAGGCCAGCGCGAACCTTGCTATTGTTGTTTCCGCCTATCTTCTTTCTTGACTGCTTGAGCCATCGCTTAAGCATGATGATTACAGGAAGGGCAAACTCGGGGAACGCTATATTCGTAGACCATAGAACAAAGTACTCCGAGAATAGCTCAACCACCTGTTCCCCGACTCCGTCTTGATAAACTCGCGTCCGCAGATATGCCTTGGGGGCCTTGTAGGCCACGTGGAAATCGAGAGGCTTGATAGTTGACTGCTTTGGTGATTTTCTTATTTCTGCGGAATTTAAGACTTCTAACAGAGCCGATGCTAGCGGAATATAAGTTCCAGTCGAGCGTGAAACACGAAGAAGCGACCTGATCATATGAAATCGAAGGGGGAAATAAGTTGCGGTAGGTATTAGGCGCATGGCACCAAGTGTAACTTGGACAAGTGGGTAGATGAGGGGCCTGAGCTGGGATTCCTTCCCAGTTTCCGCCTCCTTCAGCGGGCTGCAATGCTCCGATAGTACACAGGACCAGAAGTCCACTGAGTGTACATATTGCCAATTGTAGATAGTTCTATACGAGTCGTTCTGGTTGTGCACGATGCTGTTGCGTAGGTGGATAGCAAGTTGACGGATGAAAGTGAAAGCCGTTGTATAACCAATATTTTGATCTAGGGCCCAGAGCTCAGCGGCAGAATTTTTCATCAAGTTGATTCCTTGTATCGTGTTGACGTTTGTCACACGAGATCCTGCGACTAAACCTTGGTAGGTTGCTTTCAAGACAGCTTCCCTGATACCTTTGTCGCCCACAACGACCAGTCGTCGCAAAACTAAGAAGGCAGTAATTCGAGTTGAGTCGCTACTCGTAGACTGCGACCAGAATCCGACAACGGCTTTGATCAAATTCTTCAGTAGCTTTCGGAAACTCAAGAGGTAAGGGACAAGGGGCGTGATAGCAGATAATGTTAGCTTTAGAGTAGCGTCGTCCGACAGCGTACCGACTAGGTATAAGATGGAGGATATGAAGGATTTTAGGAGCATTGAAAGAGTTTTAAACTTCTTAGTATCCGAGGGGACATGAACCTTGCCAGATAAAGACTCCTTAATAGGAACATGGTGCTGAATGACTTCAGGGATTTGCTTGAGTGCAACAATGAGGATATCATGGAAAACTTCGGGGTTTGATATCTTGTATGTCTGTTTCCTTCCCTGCTCTTCGTCATCCTCGTTCAGGTGTGCTGCGGATCTGAATGCCAAAACCACTTGCCTCGCAGCTCTGAGTGATTGTTTATCTGACAATGCTGTCTTCCATCGTGAAATCATTGCCTGTGTTAGTTCGTTGTCGGTTTTATCTTCTTCGTCTGCGCCATCTGCTTTTCCTTGTTTCTTTTCCTTCTTTCGTTTCTTCTTGGGTTGGTCTTCTTCCTCGCTACCACTCAACTCGTCTACTTCGGCAAGGTCTGCATCATCAAACTCTAACGCCTCAGGGTCGTTCTCTTTTAAGAATTTGTAGAACTCGGGGTCTTCCTGAGCAAGGGCGTCCATCGTCTCTTTACTCATGCCGATATCATCAGCATCTTCGTCGCCTGAATCTTCACTTTCGCTGGCAACAGGCATTTCGTCGGCAGATATATCGATGTCGCTGCCTTCATCCGATGTAGCACCGTCCTCGATAGGCTCATCTCGCTTGCGTTTTCCTAGCTTCTTAGACGTCTTTTTGGCCGGTTGAGCTTTGTCGATTATCTCAAATCCACCGCCGAAGAAATCATCAACGCTCATTTCATTGACATTAGATGTTCTTTTAGAGCCATTGGGCTTATTGGATTTCTCGCCATCCTCTGCGCCCTTATAGAACTCGGCATCTTTCGATTTTTTGAATTGTTTCTTAGCCTGGATCTGATGCCTCTGCTTTATTTTTGCAGTCGATTTCCGTTGATCTAGAACACCTTTTAGGTGTTTCTGCTCGAACTTTTTAGTTGCCTTGAAATTTTTCTTTGCGCCCGCCATTGTAAAAATTGTCACGAAGTTGTGACAGCGTAGTTGAACAATTGCGCAGTGAACTTTGTAAATGATTGATTTTACAGGTGCTGCAACGACAAGCGCGACAAAACCAAATTTTTTTTGGATAAGCTTATCGCGGGGTTCTTATCGTAATCTAGCAGTTTAGTGCTAGTTAAGCCTAATACAATTACGATTGGCTTGTGGCCGCACGGGTACCTAGGTACCTTACCTAAGCCATTTAACAAGGTACCTACCTAAAGTTGCTACTAAAAGTGAACCAATTAGGTACCTAGGTATTTACCATTAACTCACCCATTCCATACTTCTCTAATCTAGAACTTGGACTCTTTCCTTTCAAGAATCATCAAGACTTATCAATATACAGGCTTTACATGATGAATCCCCGTCAGGGTTATGCCCCAACGCCCCATAGCTATGTCCCTAATACCGCCCTATCAGCTACAATAAATTTAGATGAGGTACGCATTTAATCCCCTATTCTGCGTTACTCGTGAACCTATGCTTATAACTCCATAGGAAGTGAAGCTAGCAGACACCCGTGCTGAAAGGGACTTACAAGATTCTCTTGCTGAGATCTTTTCTATCATCGTCACCTTAGACGAACTGGAGAGAGCATTTCTCAAAGATGCTATTCCCGAAACCGACTATACTGAAATTTGTGAACGATCGCTAAAACAGTATAAGTCTATTCTAACAGACGAAACTGTAGCTAAAGCTTTTGTGGGCCTAGAAGAGTTCAAGGCCGAGTGGGATGTAAGGAAACCTTTTAAATTTTATGGCTAACTAGTACTGATTACATTCTCGTAGCTCGAAGTTCCTAGGGCTACAGAGCGGCTTAGGGTAGGTATGCCATCAACCGCTGTCACTGCATCGACAGGGGCCACTCAACCATCAGCTTCGGCAAACAACAAGTCCGGTGCTCTCATCCTTGAAGCAACACAGGACTTCATCACTTTTCTGGATGCCTTGCGCCTTGGGCTTCTAGCAAAGGATCAACTGCACCCTCTCTTGACTGACGTTATTCAGAGCGTCAACAAAGTCACTGATCGGGATTTTGAAAATCGCGGGAAAATTGTGCAGTGGCTGATTACATTAAATCAGATGAAGGCGACTGAGGAGTTGAGCGAACAGCAAGCCAGGGAGCTCGAATTGGACATTAACTCGGCATACTTGGGCTTCAAGAATACGCTAAATTAATACGTCCAAATACCTAATTTATCAAGGTATTATATCGAGTTATCTATCAATGATATAGGCATTAAGACAACGCCTATTCTTTTTTAAATGACCGATGACTGATGACCGCAGAAGGGCGTTGAGTAAGAGAGTGAGTGGATCCTAGATTCCGGCATTTACTGGCCAATTGGCCTAAATAGACCCACCATTAGGGCGCGAGTCTGTCATGCCCAAAAAACATCTCATCAAAGTATTTGAGACGATGCTCATGAGGAGTAATTTATCGATGGATTTAATAACATCAACGTATCTATATCAAGCACGAAAATATTAAATCCATTCGAACATTACGCTACCGAAATCTTCGATATGCAGCGCACCTATCTCGCGTTCCATCATAACGCAAAGCTTCATACTCTACAAACTGTAGTCACTGCAGTCCGCTCAATAACAGCTCTTGAGGAGGCTAACAAGGGGCTTTTCAAACAAGCCAAGGAAGATGACCATGTTGTAGTTACGGAAAAGACTATATTCCACCCTCAAGGCGGAGGTCAACCTTCTGATGTTGGTGTGATGAAAAGCCCTGAGGGTGAAAGTTTTGATGTATTTATGGTGCGCACAAGTGCTACAAACGACGGCGAGATATTGCACTTTGGCAGATTCGCGAATACCATGGCAATTTTCAAGGCTGGGGATTCGGTCACTCAAACGATTGATAGTGAGAAGCGGAATCTATACTCCCGGTATCATACAGCTGGGCACGTTCTTGGTGCAGCCGTTCGACATCTCCTCGAAAAAGAAATAGCCAACTTCGATGAACTAAAAGCATCGCATTTCCCCGATTCTGCTGCTTGCGAATTCCAAGGTCTTATTGAAGGGAAATGGAAGGATGCTATTCAAACTCGCTTGGATGAGTACGTTAGCAAAGACATGCCAGTTGAAATAGATTGGTGGGACGAGAACGACTTCAAGATAAATGGGCTTGAAAGATTAATACCTGATCGCAAAGCAATGGGTATGACGGACGATGAGAAATTCCGAGTCGTGAAGATTGTCGGAGCCGAGACCTATCCATGCGGCGGCACGCATGTTGACAGTACAGAGCAATGCGGCAAGACCAATGTGAAGAAGATTAGTCGAGCAAAAGGGACAAGCCGAGTAAGCTATGTGCTACCTTAGCAGTTGGCCGTCGAAACGGTCAAATACGGGCTCTCGCAGCAGAAATAAAACTTACCTAATGTAACCTATCAAGAGCTCGATACCAGACTCATTCTAATTAGAGCCATCCAATATTTGTCTACAGGTGTTCTGCAAGGTACTCTTTAGTAGACACAATTGGACCTTTCGTTTCGATGGTTCTTAGGCCGACGCAGCAGATCTTATCAAGTATCCGGCCTCTGCAAGTAGTCCAACCATGTTTTCTGGACTAAAGACTAAAGAGTACGTGCTGAGAGCCTGGCGTGAATGTCAGACAGCCTTACCTTAGGTACTTAACTTAAACATTGTCGCCCATTCGAACTACAATATTCTAGCACGTGGGTGTATAATTCCAGGTACAATCTCAGGCACAAGTTCCAATTTAAACCCATTGGTGACTTAAACAAGTTTAGATGTCGGCTAGCTAACATATCTTTCGATAATCGCTGTATGATGGAACTAGACATCAATCCGGATGAATCAGCGAGAAACGGCTTCACGCATACTCCCTTGCAACAAGGTACAGGGTATCATTTGACCTTTGGTCCCTGTGGGACTGCTGCAGGAAATCCAATGCCGATCGTGGGAACCTGGAATTCAATCGGGGGCATGGTTGGTACATCAAGCCTATATTCTCCTTCATATTCATCACCAATATCGAATCAAGTATATCATTCGCTAGAAGTTTTGCCAATACTGCACATCAACTCGCGCGCCACCCAACTTGAGCGGTTAGCGCGAATAGCTATCCTCTCAAACAGCACTATCCCACACCTTTTGTACAAGTGAAATTCGAAGATGTTTAGCGTGAATGGGTCTTGGGCGATGCTGTGTAAGATGTATTGTTTCCAAAAGGCTCGGACATGTGGTCCAAATGATTGGCTAAGACAACCGTAACTGGCTATTGTCAACATGCCTAAAACTTTATTACATTAGTGGGGTTTTCTGTTCAGTGGGGTAAAAAGTTCAGGGTCTTTTCAATGACATGCATCTTGTACATGTTTCTTGTACATGCATGTACCAAACAGGCAAAGAATGTGGATCCGTTGCCACAAAGCGCACGGGCCACACCTGGCAAGGCAGCCTGGCCCACCAAATAATATAAATATAAATATAATCCCCAAAATTTTATATAATTATTCTAAATATTAATAAATATTATAAAATTTATTTAAATATTATTATTTTTTATAATAATAATATTACAAATCTTTATATTAATATATAAAAATGTATAAATAGTTATTTTTATAAGTAAAACGCTAATATATAAATAAAGATAAATAGTAAAAATTCATTATATTTATATTAATATATTATTATTAATTAAGATATTTAAAGGTAAAGAATAACTTAAAGTTTAAAAAAATATAGAAATTATTACGGGATTTTTTATAAACCATAATAATATTATAATAAACGTTTATAAATGTATAATAAAAATAAACGGCAAAATAAATATAAAATTTAATAACGTAAATAAAAATATAAAAAAGAAATATATAATAATAATAAATATATTATATAAAATATAAAAATATATATAATTATTAAATAATATTTTCTAGTAAATATAGTAAAATCTTTTATTAATAAAAATATTATTATTATTATTATTATTATTAATATTATTTTAAAAATCTATAATAAATTTAAATATTGAAAACCTTAATATTATTAGATTAAATATATTTAAATTAATATTTAAAAATTTAATAAACGGATAAAAATTATTAAATAATAAAATTAATTTTTATTAAGTAAATATATATAATATTATATATAATATTTAAAAATATAAGGTAAAGTTAATATAATTAGAAATAATTTTTAAAATTAAAAATAAAATATTTGTAAAATATAAAATAAAAAATAAAATTATTTTATTATTTAGTTTAAAATTAATATAAACGGATAATTATATATTTAATAAATTAAATAAAATATAAAATTAATTAAAAATAGCTTTAATATTATATAAATTATAGTTAATATAAATATTAATAAAGTTATTAAGAAATTTCTAATAAATTATAATATAAATAAAAAATATATAATTTAATTAAGTTATATTTGTAAAAATTATATTATCCGTCGGAGACATTTTTTACGTTCAAACTTTTAAAAATTATTATGGGAAATTGATAAGTAATTGATAAATAATTGATAAATAATTGATAAATAATTGATAAATAAATGTTTAATAAATAATAAGAAATTAATAAGAATTTCCGACAGATTTTACCGTGTAAGTTTGCGAATACGTGAAAACGTTTGCGCGAGCTTGCAAATGCATGCGTTTTCTTAAATTTTAAATTTTAATTAATTATTATATATTATATAATTTATTATTTTTATTTATAATAATATTATTAAGTTAAAATAAAAATTTAGTTAATTTTATATAATATATTTACGAAGTTTTTTATTGTTTATTAATAAATAATAAAAGTATATATTAAATATATAAAATATTAATTAATATATTATAAATATATATATTTAAAATCTAGATATTATGCCAAGATTATATAGAAATGTAAAATATATAAAAGTTGGTAAAAAAAGTAATAAAATAAGTAAATATTGTAATATAAATAATAATAAAAAATAAAATATTTAATATTTTAAAAATAATTATATAATTTTAAAATAAAATAATATTGTTTTATAATTTAAAAATAAGTAAAGTTATATTTAATAACCTTAAAAAAATAAAAATTAAATAAAAAAACGTATTATAAATAATATTAAAAATTTTATAAAAAATAGTAATAATTAATTTTAAATTTAACAATTAATAAATTTATATAATAAAAGATTAAAGTTATATAATTAAATTATTAAATAATAAATATTTTAATTACGGTAAAAAAGGTTATTAAATTAAAGATTATAATAAAAAGTTATAATAATTATATAATATATCATTTAATAATAAGAAAATTACTTTTAAAAGAACTTTTTATAAAAATAATAAAAATTTTAGAAAAAGAGTTAAAAATGCCATAAAAAAATAAAAGAATAATAAAAATAATAAAAAGATTTATTTTATTAAAAATAATAATAAAAATAATAATAAAAAAAATAATAATGTATTAAATAAATAAATTTTAAATAATAATAATTTAGATTAAATATTATAAAATATTATAGAAAATATAATAAATTATTATTAAAATTAATAAAAAGGTTACATTTATTAGGTTAAAATAAATAAAAGTAATAAATCATTATTATATAAAAATAAACTTATTTAAAAAGATTATAAAAAAGATTATAATTTATTTAAAGTATAAATATATAATAATAAAGATTTTACAATCTTTTTTAATTACAATTATAAGATATATTATATATTAAAATTATTAATTAAAGGTATAATTAAATATCTATTATAAAAACTGTTAATAATAATAAAAATCAAAAAAATTGGATTATAAATTAAAGAAAATATTATAATTTATATAAGATTTAAGATATTAAATAACTATAATAATACTTTTACTATTATTATAAAAATAGTTTTTAATAAAATGTTTTTTAAAGATTTTATATTAAAATAAAATATTTTTTATAAATGAAAGGTTTAATATAAAAAGTTTTTATTTAATAAAATATTATATTTAAAAGGATTTATTAATAAATTTATTTTTAAATTAATAAAAAATTTTATAATTAATTAAGTAACAAAAATAATAAAAAAAATAGTTTATAATATAATTAATATACCAAAAATATAATAATATAAAAAAACATTAATTAATAACCTAAAAATTAATAAATATTTAGTTTTATATAAGTAAAATTTTCTTAAATTATTTAATATTAAAAAAAAATAAAAAAACATAAAATTAAATATAAAATATAAAATAAATATGGGAAATAACCCTTTAGTTAAACTATTATTTAAACAATATAATCCTTATTAAAAATAAATGTTACAAAATTTTGTAAAAATTTATAAAAATATAATTATATAAAAAAATAAAAATTTATAAAGTGTATTTTTATTATTAACACCTAAAAAAATATTAGGTTAAATAATAAAACCTAATAAAAATGATTTTAATATTATATAACGTTTTTATTATAATTATAAAAAACTAAATAAATATATTAAAAAAAATGTACACCCGTTACTTAACGTTTAAAATTAAATCCAACAAATAATAAAATATAAATAATATATATTTATTAACCTAAAAAATAGTTTTTAACAAATTAAAATCTAATAAAAAGATTGTAAAAAAATAACTTTCGTAACATTATTTAAATTCTTTAAATAAGAGGTTATACCATTTAAACTTACTAATATATTAGTAATGTTTTAGGTATTAATTAACAAAATTTTAAAACCATTTTTTAAATAAATTGCCGAAATATTAAATAATATTTATTTATAAATAAATTTAAAAAAATAACTTTATAAACGAATTTAAATATTATTTATATAACTTATTAAATATAATATAATTGTTTACGCTATTAAAACTTAAATATTTATTAAAAAAAGAATATTCCTAAAATTTATTATATTAAAAAACAAGATTGAAACAAATCCAACAAAAATAACAATAATTAAAAATAAACCAATACCATAAATAATAATATAAATTAAAGCTTTTATTAATATTATTAAATATTTTTAATATTTTATAAAAGATTACTCGAAAATATCAACCCCATTTATAACATTTATAAAAAAATAAAAAAACATACTTATAAAATTAAACGTAATAATAAAGATAATTTAAAAATAAATTTATAAAGTTATTACAATAATGTTAATTATATAAAGATTTAATTAAAAATTATCAATAATATTAAAATTAAACATTAGTAAAAGATATATAAAAATAGCTATTTTATAACCATATATATATAAAAATTAAAAAATCTTTTATTTAATAATTTATTTTTTTAAAAAATTAATAAATATATAAAAGTATTATTTAACGCAAAAAAAAAAGCTATTAAAA